GGATGTGGATGTGGATGAACCAGGAGCCCTGGATCGGCGTTGGTCTGCTTTGGGTGTGAGTTGAGCGGTGTTGTGTCGCTGTTGGTCCTGTGCAATGGCTGGCCGTGGGAGCGACCCGCGAGGGCCGTCGAGGCGAGGCGCTGGGCAATGATGTTGAGGGAGTGAAAATACGAGTGCAGGTGGTGATGGAGGCCGAGGGCACCTTTGGGCGATTGCTGGTGCTCGGGCGAGAGACTGCTCCACCACTGGCGCAGACCGACAATGACCTCGGCGGCACCCATCTGCCGCTGGTGGCTCGTCAGCACCGGGGACACCATCAAGGACGAGAGCCTGCCACTGATGTGGGCGAGGTGGACGTATATGCACATGTCCTCGTAGAGCGAGTCGAATCCATCGAGCAGGAACGACGAGTCCCAGCCTGGTGCGGGTGCCGATGGTCAGATGTGCGGGTCCGGGATCAGGACAGGGTTGGATGGCCGATGCACCGACACGGTGTTGCAGGGGCGGTGGTTGGCGAGCGGAGCCATCGAGTCATCCAGGGTGTTGTCGCCGAGTTGCACCGTTGAGCGAGGCGATGGAGGAGACAGGATCAGCGGGATGGATCAAGGGGAGCAAAGGCATCGGCACGGCCGAGACGCCTGCCCGCCTGCACCAGCAGAATGCATCTCGGACCAGCGTGCGCCACACCCCATCCGTGCCTGCATCTGTGCGGGAGCGATGCAGCAACGGGGAGCCAGGGCCCTGGGCAGCAGCAGCACCGCCAGCCCGCCCTGGCCGGCATCCTGGCTCATGTTCGCAGCGACAGCCAGGGCCGTGTGGCGTGGCGCATGCGCCTCACGGGGTGGTGTCACAACGCGACGATCCCTTGAGGCGCTGCGTTTCAGGGGGAATGGTGCAGGGGAATGCTGCCACAGAGACCCAAGCGACGGCGACGAGGCAGGATGGGGGCTCTGTGGTTGCTCGCAGACTAGATGGCGCTCGGTGTCGGGCGGCTGCGTCCTTACCATCGTCGGGAATGGCCGGGCATCGCCCAGCCATCAGAGCTCCGAGACGATCAAACAGAATCAGGGCGAGAAGCGTCATCCGGCGATATCGCAGCTCCGAGGACACACGGCTTGTCGTTCCAGATCGTGCCATGGGAATGGATAGTGACTGGCATTCTGGGTCGGGGCGTGCAGACTGCGAAGAGGCGGATGCCGTGGGTGCTTGTGGCAGTGGGGTCTCGGATGGGTGACTCAGGGCCGATCCTGTGTGGTGCGGACCCGGAGCAGTCCAACTGCCGTGGCTGTCGAGACTGAGATGCAGCCCGAGATCCTGGGCCATGTTCCAGGCGAGCCCTGCATGATGGGGATCGAGTCACTCCCATGAACAGCGAGGCATCGCGAGCCAGGATCCAAGGAGCAGCAGTGTGTGTTACCTGTGTAGTAGGTGTGGCCGGTGCTGGCGCCGGATCCAGTCGACAGACTCGTTCCACAGATGATGACCACGGCTTGCAAGACTTGCAGACACGGGTGGTCGTGGAGTCGCTGGGTGTAGATGCGGCACTGGTCGGCCAAGGCTTTCCGGGTGTGGGCGGGGTCCGAGAGGCCGAGGGATGCGCTGAGACGGTCGTCGTGAGCGACCGCCAGACACATGGACCAGACGAGGAACAGGAAGGGCTTGAGTGTGCGTGTGGATTGGAGATGCAAGAGAGTGGCGAGTCGTCAGTGTCTGCTCGGGAATCGAGGCGCATGGCGAGGCAGATGGAGACATGGGTGGGCTTGTGGGAGAGGCAGTCGAGGACGTTGCGGCTGTCGATTGGCTCCCGACCGATCACCGAGACAGCGACGCCATCCAGGTCCACAATGCCATCCTGATTCGTTCCACAGCATCGATGCCGTGCTCTGGTCGTCCTCTGGATCGCCTTGCTGTTCAGAGCGGCCGCCGTTGCCTCCATATGGCCAGATGTGTGCTCGGTGTCATCGACGACTTCTGCATCGCGACATTGCACAGCATCCGGCGGGCATCGATCAGAGCGACTTGCTACTGTCTGGCTCGCGAATCACACCCCTATCCCCACGACTTCCGTCTCCGTCTCCTCCTGCGAATCGTCGTCCAAACCACCCGCTGTCGCCCTGTCCAGAATCGTCTGTACCTCGGAGTAGCGTTCCCTGGCCAGCTCGGCGCGGAACGTAGCCGGGTCGACAAAGTCCATTGTCAGTCCGAGGTGCTCAAAGAACATCCCAGTGATCTGCCCGGTGGCATTTAGTGGGAATGGAAGGACCTCGGATGTCGGTGCCTCGGGCTTGCCCGTCGGACGGCATGCGATGTCAGAGTCAATGTCGATGGCTCCTCGTGCAGACCGAGGAACGCTGACGACGAGGGTGGCTCCGCCCATGGCTGTTGCCCCCATGAGCACTGCCGAGTTGCTGGTCGTGCTCTTGACTGTGCGAGCGAGCGGTGAGTCCACCGGCATCGATTGGACAGTTGTCGGTGTGGATCGGGTCAGGCAGGTCCGATGCCAGATCGACGAGCACGATTCCGGGTGGCAGCCAGGGGCGGTATCCGATCAGCACGTTGGAGTGCCGCCCAATGATGCCGAGCGTGATGGATCAACGGCGAGACGGCATTGGTGGTCGGAGCGGGCCAAGACAAAAGTAAGTCGGGTGAGTGGTCGGCTCCAGCGATCACGGCTTCCTGGTCGTCATGGCAACTCGCGGTGCACATCAGGCAGCCGGCGCCACACCCACTCCCACCAGTATTCATTCTGCCACAGCAAGCCGAGCATACTGCCGATGTCGATGCCGATGCTGATGCTGATGCTGATCTGCCCCAGAGGCCAATGTCGTCCGTGCAGCGCAGGCTTGGGCCATCCGCCGCAGCACCATCTGCAGCATCAGCAGTCGGTCACATACCCCAGTAAATGCCGAGGGTGTTTTGGCCCTGCATCGGTTGATGATTCCGTTGCGAAGACGGCGGGTGGTTAGTTTTACATCCTCTGCTTTGTCCTTGGTCGAGCCAAGCGAGTGCGATCGGCATGGAGGCGCACCATGGCCAAACGGCGTCGATCGATCGGGAGCAGCCACGGCGTCCTGTGCGAGCCAATCTGCCAAGGCTGCATCAAAGACTCGGATCGAAGGGCTTTGATATCCGGCAAATTGGAGGCCGTCGCGCTGATCCACGAGTTGGACGAGTCTCCTGCAGCTGGGTGATGGCGAGTCTTCTGCGGTCCGCGTTTCCTCGGAGGAGTGTAGTAGGCTGGAGAGCAAGCAGGCATGCGGATCAGCGGGGACGCAGGCCAGCATGGAGATGTGCACAGTATGAGGAAGATGTCTGGCTGGTGCCTGCAACTCGATGCAGCTGCACGTCGTGAGCAGTGATTGCGAGGGCCCAGAGCCAGACACCTGGGTTGACGTCGTCGCATCGCGATCGATGGGATGGAGTGAGGCTGCTCGCCCGCTCGATACTCACTGCAGAGGATTCCGCTTGCCCGACAGGCTTCGCATGGGTATTCGCCGATGCACTTGACCCGCTTGATGCGGCAGACTGTGCAGATGCAGATGCAGATGCAGATGCAGGCGTGTGGTTGTGAGCGGCGACTCGCGGCTAATCTGGGCGTTTGGCAGTCGACGGGCAAATCGGCAACGGGGCCGGGGCGATCTGGGGGCAGATGGGATCGGCACATACCATCGCACGCCCGCTTGGTTTTCGGGGTGGGGGCGGGCTTGGGAGGACCCGGTGGGTCCATGCTGGATCCGGTCTGGAGGGCAGCAAGATGGAAGAGGAGGGCTCTGGGACGAGGCCTGAGGGCGAGTCTCGCCAGCGCTGCGAAACGCGAGGATTTGCTCAGAAATGCAGGTGTCGGAAGCGGCCTGCACCGTAGCCAGTTTTGCGGTACACCCGCCCAGCCAGTCAGCCAGCCAGCCAGCAATCGGCCTGGCAGCCCAAGACTCACAGTCAGCACACCGCACAACAGCATCGACAGCATCGCAGACGACAGAGAGTCGGCGGGCTTACAGCGCAGCCTCGTTTGCAGGGCAGTTGGCGCGGGATCGGCTGGGGATGGCGATACTCGGTCCAGTTGTCGCTGTGCAGTTACTCCGGTTCAACCGAAGAATGCCCATGGCCGGAGCCAGTCTCTGACTCACAGGCCCGCTGGCCCGCAGGGAGCGCACCGTGATATATGGCGGCCGCACTCAGACGGCCCAGCACAAACAGCCAAGCGGGTCTGCTATATGCAGCAGATGATCGCTGATTGCCCAAGGCATCGAGTGCTCAGCCCAGCCCAGCAAGAGGCATGCGAGCGAAGCGTTATGCGCCAGCACCGGCTATTCCTGGGCTCAGACGACTGCCTGCTTCAAAGCGGGTAGCCGAGGCACCTGCCGGGCGGAAGGCGCCAACAGTGGCATACAAGGGTCCAGATGCTGGTGCTGTTGTCGCTCGACGACGAGATCGCACGGGTATGTCGGGGAGAGCAGGCACCCGATCGTCAACAAAAGGGGGTGGATGTTGGATCGCTGGGAGGTGCCAGGCATGGATGCAACTGCACCCGACTCAGCCCACAATCCCCGGCGGTGTGATGCACGAGGATGTGGGGGGTGGATGTGCATTTGTGGCGTCAGCTGGATTCAGGGGGAGGGGTGGAGAGGAGTGGTCGGCAGTGGTCGATAGAGTTGGGCCAATGCCGGTGTAGTTGGTGCTCGGCACAGGGCGCTGCTTGGGCTGCTGGTGTGTCCTGGGTGTTGATGTTTGTGTTGGCCGCGAGACAGCGCCGGGCTGGCGGGGGCTTGGGTTGATGTGGCCAGAGTTGGACGACAGGGGTTGTGGCCGCCAGGGGTTGTGTTGTCGAGGATTGTGGCTGTCAGGTGGCCGCTGTCAGGGGGTGGATGCATCTCGGTCACCAGCACCAATGATGTGGCTGGTGTGGTGCTGGGGAACAGCTGGTCAGAGGGGTTGCTGGTCTCGAGCTGGATCGAGAATGTGGACTGGGTGTGGATGGAGAGACAGTCGGGGTGTCCAGATGGAGTGAAGGGAGTCAGTGCGATCCAGGGTGCAGCTAACTGGCAGGGACGAGTGCTGGTGTCGAGCGGGATGCAAGAACAGGTCGTGGTAGCTTCGTTGAGTACAGATGTTATGCTGATGTTGTGCTGGTGTTGTGCTGGTGTTGTGCATGAGTGGACCAGGCTCCAAGATGATCCGATGTGGGACACCCGCTGGATCGAGCATCGATTCGGCGCATCTCGTGCAGTCCAAGGAGCGACTCCAACAACAGTCCGCCGACTCGTCGCTGGCTCTGATATCTTGTCCCGGCTGCCATCTGTCGTATATCGCGGGCGACGATCGAAATGTAGTCATTCTGCGCAGGCTATCGTCACTGATGGTGATTGACCCTGCGTTTACAGGCAATCCAATAAAAAACGGGACACCCGGGTTTTTGACCATTCATCGAATATTTTGTTACCCAATGTTATCGCGCGCTGGCCATGACCATTCGCCACACATCCGACTTTCGCACCGCCGCATTGCGATGCTACGCCCTCATCCATAGCCTGCGTAAGGTTGCCACCATATTCAGTGTATCCAAGAGCACCACCCATCGATGGCACCGAGGATGCAAGCTGGATGACCCATCCCGGGTCCCAGCTCGCAGATCCACTTTCTTCGAGCAGGCATGTCCAGTCATTCGCACCCTGATTGAACAGGACCCGTTCCAGACTGGTCCTGTGTTGCGATGCAAGCTCGAGTCCATCCTCCAGAGGAAAGTATCACTCTCACTCTGCCACACTGCCATCCACCGAGCAGGTCTCTCACACAAGAGGGCAACACACCTCTACAAGTCCAAGCGACTGGATGAGCGAGTGGCACAGTTCAGGGACCAGGTCCGCTCCATCGACCCACGACGATTCGTTTTTGTCGATGAGACAGGGATCAGGAGATCCATTTTCCCTCTTTACGGATACTCGCCGAAGGGCGTCCCACTCCGTCAGCGCAATCACATGAAACACAAGTCTGTCTCAGCTGCATTTGCCATCAACCACTCTGGTGTGCTGCATCGCATGTACATCCCCACATCATTCAAGACACACTCGATGGTCGAGTTCTTTGAGCGAGCGGCCTTCCCAGATGACTCTGTGATTGTGATGGACAATGTCAGCATGCACAAGACAATGGCTGTCCTGGACTGCATCGAGCGCCGAGGATGGTCAGTGATCTTCACCCCACCTGCCTCGCCCGACTTCAATCCCATCGAGAACTTCTTTGGGGTTGAGTCCCCATCATTTTGGGATTTAGTCCCCCAATCACGCCGCCATTTTCGCGTTCACATCCCTGGCTTGAACCTCTCGGCGATTTTTGAACAGGTCGCTTCCCCAACCAGCCCGCGCAGACGGGTTCCTGCTCTCGGGTATAAATGCCACACCTTCGTCCTGCTGCTTTCTTCCCTCATCTCGCCTTGATCGGATCATCGCGCTATTGTACGATAAAAAAAAGTCTCTGCTCTGACCAGTACCACTGGCAGGCATCCAGCATCCTCTGCCCCCATGCCTCCGAAGCGTAAGGGTACCGGTGATGGCCAGCCTCGGCCACCCAGGCCCAAGAAAGCCAAGTCACAGTCGGAGCCTGTCTCTGGTTCGTATTCTGATCCCACGCATGCTTGTTTCTCTGTTGCTCCGTCGCTCACCACCACTGCTTCTGCAGATCCAATGGATGTCGATCCCACCGAGCCTGGTCCATCTACTTCCTCGAGTACTGGCAAGCGATGTCGCCAGTGCGATGGCACCGATCACGAACGTTGCAACACCAGCAAATGTCCCAAATACCTGCCCCTCAAGAGTTCTGTCGTCCCACTCGTGGATGGAAGGTCATCGGCCCCTCAGTTCAGCTGCTTCAAGCAGACGATGGATGGCTGTTGTCTCAATCCCGCTCTCCGCGACAAGATCCAGGCCACCGTCGAGGCCATGACCCAGATCCAGTTCGAGGCATCCAGGCTGCTCAACCTGCACATCCTCCGGTGCATCGAGCAGGATCTTCCCGTCCCCGTCATCTCCAAGTCCACCCTGCTTTCGTTCGCCAATGCTTCAAGATTGTCGAGGCCGGTGCCCTCTCGACGGCCAGGGATACCAAGAAATACAACGAGCATCTGGTCGCTTCCTTTCGCGACTACCAGACCACTCGGCACGCAGACCTGCCTCCGGCCCCTCGTCTGCCTGATGGTGCTCACAGTCAGCTTCTCACCCTGGCTGTCAATGCCTATGCCACCAACTGCACCACCCACCTCGACCTGGCCTACTGGCGACTCCTTCGTCGCTTCTGCGCTGCTGTCTTCCCTGCCAACAAGCATAAGCACGAAGCCATCGAGGCCTGTCTCGAGCTCTTCGAGAAACCAGGGCAGACTCCACCCAAGGCCGATCTCGAGTTCCTCTATCCAGACTTTGGCCATATCCTGGACGAGTTTCGCTACAGCAGCGACCAGGACCGCTTCCGGGCCCTCCATCGCCTCTCACACCATGTGGGAATCCTCGCCCGAGACAAGATGGTCGACAATGTCCACAAGTGGATCGACTGTGACATGCCCGCCCTCCGAGTCACCGAGCTGCAGCGCCAGGCCAAGCTGGACGAGCTCACTGCCAGAGGCATTCCCTCCGACGACAAGAGGTTCACCACGGCCAAGTCTGAGCTCGGCACCACCAAGTCTAAGATCAACAAGCTGGCATCCAGACTCAAGTGGGCCCTCAAGCAGCTCGCTCTCGACACTCCTCCGGCCGTGTGCACGATGGTTCCTCTGTGCACTGCAAGGGCCAAGTATGTCAAGATCGACACCGTCGCACTCTGGGAGCTCCTGGGTCCAAAGAAGCGCCTTGACCTCACCCGGGACAAGCTCAAGGAAGAAGGTGAGGACGGTGTCAACAACCAGGATGGTCTCTGGCGCAGTTGCTTCAAGCTGCGTAGTTCCCTCTTCCAAGAGCGGGACGTGAACAAGAAGCTGTTCAACTACGAGATCAGCACCGATGGCATTGGATGCACCATCGGCCTCGTCAAGTTTGTGCGTCGAACCGATCACACCGAGACCATCGAGCCTCCTCCGACTGCCGAGCAGCGCATCCAGACCCACATCGGCGACCCAGACCCCAACAGGACCACTTGGATTGGCATCGATCCTGGAGTCGGCTCCATCTTCACGGCGGTCATCCAAGCACCGGGCCACCAAGACGAGGTGGTCTCGTTCTCGAATGGCCACTACCAGCACATGTGTGGCCATACGTCCAATACTGAGTGGCACAACACCATGAAGTATCGACTCGGCATCGAGACCTGGATGTCGACCACCCCCTCGCCCAAGGTGTCGTCCTCGGAGGCTTTCAAGGTCCATCTCACCCATGTCCTGCGACCGGAGCTGCGAGTGCAGCTCGACTTCCACCTTGGCAAGAAGGCTCGCCATCATCGCTTCACGGGCCACAAGAGGCGCCAAGTGGCCGTCGACAGGATGTGCAAGGCCGTCCTGAAGCACGCCCCGATACGGACCGATGTGGTGATCGCCTTTGGCAATGCGTCATGGCGGCAGGGCAAGGGCTATGCATCCAGCCCTCGGAGGCAGCGGTTTGCTCGGTACTTTGAGCAGTTCGAGCACCACCGACGCCGTCCCAATCACCATCATGGAAGTGTCAAGGTAGTCTCGGCGAACGAGTTCAACACCTCGCAAGTGTGCTCCAAGTGCCTGGAGCCAGTTCGGTTGGAAGGACTCGATGCGCCCAGTGTTGCGAATTCCCACTTTGTCAGGAGCTGCAAGAATCCCAGCTGCCGGACGGTGTGGAATCGCGACGTCAATGCGGCGCGCAACATGATCACAGTATGCAGGTCGATTGTGGAGATCGGAGAGCGACCGGCGGTCTTCACTCGGAGGCTGCCAAAGTGATCTGTTTTATTTCTTGTGGCTTTGCTTGACGCAAGCACAGCACATACTACCTGTTCATGGAAACGGCTATATTGTCCCGTTTTTTTCTGAATAAAGTGTATGACCATGAGCCGCTTCACTTGGATCAGCACCACAGCCATTATCGAGAGTGGGAAAGCACCTGGCCAGTATGATCCTGCTGTAAGCGGATTGGGCAGACCCAGTTGGGAAGGTTTGTGACGTCACCGAACCATATCTCGGCAGGTTGCTGGATCGATGAGCGGACCCACTTACCACTCTGGATGTAGCCGATGTTCACGTCTCGTTGCCGCACATCAAGCACTGCTGGCTTGCTCACCCTCGGCCTGGCAGCTTTGCTCCTTGATTACACTTGCATCTCGTATCCATTCATTTCTATCGCGTCTTGATCGTCACCTGGAATGCAACTCAAGAACTATCCACTCGGGTTCAGGGACCATCAGGTACGATGCAACATCTCCACAGATTCTCGATAGGCGACACTCCGGTTGATGCACTTATTCGCGACCTCAATTCTATGCATGCCTCCAGTTCCCATTAACTCGCACTGACGGCTACTTTCTCGTCTGCAGCTAGAAGACGAGTGGTCACGGTACGATAGATACTCCGAACGTGGGCTCTACATCCATGTCGCGTTTTCCCTCGTATACATTCTGCACCAGGTTGCCATCCAATTGTTTACGACCTTCGATATATCTGGTGCGTCTATGCGATCAAATATCGAGTCCGGAGACAGAATATCTCGGGGCTCTGTGGGGTCCAAAATATCACCCGCTTGTCCTCGAGTCACATCTCCCCACATTATATCGTGGCCCACTGTGTATTAAACTCTATCCGCTGGTAATTTCCACTTATATGTCACTGAAACGACCAACGCAGAGATTCCCGCGTGTTCGGCCTGTGCATTGCTTTTGCTCGCAAGTCTGATTCCAAGCTGGCTTTGGAATATCCGAACGCTTCACAATGAGCTGGCGATGGCCGTGTTCGTGTCGATATCGGCAACCATCTTATGGACGATGGCCGAGGGCGGCTTGGCTTCAAACAAGGGCCTTGGCCTGTTTTGCATCCTGGCCATCTATCGTGGAAACACAGTCGCAATGCCTCCGCTACTGGTGCTCTTCGTCGTTGCCATTATTTCTATCGGGGAAATCGAGGACGCGCCAATGTCTCCACTCAGCCGAAGTTCAATGTATTTGTTCTGGATATGCATCGGCTTCTTGGGAAGATTCCACTCATTCCATGGGGTATGCATACCATCGTCTGTCAACCGTAGTTCGGCGGCGCTACTGATGAAATTGATCATATGGAGACCATGTATCGCTCAACTATGCAACAAACTTGAAGCACTAATAAGTCATCTCCACAGGAAATTGCAAGGCGGAAAACCTTTTGGATTGCAAGGACACTTGACGAGACACACAATCTGCCACTTCCCCATCAATATCTTTGTGCCGAGATTCCTCGATGGTTCACGGAACGGAATCTCAGCGGAGATTTTATCTACCCAATCGCTCAGTTTGCCCCGAAGCCACCGAGCCGGCGTTCTGGATGGACAAACTGTCTCCTCCGATTCTCAAAATGGGAACTCGAGATGGAATACAAAAGGTGACCAGCGCTGTCGGTGGCTGTGCAGCAGTGATGTGGATTGTTGGTGGATGTGTGGGGGAGGGTATGTGCAATGGATGTACGTGTACGATGGGTGCATTGATGTGTGATAGATGCGTTGGTGCCGAGAAGTGTACTGCGTAGCGAAGTTCTCGTTGAGATGTTGTTGCGCGAAGATTCGAGCGAATGCTTGTGCTGTTGGTATCCTGTGCTGTTGGTATCCTGTGCTGTTGGTACTCCTGTGCTGTTGGTATCCCTGTGCTGTTGGTATCGGAAATGTCCTCGATTATCTGTGATAGAATGGCAGATAACGTTGTTTGGAACTCTGGCTCGACTGTGGTCACCGATGATGCTATGATTGCTCATTCCGCTCGTCGGCGGTTCGATGGGTTTGATACGCTGCTCACTCACTTTGCCACCACCGCAATACCACAACACCACAACACCACAACACCGCAACACCACAACACCACAACCCCGCAACACCACAACACCGCAACACCGCAACACCACTCTCATTCCTCGATCGGTGGCCCGATCACATCTGCCGCCGACAACAGCGACTCAATCCCAACCTCGATTCGCCTCCACTTTGGCACCACCTTGATCAACTTGCTCTTCACACTTCCCACCATCATCCTCGACTACTACGCTGCTCAGAGTCTCGGCAATCCGCTGTTGATCACACTCACACGCTACCTGCTGGTCTACTTTCCAATTGTCCTGGTCGTCCCGAGCGCTCTCCTGTCACTGACGTCGATCCGGAAGTCGGTCCAGGCCGTCCAGACAGTGATTGCGACGATCCACATCTGCAACATCGGGGGATGCCTTGTCCGGCACGGACTGGTTCTGGTCTCTGGAGAATCGGGCCTGACACTGTTTGCGACAAGTCTCTCGCAACTGATCTTCTCGACATTTGTGGCATCGACATCGGGGATCTCGGTGCAAACTCTCGTTCCAATCGTCTGGCTATGCGTTTGTGCACATGCCGGGCTTGTTTTAGGATTGCCAAATGGATTTGGCGACATTCGGTACAGCATCCTTATGGTTGCTGTCGTCGGGATAGTTGTGTCGGTCTCTGCCTCCATCAACGAACACGAACATCGAAAGCTCTTCTTTCTCGAAAAGTGGTCTAAATCATACCAGCCAAAGTCTCGGGAAGCCATTCAGTTTCCACCCGAATTTTCTGATTTCACCGAGTCGCAGTACTACTCAACAGTATCGAGCGAAAATTCGACTGGGTCAAAGTCTAGAAGAGAGTCTACCTTTTCCGATATGGATGTGTGGGGCTCACGCTCACTCGCGGCTTCCCGCAACCAAAGTGTACGGCGGCCCATGCCATTTCCGGCGCTCTATGTCGTCAATGCTTCGTCGATCAGTTCAGGGCTCGGTTCTACATCAAACGATATTGTGTATATGGAGCGACATGACGGAGTACTAAGGGCCGTTCCAAGGGGAAATAGCCAGCACCGCTCGGAAGAAGCACAGCCAAAGTCGCAGATGGGCCCAAGTCCGATCGGAAGCGAGTGTTGCTCGGTAGTCGAAGAGCATATCCACCCAGAGTAGTGACATCGAGCTCCCGATGTGGACAGACCCAGGGCTGCCCGAATGGAGTCACAGATGTTGCTACAGCTTTTCCAAGAGTAAACAGACGCCCGTATATCATGATTAGTGACTACGAATATTGAGCAGCGTTCATTACTGGACTCTCATTGAGTCGTTGCGCCAACCCTTACTTTCAATTCCGTCTTGGTTGGGATATCCGTGGATGCCGCGCGTCCACGACTCGCACCAACCAATGCAAATGTGCGATTATCAACTTGCACACCGATATCATGTTCCCAGTTGCCCCACTTCGACGTGGTGGAAAGATATCATGAATGATAAATATGTAGATGCACTTTCATCCAAGAGCTAAAGCCATAAAGGCATGGATCGGCTTTCGCCAATGAATGAGGCTGGTAAATCGCTTTCAGAGTGGGGTAACATGCACACCTCTCTGAGACCAGTTCACGCTCGTTTTCTCGAGCCCTTTCATCGCTGACTTTCCCTGCACTCGATATTTGCAGGCAGTCCGCTGGCTCAATCAGGAGCTCCGTGGCCCCGCATCGCACCGTCATCCGTGATACCAGATGCCTGTGTGATGCCTACGTCGCCACTGGCCCACTCGACAGCTCGACGTCAGGCTCGCAAACGCTGTCGTTATGCGTGAGCCGGAACCATATCGCATTGTGGTGCTCGGGCATTTCTGGTTCTGGAAAGGTCCGCCAGCGCTCCGAACACTCGACTGCCAGTGCGCTCCAGACACTCAACTGCCACCCATCCCTGCACGAGCACAGTATGCTGCTCAAGCGTTACTCGCTCCGATTCAAGGACTCGCTGGCAAGTGTGTTGATAGTTGCGACAGTATAGATGATAATGAACGAGCAATGGAGTGTTGGTGTTTGACTGGTCGGCATGACCCACGCGAATGTTGGGGCGCTTCCAAACCGAAAGACTCTTCAGAATGCCTCCGCCGTTGTTCCGACGAAGGTGGCTCAGGCATCTTGCGTGGATACTATACCATGGACGTGCCGGCTAATATGTCGCCGTCGTCCGGCATTTGGAAACCGGTTTCATTTACTGAACGGACAAGCAGCTGGAAGCCGAGTGGCAGACCTTCCTCAGCACCTCTTGGCATCCAGCTACGACAAGAAGTATACTATTCGGTCTCTGTGCGCTCTCTCGGGGAATCTTGATGCTCGTTCGGCAGCGTGCCGAGCCGTGGGGTGGGTACCACTGTGTCGAAACTAGCAGCTCGGTCGCTTGACCTTCGGTCCGAGGCATCTAATCGCTGTTTCAACCCGGCCTGCCGTTTTCAGCGATCATGTCATTGGCCTCAAGTACAGCCGTTTCCATAGCATCTCTCTTGTACTGCGCCAATAGAGCGGTCCAGAGTGTTCAGGAATCAGCTATCTTGCTGGCGGTAGCATGTTTCCTGGCTTCACGTTTATGGGAAGCAGCCACTCTCGCCCAGCCCATATGGAATAGCTCAGGTCTATTCGCAGTTGCTGCTATCAGTCAGAGATATCCTGCCACAGTCCATTGCCTACTTTCTATCGACCTTGTCGCCAACATTTTCGTGAGTGAGCTAGGCAATTCCGCCGAACCAGGGACGGTCCGCAGCGCCGCGTATATCGGGGCAGTACTCGTCGCGCTCTTGGGATGCATGGTGAGCTATCGTCAGGTAGGCATCGCCGGCTGTGGTAGCTCAGAGCGAACTCAAAATCCGGCACGACTAATCAATGTACTCAATTCGATAGGAATGGACGAGCCGCATGATATTCTGGGTGGCTCGCACAATGCACGAAACACGGCCGCAGTTTGGGCTCTCCGAAGCGGCGTTTTTGGAGCTATCACGGTGGTTCACGGAACGGAACCTCAGCGGAGATTTTATCTACCCAATCGCTCAGTTTGCCCCGAAGCCACCGAGCCGGCGTTCTGGATGGACAACCTGTCTCCTCCGATTCTCAAAATGGGAACTCGAGATGGAATACAAAAGGTGACCAGCGCTGTCGGTGGCTGTGCAGCAGTGATGTGGATTGTTGGTGGATGTGTGGGGGAGGGTATGTGCAATGGATGTACGTGTACGATGGGTGCATTGATGTGTGATAGATGCGTTGGTGCCGAGAAGCGTACTGCGTAGCGAAGTTCTCGTTGAGATGTTGTTGCGCGAAGATTCGAGCGAATGCTTGTGCTGTTGGTATCCTGTGCTGTTGGTATCCTGTGCTGTTAGTATCCCTGTGCTGTTGGTATCGGAAATGTCCTCGATTATCTGTGATAGAATGGCAGATAACGTTGTTTGGAACTCTGGCTCGACTGTGGTCACCGATGATGCTATGATTGCTCATTCCGCTCGTCGGCGGTTCGATGGGTTTGATACGCTGCTCACTCACTTTGCCACCACCGCAATACCACAACACCACAACACCACAACCCCGCAACACCACAACACCGCAACACCGCAACACCACTCTCATTCCTCGATCGGTGGCCCGATCACATCTGCCGCCGACAACAGCGACTCGATCCCAACCTCGATTCGCCTCCACTTTGGCACCACCCTGATCAACTTGCTCTTCACACTTCCCACCATCATCCTCGACTACTACGCTGCTCAGAGTCTCGGCAATCCGCTGTTGATCACACTCACACGCTACCTGCTGGTCTACTTTCCAATTGTCCTGGTCGTCCCGAGCGCTCTCCTGTCACTGACGTCGATCCGGAAGTCGGTCCAGGCCGTCCAGACAGTGATTGCGACGATCCACATCTGCAACATCGGGGGATGCCTTGTCCGGCACGGACTGGTTCTGGTCTCTGGAGAATCGGGCCTGACACTGTTTGCGACAAGTCTCTCGCAACTGATCTTCTCGACATTTGTGGCATCGACATCGGGGATCTCGGCGGAAACATCTATTCCGATGATCCTCCTGTCAGCGACCGCATACATATTTCTCGCGGCCTTTCTCTCGCCTTCACACGCTCTCACGGTTCATGGCATCCAGGCCGAAGCCCTTGCTGCTCTCACAACTGTGATAACGGCCGGTATTGTCGAACATGGCCAACGGAGACTCTTCCTCATTCGTCGGTGTGCTGACATCATATCAAAATATGCAACCCAGCAGTCTGTTGTCGATCACGACGAGCTCTCGTCGGTGTCACCTATGAGTTCGCAAGTGCTATCGTCAAACAGCGACCCGATTCCCACATCCAAATCGTTTAAATCGTCGTCGAGCAAATCCTCAGCGCGGTACTCACGCTCGATATCTGCTACTCAGTCGCTGGGATCCAAGGTGGCGCCTCAGCGTCAGTTCCCCCAGCTAGTCGTGGTCAACGCCTCGTCGATCTTGTTAGAATCTCCATCGAGCAGCCAAATCTCGTTCCAACCCTCTCTCGGCATAGCAGATACGCTCACAAGAGACGATGTATACAGCACCGAAGAGATTGCCAGAACATCAGCCACTTCCAACCAGGACCAAAGCAGCCCTCAGCAGAGCCCCGATCTCGGCTTGCCGACAGCACCATGCCTGTAAGCCAAGACGGGAACTGAACCGAGGGAACGGCTGACCATAATTCCCATCACCAAATCCACAATTTGGCCGATGGACCAGAGATTTATACACGATTCCTTTGTAATAGTTTGCAATAACCACGAAGAGATCTGGAGCACACCGGCTCATGTCCAGATTCCATCGATGTTGAGATGGAATGATCGGAACTTGAGTTCTGGAACGGGCTGGTAGAATCCTGCAGAGCGTCGGGAGCAGGACCGGGTTTGTGAGAATGCGGATTGCCGTTACCCCGAAGACATGAAAGAGTGAGGCTGCAAACCCATACCTGGACCGGGCTTGCTGCCGTTCGGATTGACTGGGAAGCGCGGCGAAGCTGATGCAAAGACATGGTTGGCGACTGGGCCCTTGTGCTGGACGGCGTCGGATGCCGATGCCAGCTCGTAAAAGCCTGGACCAGGCACGATGCCCTTGTGGCCGGAATATGGTCGCGGCGGTGCCTGGACGACACTGGTGAACTCGGACCTTCTCCTGGAGTGTTGAATCGCAGTGATGACATCAGAAGACCAACGTTTGCTTTTTTTTCGTTCACAAAGCAAGCACACATCCGATTCGATATGAGCGCGATTCCGCCCGGGATTCATGGAGACAGCGATGCTCACTTGGCAAGATTCCGCAATGGCTTGTTGATCAGCTCGTAGGAACCTGGACCAGGTGCGTTGGTTTTCCTGATCGAGAGAGACAGTGCGAGTGAGCGGGAGCGCTGCGTGTCATTGAATTGATCCCCTCGGACCAGTCGGGACTGTATCGTCGACAGTGCACCAACAACTTGTGGGCACAGATGAAAGGCAGGGGCCGAACGGATGGTTGACGCCGCATATAGATGCCAAGGGCGGTGTTGTGCTGGCATCGTTGCGGAAGTTGGGAGGGGATGCCACAGTCGTCCTCGACCCTGGCACACCGCGATCTCTCTCCTCGACTTACTGGGACGACTGTTGCTTGCGAATGGTACTCTTGAATGCCGCAACAGCGCCTGAGCGATGCGTAATGTCCCGAACCTCGTAGGCACCTGAAACGAGGCCATCGTGAACACGAGGTCGCAGCAACTCCTCTTCACCCCTCCCCCAGCTTATTGACCGCCAAGGGTTCACATCACAGTCATCCTATCGGCGATTCCGAACCAGCTCCAGGCGCCGCCGCTCCATCGACGCAAACCTGGCGGTGGGGCATCCCATCCGGGTGTGGCCTCTGGGCAGTTGATCTCGGACCGCCTCGTTTTGCTTTTGAACACAAATACAGCCCCAGACTCAGCAACATGGCCGGATTTAGTTGGAGGGGCAGCATCGTATTGGCCTGGTCCCGGCAGCGCCCGTCGCTTTGGGGCCGGCGCGGCAACAGGCTTTGCAAAGCTTGATGTCTTGGATGATGAGAGCGAATGGCTGTACCGAGAATGACCCGAGACGTTGTATTGCCCAGGAGCGACGGGCAGAAACTCGAGCTCGGTCGGAGGCTTCCGAAAGCGTCGGAGCTGGGGACAGGCGAAAGATATCAGCCACGAGTAACGAGCAGCAACAAACGCCCGACAGTTACATTCCCACGCTCGGTGCCATCACCAACGCCACCCTTCAAAGCGCTCATATCATTTGCGCGCTAACTCCACTCGCAGCGGACACATCGCCAGGTCGGCAATCGTCGTCTTCCCAATTGAGGAGTGTCGGCAAGCAGATACCTTTGACGCGAACCCGACTCCAAAGCCCTTCTTGGATATCGACGCTTCGTCGATCAAAGCGATTCTGCTTGGCTTCTGGTAGTATCCAGGTCCCGGCAGCTCATTCTAAGCAAGTTGGGGGCGACAGACACCCAAACGGAAACAAAGCGGGCGGGAAAAACAAAATTGGTCCATCAAGTTCACGAAGGCGGGATGGGCGAGAGCTGGTTTGGTCTGGTATGTGTTCGACGATCGCGCCTGCCAGGGCTGGTTTGGACCGTACCGGGTTGAGATCAAAGCGAGGCGCCGTCGAGTTGAATCCCTTGGGCTCTCGGTCGTCAAAGTGGAACGTCTGGAACTTGGTGGGTATGCTCGGAGGGTGCATGAAGAGCTTGAGATGCCTCGGCCCGCCTCCCGGCACGAGCGGCGCTGCAGGCCAGCGCGAGTATCAACGCAGGCATCGGCGTGAGTATCAACTTGGAGGGGATCAAAAATGCATACCGGTGCGGTGCGATTTTCCCGGCCCAAAAGTCGATCGTGCCCATATACCTTTCGGCTCTCCTTTCTGCATCGTCATATTGTGGGTGGCGGAAGAGCGGCAAAGGCAACGACAGCAGTGTTCTGAGGACGCAGCGCTCCGTCCAAAAGGCAACCAGGCCGCTGCAAACTGCCTCGGCTCTCGCACGACGCTCTTGATCGGATCGTGATTCGCTGGGCTCGCTGGCTGGCCGATGACACAACAGAACCAGCACTCTCGCATCGCATTGGATACGGTATTTGCTCGTGGACGACAACTCATGCAAAAGTAACGTCTTTACTTTGTTCACAGATGCTCACTTTGGAGAATCCGGCGCACGGGCCAGGGGTGGGAGTGGCTCGTGCGCTGCAGATCAAGTTACTGAAAATATTTCACAACAGAAGCATCCCGGGCAAGGAGGCTCGGAGACGCTGGAGTTTCACAGCTTGACTACTCAAGTTCGTGGCTCAAAACATATGAATGAATGGGGCGGGGGCGCTCAAGAAAATATGGGAATACGAGGCCGGGCGGCGCTGAGCTTACAACAGGAGCTCGGTGTACTTGGGGTAGGGCCAGTACTTGTCAGCAACCTGGGACTCGATGCTGCAGGGAAGGGTAGGTAATCAAGCCCGCGCGAGAGAGAGTGAGGATAAAAGTAGAGTCAGAAACGAGCTGCGAGTTGGGCAGTATGACATACACCTCCCACACATACTACACAATGCACACTCCGCCTCCCGTTCCGCTCTGTTTCGTTTCCCGAGGGTGCTGCGGATACACAAAACACTCGGCGACGCAGATGCACCCGTGCACGACGAGCAGCGGATCGAGTGCGGCGGCCGGATATCTAGAGAGCAGACACTTACACGTCGGTGGCAGCGCGAACTTCCTCCATGGCGGCAGTGAGCTCAGCCGAGCTGTAGTCGGCCTGGGCCTCGCCCTCGAGACCCTCGGCCTTGTCGATGACGCTGACGAGCTTGTCGTTGGCGGCGTTGAGGCGGTCGACCTGGCTCTTGAGTCTGGTCAGGATAGCCTTCTCGGGAGAGGTGGCAATGTCCTCGCCGACTTCCTTCAGGGTCTTGAGGGCGTCGGCCAGCTCCTTGCGGTAAGCAAAGGCAGCGGGCAGGACCGACTGGACGGTCATGGTCTTGAGGGTATGGGCCTCGATCAGGAGGTCCTTGGCGTACTTTTCGACGAGGATGTGGTAGCGGGAGTGGAGCTCGGTCTCGGTGAAGATGCCAGTCTTGGTCAGGAGAGCAGCATGGCTGGGCTCGAGCAGCTGGCGGAAGGCAACGGGGCAGGACTTGATGTTGGGGAGGCCACGGCGAGCAGCCTCATCAACCCACTCCTGGGAGTAGTTGTTGCCCTCGAAGCGGACGCTCTTGGTCTGCTTGACAAAGTGGCGGATGACGTTGAGGATGTCGTCGACGGTGAGCTGGGGCTTGCTGCCCTTCTGCTTCTCCAGGGCCTCGGCGACGAGGTCGATCGAGGCAGCAACGGCAGCGTTGAGGAGAGCAACGGGGAAGGAGGGCGACTGCTTGGAGCCGACGGCACGGAACTCGAACTTGTTGCCGGTGAAGGCGAAGGGCGAGGTGCGGTTGCGGTCGGTCAGGTCACGGGCGATCTGAGGCAGGGTCGAGACCTTGAGGTCCAGGACAGTGCCGCCGACCTTGACAGACTCCATGTGGGGGCGCGAGAAGTTGCGGACGTCACGGAGCTCCTCGATCGAGTCCAGGACTTCGTTCAGGTGCTCGCCGAGGAAGGCCGAGATGATACCGGGAGGGGCCTCCTGGGCACCGAGGCGGTGCTCGTTGCTGGAGCTGGCAATACCGGCGCGGAGGAGACCAGCGTGCTTGTTGACGGCATCGAGGGTAGCGAGCAGGAAGAGCAGGAAGCGGTAGTTGGTCTCGGGCTTGGCGCTGGGGTCCAGCAGGTTCTCGCCGTTGTCGGTGGACATGGACCAGTTGCAGTGCTTGCCGCTGCCGTTGATGCCCTTGAAGGGCTTCTCGTGGAAGAGAACCTTGAGGCCATGGCGATGGGCAACCTGGTGGAGGGTCTCCATGGCGAGGAGGTTGTGGTCAACGGCGACCGAGGCCTCCTCGAAGATGGGGGCAAACTCAAACTGCTGGGGAGCGACCTCATTGTGTCTAGTCTTGACCGGGACACCGAGCTTGAAGAGCTCGAGCTCCATCTCACTAATGCAGGCCAGGACACGGCTGGGGATCTGGCCAAAGTAGTGGTCCTCGAGCTGCTGGTGCTTGGGGGGCATCGAGCCGATGAGAGTGCGGCCGGTGATCTTGAGATCGGGGCGGAGCTGGTACAGGGCGCGATCGATCAGGAAGAACTCCTGCTCGGTACCCAGGGTGGTGTACACACGCTTGGTTTCGGTGTCGCCGAGAACACGGAGCAGGCGGAGGGCAGCGTTGGCCAGGGTCTCGGCCGAGCGCAGGAGGACGGTCTTCTCATCGAGAGCCTCGCCGTTGTAGGAGATGAAAACGGAGGGAATGTAGAGGACGTAGGTGCCATGGGGACCCTTGCGGATGAACATGGGGCTGGTGGTGTCCCAGATGGTGTAGCCACGGGCCTCGAAGGTGGTGCGCATGCCACCGTTGGGGAAGGAGGAGGCATCGGGCTCGGACTGGAGGAGCTGGGATCCAGAGAAGGTGTCGATGGGAGAAGTCTACAGGCCGAAGAGCGGTGCGTTAGCATATCGGGCCGAGACAGACGATGCGGGCTCCCGACACGCTCATATCGGATGGATGCGATCCGACTGGCCGAGATCTGACGCTCAGAACAAAAGACATGGATGATCGTGCAAGGTGCAGGCGCAGGTAGGAAGGAGGCACGGGATAGTCACCTCATCGAGATCGCCGACGACAGTCTTCAGGGTCAGGAAGTTGTCGTGCTTCTCGGCAGTGGTTCCAGTCTGAGGCTGGAACCAGTGAGTGAAGTGGGTGGCACCACTGTCGATGAAGTCGATATGAAAAGTGAAATGAAGTCAGAAACGAACCCGATCAGGAAAGAGAGAAGAAAAAAAAAACGACAGGACACAGACGGACACAGAAAGAGCGAGGACCCCGAATGCGGTCGGCGAGAGAGAAGAAAGCGCGCGAGAAGCGGAGAATCAAGCCCCAGACAAGCAAGGATCTCGTGGTGGTGTGTCAGGAAGCGCAGCGGGCATTGGCGCTGGTGCGTCAGCGACCAAAGAAGGAAGGAAGGGAAGAAAAAGCAATCTTTACCGGTCCATGGCCCAGACACGGACAGCGTGGGCGACGGCATCAGCGGTGGGGCGATCCAAAGTCTGTCTTCCCTGCGAGACGGCGGAACCAAATGAGCAGGGTCAGCCACAGCGCGACAATCTTAAATCCAAAACCGACGAGAAGCGACCGGCTATCGACCGGCTATCGACCGGCTATCGACCGGTCATCGAACCGGATGACGCCGCCGACAGCGAGCCACACGTCACGCGAAGAAGAAAAAAAGGAGGCTACGAAGAAAATGACAGACACGAGCGCCGCCAGAGTGAGGCTCAGCCAGCCACAGGAGCGTCATCGGCCACCAAACGAACCTTGATCTGCTGGACGAAGCGGGCATAGACGGGCTTGGGGAGGTGCTTCTGGAGCTCCTTGAGGGTAAAGACGTTCTGGCCGTAGATCTCGGAGATGTAGGCGTGGCGGTGGTCGACGGTGGGCCAGTCGACGACACGAGAAGGGCGGTCGAGACCCTCTCGCAGGGCCGAGATGCGGGCAGCGTTGGAGGCCATGGTGACGATGTGGGAGAGCTGGGAAGAAGACCTCGGAGGAAGGAGTGATGCGAAGGACCCAGGAGGGCGATGGAGACAAACTCGGCGACGGCGGCGGCACGGGCTTTATAGCCGACCAGGGTCAGGATGACGACGGCGCCAGGGAGCAAGATAGCACGGGATGCCAGCTGGGTGTATCTCCGATCACCGCGGGGAAGGCGGCTCGGGGAGGGGCTGGCCAACAAGGGAGACAAGCCCGCCGATATCGGCGCCAGCTGTGCGCAGCGGCGCGCAGCACTGGGCTATCGGGCCAACCCGGAGCGCCACGGCGCGGGCACGTGTCGGGGTGTCTGGGCGTGTCTGGGGCCCAACGTGCCGGGCGGACAGGCGGGGAGACACCGGCGGGAGTCTGCTGGTGTCCTGCCGGTGTCCTGCTGATATCTTGCTGGTGTCCTGCTGGTGTCCTGCGGGCGATCCGGCATGAACCGCGTCCAATGGCAACAACATCCGAATCCAATTCCAACAGCATCCGCATCCAATTCCAACAGCATCCAATTCCGATTCCAACAGCCACCGGTCGTCTCGGACAGAGGACCCCGGTGCTTCATGTCGCAGCAATGATCGCCACCGCAGCACCGCTCGCCGCCGCTGGTTCCTCGGGCGAGGCGGGAGAGCTCGTCGCTGTCGCGACCGATAGAGTTGTTATCGGGGCCGCCAATTGGTCCCGGCATAAGCGTCTGCACAGCTGCAGCGCGACCCAATGCACAGCCAGCATGGCGAGTGGTCCAGCGCCATGTCTGGTCGAGCGTCCAATGTCCAGCATCGAGCCTGGATACCCCGCGGAGTGGTTTCATGTGCAATTTGCATTCGCGGCGGTCTTGCAGCACCTTGTTGGCCTGGCTCCCGTCTGAACTCGTTGTTTTGCCTGCATTTTGGAATGCCTTCCACCCAGCTTCTTGGGTTGGCCTCGCGCTGACATCCTTCCAGCAACAGGCGAGCGCCACTCGGTCCGGTCGAATCGCATGCAAATCTGGTCGTGTTTGATATCTGTATTACAGGCACTGCGGCAAGGAGCAAGCGACAAAACATGAAAGGTGGGGCTGTGAAGCAAGGAAGGGCTGCGAGCGAATCTGGGAAGGATAGTGCTCTTGCGCACTTGCGCGACGAGCCCGGCGCCAGCAGCGGCAGACAAGATGGCGAGGAGCGCCACTGCCGGGACGACGCTGCGTTCAGAGCTTCTCGATGCGCTCGATCAGACCGCTCATCCGCTTCTCCAGGGCCTCGATGTTATTCTCGACCGAGGCTTGATTATCGGCGATGCTGGACTCGAGCCGCGCAATGGCCGACTGCATGAGCTTGGAATTGTCCTCGAGCTTGTCCTGGCCCTGGGTCAGCATCTTGAGTGACTCTGAAAACACAGCAGCCTCCTGGTGCAGGGTCTTGAGAGAGTGAAGGCGGGTAATAAGCTGCGGGATGATGTTGGACATGGGCTCCAGACGCTCCATGGTGCTGTGCAGATAGAGAATCTTCTTGTCCGTCTCGGATGGGGTGCTCCTGAGCGGGGCAACGACGCCGTCCTCGTTTTCCTCGAGAATCTCGGCCGTGGCCGACTCCTGAATCTGCTGTTGTTTGTGCAGATCCGACAGGTTGGCCATCTCCATGGTCAGGACCTTGACCCGCTTGGAAATCTGATCGAGATGTCGCGGGTTCGCGAGCAGGGTCAAATGGTGGTCGAGATTGTCGAGGGCGGCAACCAAGCTGCCGTTGTTGCGCAGGAACGAGTGCGCCGAGCCCTCGCCGCTCTGCTGCAAAAAGTTGGATCCAAACAGCCTCTCGAGCGAGGTCAGGCGGCCTTCAAGTTCGGTGACCTTGGTGAGCTGCGTCAGCTTGGCGGTTTCGGGGGAGTAGTACAGCTCGTAGGTGACCGAGCCCGCGGCCGGTGCGGCTGTAGCGGCAGCACTGGCTGGCGAGGCCGAAGGAGCACCCTCGGCATCAGCTTGTGCCTCGGCAGCCGGGGCGGCGCTGCTGTCACTCGGCTGCCCCAGTGACAGCTCCTTGAAGGCTTTGAGCTGGGCCATCAGCGACTTGCCCGTCTCGAGGTGCTTGGTGATCGAGGCATTGGGCTCGCCCGCAGCGCTGTGGGCGTGCGATGAGATCTTGCCGAGCTCGGCTTGGAGGGCCGCGAGCTGCTGGACGAGCTCACTGTGCGAGAGCGGGCTCGAGTTGGCCTTGTCCTCATTCGGGGCCTCGGCAGGCTCGCTGCTGGCCTGCGAGCCGATGGCCTCGATCTCCTCCTGGAGCTCCTCGGTCTCGGCAAGCAGTCGGCGAAGCTTGTCAAAGGGAGACTCTTGTTCGTCGGCAAAGCCGCGACCGACCTTCTTACTCGACGGGATGATCGAGTAGACCTCGCGGTCCGGCAGGTTGATTGTTTTGTACATCAGCGGCCGCTTCCGGTTGCTGAGCTTTCCCGAAAAGTCCACGTTCGAGGCATCGACGACCGAGCTTTGGAACTTTTCGCGGGCAGCCGTGGTCGAGGTCGAGAGACGGACAATTTCGTCGGTGCTGGTCTCTTCGGTCGAAACCAAAGAGTCCTCAATCAGAGCGTTGGCGTCGCTGGGCGTATCGGGGGTCTCGTAGACATCCGGTGCGTTGTAGTCGATGTCGGGGAGTGCGCTGTACTTGGACATGGCGGTGGCGGTGGCAGACGCGGGCTTGAGGGCGGGCTGCAGATGTAGCTTGAGGCGAGCTGAGAGGATAAATGCTCGACGGCGCTGGGGCTCGAGGGACGATGCGGAGGAGGGGGTGTCGATCACAGGCCGGACACAGCGGGGCGATGGGACCGGGAACGCAGGACCAGAACGAAGGGGATGGGACGGGGCGGGATGGAGCGAGCCGGGCGGGCTGGCGCACATTCGGGCAGCGATTGCCTTTTCGGGCCGCTGCGCACGACAGTCCGTCCTGGTTTCATGCAATCACGTGGGGGCGGTCCTGCGAAATCGATTGCCAGCCAAGAAGCCATGCCAGTGCCGGAGTCGTCGGGTGCAGTCGGAGGCTGTTCCGGGGACTCGGAGCAGAGTCTTGAGGGTATCATGGTCGAGGGCAAGCTGGAAACTCTCGTTGCAACAGACGATGGCGAAGATGTCTGGGCTGTGGTCGTCGATGGCCAGTCGAGCCATGTCGGGAGAACAGGGGCGATGGTTGGAGCAATGACTGGAGCAGCCGGCCATGGTGATTGATGGGAGATGAGGATGTGAGATCAAGGCGATGCGGAGGTGGCGGATGGAGACAAAGCGGCGAGAGAGAGAGAGAGGGGCACAGCAAGGCAGCCAGCAAGGGCGGAGAATCAAGTCGGGTCTCGGAGTGCCAGCGGCGAGTGGTGCTCTTGGACACAGGCAACTTTTCTCAGGCTATGGGTGATGGTATTGCACCGCATCACAGAATGGCCATGGTCAGCGCGCGATGGTATTGGGTAGCAAAATATTTGATCAATGGTCAAAATCAAGGGTGTCCTGTTTTTATTAGATATTAACTAAGATACTGTGGGGATCGAGATCTAGCTGACTTCAGGGTTCGAGCACATATTATCGACAGAGTGTGGTTCTATCGACGTCAACGTCAAGACAACAGTTGTTCGATAGTTAGCACACGAACCGCTGGCGCAAGAACTGCTGGCACAAGAACAAAGAGCCAGCCGGTCATGGTGTACACCACCAGCAGACCGCCATGGCTTGCATCAGCACCACCGAGCCAGAGGCACTGGCAACTTACATCCGAGGTGAGCTCAGTTAGGGAGGAGGAGTGTAGAATCCAATACCAGTGGAGACGTAGCCAGCGGGAGGAGGCGGGGTCGGAATGGCTTCGGCTGTATTGGGCGACAAAATCCCACGGCCGTAGGGTTAGTGCTCGTACGCTGGTGCTGAACTGCGAGTCCGCTCATTTCGAAGCACTATGTCGATGCTGCGGGTGAGAACGTTGAGCCCGCCTGGAAACCTACTCTCAGTCGGCATCATGGCCAGTGCCAGGAGGGCCATCATGATGGGAGTATAGTATGATGAGAACTTCATTGTGACTTTGCTGGATGTAGGAGCTGAACCGAGGAAACTACTCGATGCTGACCCAACTTTGTCGACCAGAGGCACCGGTTTTTATATCCCAGCCGCGGCCCGCCCTGACGGCCGAGGACAATGCACCCCTTGTCGATGGTCACTTGGAGATGCCCCACAATGAATGGTCTGGGTAGAAATCGCAATGGCCTATCCCAGATCTTCCTTTCGAAGACCACCTGCCAGGGCAAGCTGCCTGGCCAAGAACAGGAGCACTGAATCATGCCGTTGAATGGATGGGCTGACGAGTCGATGAATGGAGTGATTCAAGCAGCCGGCCGCAGAGCAAGCGATAAAGCAGCCTCGCTACAATGGCATGGCCCCTCGTTGGTCCCTGACGGCGTGATTCAAGGCCAGCCGGCCAAGTGCTGGCGGAAGAGGCATTGAGCCTCATTGATGCGGAGCGACCGAGCAAGATACCCCAGGCATTGTGTGCTGGCCGTGTCAATGTTCCTGTCTTGATTGTGGCCGCACAATGAGATCAGAGTTCTTGGACACTGATGCTTGCTCGCCACCACACTGCTGAAATACAGCGAACATTTTGAAACGAAACACCCACGGATGACTTGGGTGTCCTGTGTGGCTTGTGTGAATCAGACGGCGCCCGAACTCCATGAAATCCGCTCGCCGAGGTCCTCCGGCGATTTTGCTCTTGCCCTGTGTCTCCCTCTCTCACACAGGGACAACCAGGGAAATGATTAGATCGGGTGTGTGATCTGTTCCGAGTGGGACTATGTCTCCCATTGTCCTTCAATACACTGTGGCCCCAGTAATATCATATCGATGCATGCAGGCATGTATGTATGTATGTATGTATGTGTGTATCTATTTCGCACTTCCCACACAGCCGCAGGAACAGTGTTCCTTATCAGAGCACGCTGTAGATCATGAACAGGTTGAGGAAGGTCAGGGTCGAGCCTACGAGCACGGCAAATACCGTGGTGACCCAGTGGTTGGCTAGTGACAGCTCCTGCGATAGGCCCAAGGCTGAGCGGCGCAGGAATGTTTCGACAGACATGCGAGTTAGTCGAGGAAACGCATCGGGGGCCATCGCTCAGGAAATCCATCCTTCGCCAAAGCAAAACCAACGGCCGCATATGCCCAGCAACCACATCCAGCGAGCGACAGGACCAGACCCGAGAGCAGTGTATCGAGCTGGTGGGCTTACCGTTGTAGCGGACAGTCATGATGCGGGTATTGGCACAAAAGTATATCAATGGCCAGACACTGAAGGGTAGACAGATGGACAGGATCACCTGGCTCAGGACAAGCAGGTCGTTCACGCCGCTGTCGCCTCGATAGATCGCCACAGCAATCCCCGGGATGATGGCGACGGCTCGGGTAACCAGCCGACGGATCCAGAGCGGCAGCCGCATCTGCGTGAACCCTTCCATCACCACCTGGCCGGCGATCGTTCCGGTGATGGTTGAGGTTTGGCCCGAGAGCAGCAGTGCGACAGCAAAGACAACCGCCGCCCAGTGGCCAATGTCGGTCGAAATGAGCCCAAAGGCATCGCTGATTTCGGAGGCGTTCTGACCCCGGACAAAGAAGACGCCGCCAGCGACGATCAGAATGGCAGAGTTGATGTAGAGCGCAAAGGTGAGCGCCATTGCCGAGTCGAGGTACGAAAGATGCAGGGCCGTGCGGATGCGCTCCGCAAACATTGGATCGTCGACGAGCTTGCGGCTCTGGGGCGAGTCGAGCAGCTCCATCTCCTCCGAGAGCGGCGGCTGGTGCTCGAACCCGTCGATCTGCATCCCGGCGCCGTCCACAGACCGAGATTGCACCAGATACGAGTGGATATACAGGTTGTGCGGCATCACCGTCGCGCCGACAATCGCAATGGCCAGAAACAAGTACTCCTGGTCGATAAGCAGCGCTGGCTCGAGCGGCAAGTATCCCTTGAAGACATCAATCCAGACGGGGTTGGCCCGGCCCATGAGCACGCCAAAGCAGGCTCCGACGACAAGCACCAGGAACATGATGCCCAGTTCGAGATAGCGCATGTACTTGTCGGCCAGACCGCTGAGGATAATGATGACATCGGTGCCGGTGATGAGGATGCCCCAGACAAGCGGAATGCCGAACAGCAGCTTGAGGGCGATGGCCGAGCCGATAACCTCTGCCAGGTCTGGGCTCGCGCAGACCAGGAAGTGCAAGCCAGGTGTGTCGTTGAAGTTCATCAGCAGCATCAGGATCAGCACGGCCGTCATCGATCGCAAGAATGCCACCGCCGCAGCGAACGTGATGGCCAATGCTCGTCAAGCGAAACGGCGCACCTGTAGCCAGGATTCCAATCTCGGCAACGACGTAAATGAGCTTGTTCAGCCATGGATGCAGCGTCTTTCTCGACAGCAGCGCCAGGTCGCAGCCCGTCACCAGCCCGACCTTGATGGCCATGTTCTGGAGGAACACCGCCATGCAGTTCGACACCAGAATGAAGAGCAGCAACTTGTACTGGAACTTTGACCCGCCAGCCAAATCGGTTGCCCAGTTGCCTGGGTCCATATACCCCACGGCGACGACGAAGCTGAGGCACGTCGAAGACCCGTATTTGCCACCGTCCGGCGCCGTTCGCAGCGAGCAGATGCTCCGCATTAATGAAATTGCCACAGCGAGCCAGAGGGTGCGCCTGAGAGAGCAAGATGCAGTGCTGGATCCTGATAGCTTACCCGGGGCCAATATGGGCGAGAAAGAGCTTCCAGAACGGCCGCTGGCCGGCCGACAGGCTGTCGCTCGAGGCATTCGCCTGGTCTTTGAGAGACCCAGCGAGCGACGGCGGGCGCTCAGCCGCCGTATTCGAGGCGGAGTCGTCCCATCCCTCGCCAAGGACATTGCCGTGGGATGAGGGATAGGCCAGCGCAGAGTCGGCAATGTCGCTGTGCTGGAGCTCGTCGCTCTCGTCGACGGGTCGATAGGGATGGCGGCTCGCCCCAAAGGCAAAGATCGGCCGCTCCATCGCGAGGGTGCCGTGGCCGGATCGTGGGAGAGAGAGAGAGTCGTCCGGCGGCAGAAGAAAGGACGAAGACAACAGGCCGAACAGAGCCGCTGGATGGGCTCGTGCTGACAACCAGAAGGACGCGCCAGTCCTTGGCGATGCGTGCTCTCTGCTCATCTGCAATCCCCGCTCAATCCCGTTGCGGTCTTGCCTGCCATTCGCTCTGCTGCCGCTGCTGTCGAGGATGCTCTGGTGCTCTTCCCTGACCCGAGCAGCGATACGCCGCGTGCCGTCGCTTGCAAGGTGTGCCAGGAGCCGCCATGTCCTTTGCACCGAGCTTCTCTGCGCATCGATGTCTTGTTCAGCTGTCGCCGCAATGCTGAACATATTCTCCTCCTACGACCAGGCTCGAATCTCCTCAACGACGCTGGTCCCATGTCGGCGTTGCCTTTGACATTGGTCTGTGGTTCTCCAGGCTGCAGCTCTGGCGAGCAGATCCAGTGCGATCGCGATGCTGACGGATCCATCCGTTCCTCCAACCGATCCAGATGGTGTGCTCGTTCGGGGCAAGAACGTCCTGCCCGAGGCCAAGCGGGCGATCAAGATGCTGGATGAGAGGTGGTGTGTCGGATGGTGGTGTGTCGGATGGTGGTGTATCGGATGGTGGTGTATCGGATGGTGCCCCGGGATCTTGCATTTTCGACTCCTTTCCCAGCAGTGATCCGCCATCGGCAAGCGGCACTGACCTGACATTCATCGGTCTCCAGGAACATCCCCTACATCTTCTTGACAAATGGAGGTAAGCAGCCACCAAGGCCCACATCCGAATCCCCAACATGCATCGGAGCGGACGACTGAACATGGCCCTTTTCGATCGATGGGATGGCAATCAGGTGGTGTCCCCGAAAGCGTCCGAAGCATCGAGCTCAGCAAGCGGCTCGAAACCAAGGTGGGCACAATCCTGGGAGATAGGCGCATGAGCCGCATGTGAGCGACCAGCAGATCCAGCCAGCTCCAGGACACATCCTCACATCGGTTTGCTGCCCCCAGATCGATCCCCTGCAGGTGGTCCTGTCGCATAGCCCAATGCACGATCTGTCCAACAAGTACCGCGATCGTCCGGTGCTGATACTCGGCAAGGATACATGCAAGGTGACTATCGAGTGGGCGACTATTCGACCCAACCGAGGCAGAGCCCAGCTGCAACCCAGCAAGCGGCAGGCCAGTAACTGAGCAACACCGTCTCACGTCGACTACCTCCGTCGAAACCCACATTCAGGACGTAGCGCTCGGATATGGGTTCCAGAAGCCCTTCCTTGCAGCCGAGCTGATGGCATGGGCACCGACCATGTGTCCATTCACTCCTGCACCAACACAAAAGTATTCGACCACCATTGATTTTAGCAAGGAGCCGGTAGGAAGCAACCCGGACCACAGCGACTGGCCAACCTGACAGCAGAGGCCGCGACGGTTGCAGAGGAGCCGATGGCCAAGGATCGGCGACTCGCAATCTTCAGCCAACGATGAGCTACCGCTGCGTGCTAACCTGGCGCTCGTCCTCTCTGGTCCACATAACCATCCTGTGCGATCCAGATCGCCGCAATCGTAAGTGAGAGACCATCCGTCTGCTGTTTGCGCCCGCAGCTCGAGATCTGAGGACGTGCTTACTCTGAGGACAGGGCTGCTTGGCTAATCTATCATGCTCCGTGCCTGCTGTAGATGATGTTCCACGACTCCTGGGACTGGGGCCGTGACCTGCAGATTGCGTGCGATGTTCTCATCTCCAGAGGTACGGCTGTGTTTCGCCCAAAGTCCTGGACGGTGACGACCTGGTGGATCGAAGGCTGGTCGGCGATGATCCATTTTTTTTCCGAAACCATCGTTAACACGGAGGCGTTTGCTGTGTAGGTGGATTTGCTGGCACAATATCCGATCCTAAGGCGCCCCAAAGGTACATCGCATGCATCTCTGGCTCCGTTCTCCGTGTCCCGACATGAGTTGCTGCTGCTCTACAAAAGTAGGCGATTACAGACATTGCTTTCAGGCAAGCTCACATCTGCGCCACTACCCACAAATCCAGCGTCCCAATCTATTTCAGCAATCCCGATTTTGTCTGGAGCAACGAGTACCCAGTCAATCGATTCGCACAGGTGCGGTCGGCGGCTGCGTCGTGTGGGACTCTTGGGGACTATCAAGAGTCGATGGTGGCCGAGACACATATGGTCGCAGCCGTGCCTTTGCTTACTGGACTGACCACTTGCCTGTCCGAAACCTGGAACGCAGGGCGCCTTCCGCCTGGCCCTCGAGCGGCTATATCAAGAGCTCAAGGGAGTGCCCCTCCAATACACACAGTTTGGAAAGCCAACCGAGAAGACATACAGGCAAGTCGTTCGATCTATGGAGGAGTCTCTCGGGCAGTCGCGCATATCACAGGAATCATCGGCATCGCTGACGCAATTGTCCTCTTTCGATTCTACAACTGTCGCGAATCAGATTCGCCGAGGCCGTGATGGAAGAGTATGCACTGAAGGCCGGCAAGCTCGCGGGACCAGCAAAGATTCGGCGAAAGATATACGGCATCGGTGGTGAGTCAGCGATTGGCTGTTGGTTATGGACGGTCGGCGGTGAAAAGCACCCCTCGCTGGATGTCCGGCTGGCGAATCGCATGCTCACTGCAAGCTTGGTTCCGTGGCCACCCCCAGACAACCCAGCCTCAGGTAAGGCATAGAAATGCAAGCAACCCACGACAAATATACTGGCACACAAAGCAGCTACGCCCACATATGGCATTGGACTGACATGGAGATCGACGGCTCTGGACACACCTGCCATCACACAGATATCGAGGTGAGATCTCGTCATAGTCCGTGGAGGAGTCCTCGAGCCAAAGAGAACAGTGCTGTTGGTCGGTGAAATAAACAGGAACTGGGCTGGCTGCATCTGTGGTCTCAAGCGCATTCAGGGGTGGGAGACCTGTGCCGGAATGCAGACACACTGACTGAACGATATCATGGCGGCGAACTCAACAGGGGGCCAACAGAAACGGCTGGCACTCCATTCTCGTGCGCACGGGGGTCTGGAGGCAAGACCTGCACGGAGACGACCATGGAGCCGTCCACGTCGTGGATCATGTCGAAGATGCCGTCCAACTGCTGCTGGAGCAGGAGGGGCTTGCATAGATATTATGTGCCTCTGTTCAATTCCATGGGGCACCCGCGCCAGCCAGCCAGCTCAAACGCAGAAGTCACTGAGCAAAAGCAATTGATCAAGCTGCTGTACATCCCACATCCCGCAGTCGCAATGACCGTCACCCGTTGCTTCCAAGGTCCCAAACACGCCAGTTTACCATCGACGCTCCGAGGCACACCTTTTGTTGCTGGGACTAGTGGCCGTGGTTGCTGACCCAGGCAGAAGCCAGCCCTTCAAGTGTCTGCGACAGTTTGGCAGTCCATTCGCCAAAGCTTCCCGAGTCGCGAGGGTTGGTCGAGGCGCCCGGCTCCGCTGCTGACCTTTTGAACAGAACAGCGAGGGGGATGTCGTCGCTGTGGGGGCTCGGTACCTCGTCCAGCATGGACAGATCATAGCGGTCGGTGATCTCGGGCTGAGGGAGGCCAGGAAAGTGGGCGTGGTCAGCGACAATCAGGACGACCGGGAACGAGCGACAGCAGGGAGCGGCTATTTACCGGGCCGCACAGAGCCATCATCCGGTCCCAGCGATGATCGTCCTCGTGCCATTCGACGGAACCGACACTCGGCAGGTCGCTCAGCGACACTGCATGATGCCATTGATTCAGGGTGGGCGGCACAGCGGCGCCAGACACAAATGCCATGGCCTGTGCTTGAGAAGAGCGGCTCTCGGATTGATTTCCGGCGGACGCATCGATCGAGCGACGCTCTGTACACTCTCCAAGCAGCTCGTTCAAAAGGTCGGAGCTGCTGTCTGAGTGGATCGAGTGGTGGTCGGACCAGCTGACGAGCCGGGAGCGGGGCAACGGGCAGCCGCCGTCACAATCGTCAAGGTCGCTGCCGCCGTCTTGCTCCCCAGCTCGAAACTCGTTCATCTTCATCTGGGCACGGAAGTAAGCGCTGGCCATGATCTCGTCATCCTGCTGCGATATGATCAGGTCCGATCCGAGGAGATGCAGGAATCGGCCGAGGTCGTCGAGCAGGCTCGCCGAGAACAGGTTGTCGAGCAAATGGTGCTGGTGGTGCTGACGCTGATTCTCGGCCGGCGACTGAGCGTGGGAACCAAGGTCGTAGCATGACTGGAGCCAGCGCAGCGAATGCACAGGGCTGTCGCTCTGGGTGGTCCAGCAGTACGCTGCGAGCACAGCAAGGACAAGAGCCATGCGCAGATCGGGTTGGTGCTCGGTGGTAGTAGCCAGAGCTGGCGGTGCTGAGTGGGACTCGGAGTCTCTGTATCCAAGTGTGCTCATGTAGTCCAGCAACTGTGGCCACTTGCTTGGCCCTCGCAGGCGCCGGATGTAGATGAGGGAGGTGCGCATGAGATTCGCGGATGTCGGGGAGGCAAGCCGGAGGTCGGCATCATATTGGGCCAGAAGCTGTAGTATGTCGAAAAGACCGGCTGCTTCAGTCAAGAACATCCTTGGTGCTGGATCCGGCGAAGGACGGCAGGCTATACCTCGGCAAGATCCTGGAGCGCTGGGTATTCCTCCAGTTGGCGACAGTCAAACGGCTGTGCGGACCACAGGCTCAGAAAGAAACCGCTGAAGCACACAGGGTCGAACATGGCCACGACCAGCGACAGACGGGTGCGCTTCGATCGAACAAGCGGACGGGCAGAAGTGGGATCGGATGAGAGAAGAGCAGATGCTGTCGATCGGCTGCTGGTCGGCCAGCGGCTGGTGGTGTTTGGCGATGCCGCAATCGATCTCGTTCGGGCTGCCGGTGGTGTTCTGATGCCGCCAAGAATATTCCATGATGATTGGGGGTCTCAGTCCGCCGGGCCAACCGCCGACGACGAACCGCCAAGCAGTGTGAACGTCACTCAACCAGGCGGCCGACCAATGCCATCCGACCCACACAAGCCCGTTTCAAGATGAGTTCGGTGTATTCTCAGGCAACAGAAGCAAAGGTCAAGTCCAGATCGGCGCCTTCGGGGCGACCCTCACTCCCCATTCCTCCGTTCAGTATGCGCAGAGTGTGGATACCAAAAAGAAAAAGAAAAAGGGGGGGGGACATAAGGGTGCAGGGAGGAAGGCAGTGGCGAGCGAGAAGGGAAAGCAGGCATTTGGGCTCCGCAGCAAACACTGCAGCAATCACTGCCTTGATCAGGGAGTGAGGGAATAGTGGGGGTACAACGAAAACATTCGAAAGGCAGGTCCAGCAGCGAAGGACGCCGTGGAAAGACAGTACAATGGAGCGCAGGGAGTTGCAGATGAGAGGGGCATCGGCCGGGACCCAAAGGCAGGCCCAAGACAGCGGCACCGGCACCGGCAGCGCATCTATCTGATCTGGCTTAGTGGTCCAGGATGCGCAGGTTGCCAGAGACAACCTTGTCGTCCAGAATCGAGCCCGAAGGGATATCGATGCGCTGACCAAAGTTGGCGACGATGATGACGGTGCCTCGCAGGGTCACGTCGTGGCCAAAGGTGACATCGCCAGTGACGGTCAGGTGGTCGAGCTCGAGGATGTGGGGAGGGCTAGCGAAGCGGGAGAAGAACTGCTGGACCTTCTTGAAGTGGTCGCCGAGCTTGATGATGGGGGTGGTGGGGAAGGGGCGGTTGGGGTTGACGATGAGCTCGCCGTGGTGGAGCGAGTACAGATCCGAGGTGATGAGGAACAGGTCCGAGCACGACTTGACGGGCAGGAAGCGGCGGCGGGGGACGTTGATGCCATGGGCGCCCTCGAAGTGCTTGATGGCAGCACCAACGGCAGTCTCGAGCTGGATGATCTTCTCGCCAGAGTCCAGGGTCTTGGTGTTGACGATGATCTCCATGCCAAGGGACTGCTCCTCGATGACGCGCTTGATGGCCTTGAGCGAGATCCAGAGGTTGTTGGTGTTGAAGATCTTGAACTTCTTGACGGACTTGAAGTCGTCAATGTGCTCCGAGGGAACCTGGGCAACCTCGAGCAGGCGGATCTTGCCCTCGTAGTCGATGAGGGTTCCACCCTTGACATCGGCCTTGGTCTTGTCGGTGACCTCCATGATAAACTCGGCGCCGCTGGCAATGACGTGCTCGAGGATGGTGGTGTCGACGGTGGCGCCAAGGTTGTCGACGTTGGAGACAAAGAGGTACTCCTTGCCCTCGTTGATCAGCTTGTCGAGCAGGCCCGAGTTGGACAGCGACTCGAAGAGATCACCGTGGCCCGGAGGGTACCACTGCGAGAGGGGAGCGTCGGGCTTGGTGGGCATGGGCAGAAGCGACTCCTTCATGACACGGGGGAAACGGCTCTGGTTGAAGGTGAGGATGTCGACCTGGTGAGCGCGGTACTTTTGGATGATGCGACCGGTCTCGTCGTCGGTGTTGAACGAGTTCATGAGGATGAGAGGCACGTTGGTGTTGTGCTTGGTGTTGAGGTACTGGATCTGGCGGACAGAGAGGTCGAGGAAGGTCATGCCGTCGCGAACTTCGATGGCGCTCTTGGGGCCAACACAGCCCATGGTGGTGCCGAGACCGCCGTTGAGCTTGAGGACAGCGAGCTTGCTGAGGTTCTCGGTCTTGCTCTCGAGGGGCATCTCAGGGAGCTGGCCGTAGGGGACGATCTGTTCGGGAACGGGCGACTTGACCTTGCTCCAGTTGCTGGAAGACAGAGCCGGATCAGGACGCCGATCACTGGAAGCACACGGCCAGTGGAGCACGATGGCGGTGGTGCGCATAGCCGCAGACACAAGAATGTTGCAAGAGGCAAATGTGCCGTCAGGGAGACAACTTACAGCTTCTCGTGGCGAGCCGACTCTTGCAGGTAGCGAGTGAAGAGATGGTAGAAACCGTCCATCTCGGCAGAGAAGAGCTGCGGACAGAGGACAGCCAAAGTGAGCATGACGGAGGACGGACAAGACAAGTATGGCAGAATGGTCGGCAGCTAGAGCGACGGGGACTTGAGCCAGCGCTGCTGGGGCCGACACGGATATATGTCTCCCGCCAGCACCTCGAGCGCAAAAGCATCGATCGCCACAGGGCTGTACGTGACCGTGCAAGGTCGACTGGAGCCAGAGCTTGCGCACGGTAACTATAGCGAGCCGATTGGGCGGCGAATACGGAGGCTCCCGATTGTTGGCACGCAGTCTTTACCTCAGAATTGGCGCTCTCAGGAACCTGGGCCTTGAGCTTCTCCAGAGCAATCCTCATGGTCTTGGCCTGCTGGTTGACGGTGGTCTCCTGGAAGCTCTGGCAGTCGCAGCAAGCCGAGCAGAACGGAACAGAACGGAGCAGAACGGAGCCAGCAGATTGCTCGTGAGTGGCTGAGCCAAGGTGGATTGCTTGGAGCAGGCGGCTTTGGATGCAGCACCACCCAGCCAAGATCGCTGTCCCCTCCCGACGCCAACGCAGATGATAGCCCTGCCCGATGGCCAGAGGCAGATGGCCGAGAGAAGGCGACAGGCACTTGCAGCGGTCGCTTGCGATGATGAGGCAGCAGAGTCCGATTCGCGGGCGGGTTACTTACGGTCTCGGAGCGGGTGCGCTCAGAGGCGAACTGGGCGCGGATGTAATCGAGGGTGCCCTTGACGGGGACGGCGGGAGCGGCAGAGGTTTCGGAGATCATGGCGAGGAACGGAAGCGACGGGCACGATCCGGACTGGAGGAGGCAGCAAGATGCAGGCGAGAGGCAGATGGGGGCAGCAGGCAGGATTCCGACGGGAGAGGGCAGGGCTTTATAGGACCTGCATGGGGGGGGAAAGACAGCAGCCGGGCGAGCGTGTTTCACTGGCTGTCCGCCAGAGGCCGTCAACAAACCAATCCGCGCGGCGGCCGTATCGGAGCAACACAAGGGGGGGGGATCTCGCAATCCACCTCGGCGGCCTATCTGAGAATCGCAGCTCCCCGCCCCAAGTCGTCGCGGGGGGAGGCGACAAAGCGCTCTTGTGCGCCAGCAAGCCGAGCACTCTTGTGGCCGCGGACGTGCCAGCCACAACCCACTCGCACGCTGGCGAGCAACAGACAGGCGCTTTGGGGGGGCCAGCGGGCAGTGCAGGGGGTCGATTGCCATGATGGGTGATGTTACAGGTGCGGTGGTGGTGGTGGATGATCGACGAGGCCGGACAGCAGCTGTTACTTGGCCAGCATGTTAATAAACATGTTAACAGATAGCAGGACATACTCGCCAACGATACTCACCAACGGTACTCACTAACGATACTCGCCAACGATACTCACCAACGGTACTCACCAAGGTACTCGCCAACGGTGCTTGCCAACGGTGCTTGCCAACAATGAACAACAGCAAACGACAACAGATCCCAGGCCGTATACACCCGGTGGATCCAGACGGTGGCAAACCAGTGGACAGCGAACGCCCCAGATTTTTTTTTTCTTTGCTGGTGTGCTGAGCAGTCGGAGAGCGCAGTGACCAGCGGGCGAGCGACGCCGGCCATGCCCGGCCATGTCCGTCTGGATCCGCAGAGCAGATAACACATTACCACACTAACACAACCAAGCATTAACACAACCAAGCGTTAACACAACCAAGCATTAACATAACACACCACCCAGGCAGCGCTAACGATAGCATTCATCCGGAGGCAGCGGCGCTGTCGGCGTCCGATGTGCCTGCGTCCCCCCGAATCGGCGGCTGTGCGCCTCCTGCAACCCTCACCCTTCAGGCCATGGCCAGCCCCCCACCAATCGGCTCGCTGTCCCCCCTTATCGAGGCACAGGACGGGCTTGTGTCGGTTGGTATGGCATCGTTGTTTCCATCGCACATCCCATCGCACATCCCCACCTACTCGCCCGTCTCCGCATCGCTCCCGTCTCTCGTCCCCGCCGCCTCCGCCGCCGTTGAGCGTTCCGACAACCCAGCAACATGACGAGCCGTGACTCACGGCCCCGGTCCTCAACAGTCTTGCTCTCCCTGGGTCCACCGCATGCTCCGCCCGGGTGTCTTGTTCCATGTCGTGCTCCATGTCCCATTCATGTCTGCTTTGACTGCCGTCTTGGTTTGGTGCCGCAAAGATCCGCACACTGTCATCTTTCAAAGCCTGCTCAACCATCTCCATCCCCCCCAATGACTGTCACCTCCTCCCAACACTCCCCCCTCCAGGTCCCCGGAGTCTGCTTCACTGGTCTTGAGGAGCTATCATGCGAGGACACTACACCTCTGCTCAGCCACATAGCCAGCAGTCCGATCGATGTACTTTGGTCTTTGGCAGCACCACCCATCACGGCCCGGATCCTGCCTCGCTACATGGACTCGACACCTCGCTTCGAGAGAGCCCGAGAAACGCCAGCGCATTGCCGCCCAGGATCATTCTTCTTTGCTCGTCCGTGAGTCCCTTGCATTCGGCCACGAGCTTCCCAGGCTCGTGCTCGCCGACTTGCCATTGTCGAACCAGGCCAACGACACAAATGAGCATCAAGGCAGAGTCGAGCGTGAGTCGACGGGTCGCTGTGCCAGCAGTATGCCGACCGGCCCTGCGTTTGCGCCTCGGCAGTGACTTACGCGGAAACGGGTAGTCGCTGCCCAGAATCACTCTGTCGGCCCCGACCTTGCGGACCAGATACAGCAGGGCTTCTTCGTCGTGGACCAGCGAATCGCACCAGAATCGGCCCAGGAACGTCATCGGGTCACTTTGGCAGTTGGTGGCCACCAAATCGGGCCGCACTCGGAATCCATGGGCTATCCGGCCGATGGTATACGGCAGCGATCCGCCGCCGTGTGCAAGACAGATCCGCAGCCTGGGATGGCGCTCGAGCACCCCGCCGAGGATGAGCGAGCAGATCGCAACAGTCGTCTCGCACGGCTGTGGCAAGATCCGTGCGGGGAAAATCGTGAGCCAGACGATCAAACCATGAAGCCAAGTTGCATGCCGGCGGCATGCGTCGCTCCTCGAGCCAGATCGAGAGCACCCACCATGCCGATCAGCCAGGGAAACCAGTACTTGGTCATTCGTCTGGACGGAAAGATTGGCCCAGCATCGTCAGGGCGGCTCAGATCGATCCACAGGGTATCTGAAGCACTACAACACTAGGACACGGCTCTTACCCCTTGCTGTCCATGTCCCACGGATGGATAAAGACAGCGGCGTCGAGCTCCTCACAGGCCTGCCGATGCAATTGTGAGTATTTGTCGTGCCTCGAAGCAAACTTGAAGGGTCCGGCAGCAGCATAGGCACACCGAGATAGCTCGGGCCACCTACCGTCCACACTGGCTCCAGCTCCGGCGCATCTAGGTTCCAGTCTGGGCCATCGCGGAATGCAAGCAGCAGTTAATCCACCGAGCCTTGCAGGCGAGCAGCGGCGCTGTCCATGGCATTTACTGCTCAGCGGGCAACATTACGCCGCAGACACCGACCGTTGATGTGGCTGCCAATCTGGATTCCTCGCATGCCCAGCTCGTTGATGCATCGCCGGAGTTCTTGCACAGCGAGCGTGGGCGACTGCATCGGCACGGTTCCCAGACCAGCGAAGCGACCGGGGTACTTGGTGCAGACTTGGGCAATGTGGTCATTCAGGAATCTGCAGCCGCGAGCGTCAAGGTGCTGAGAGTGAGTGTCTGGTGCTCTGGTCGGTATTCGCCTGCCTCCCGTATTCGCATCCCGCATTCGCATCCAGCGCTATCACATTTCTCCCCCACCTCGAAACCTCGAGGCAGTCCTCGGGCTTGGCCCAGTAGCTAAACATCACCGGGATCGTCGACAGGACTTGCAGATCCACGCCGGTCGAGTGCATTTCACGCAGTCGCTCCGCCGGGTCCCAGCAATTGCATCCAACGTCCCTGAAGGGCTTGCCGTCAATCTCCATCCGCCATGACGGTCGCTCAGGGCCCTGCTGTTGCTGCTGCTGTTGTTGCTGTTGCTGCTGTTGGCATGTCTCGCTGAGCCCAGACCTATCGCCGGCCTCGGCATCAATCAGCTTCCCACGTGTGGCCGACGAAGAGCAGCCTCCGACCGACTGGCTCATCGATATCCACCCGCCATAGCCAAATCTTTCTTTCCAGTCTGGCAGCGAGTCGGGGATGATGTGTGTGTGCATATCGCACCGGAACGTTGCCAAGGTGGTGGGGAGCTGCATGCTCAGGTATTCGCTTGGATGGTGTGGAGTGATGTGATGCTGGCTGAGGGCGAGCTGATGCGGGCTGTCTCCAGCATTGGGGGGAAGGTACCTCTGCATCACTGCTCTCGAATCAGGGACGGGCTTCTGTCAGGAATGTTCTGACGACAAGCATTCGCCGGCCCGGGTTTGGCCGGAGAGCCCGGTGCATTTCTTTGCAGGCAAAGACCACTTTACTTTCCTGGAGATGGAGAGAGCTCATGCCCTTGGCTCATCGAGCTCGCCACACCCAGCGGCACTCACACTATCAATATTTTCCGGCCCTCTCGCGGCTGCTCATCTCGGTCACCTGAAAGTCACGTTGTATGTGACGCAGCAAAAGTTGGAATCCGGCCATGGTCGGTTGACGGCATTTGTTATCACCTTGAGCCGATTGACGGTGGTGGTGGGCGATTGGTGTGGAGGAATGACCAATTGTATCATTGTTGGAAGCTCCACTCCGATTGCGGACAAGAACCACCACCATCTGAATCTCTCTGGTTGGAAACCTAGTCAAGCGTGGCTGTGTGTCAGCGAGATGACATGATCGTTTGGCTATCAGGCAAGACTCACCTTGACAAGATGTCTTCCCACGACTGATTGAGCGAGCGATGCGTTTCTGGATCTGAATCAAGGACGCCACTGCACAGTATCACTGCCAGCCCAAAATGCGCTGGTTTTGAGGAGATTCTCTCTTCCCCAAGGGCAGAACCAGCCATCGCTGCTATTTTCTCGCCAGATGGCTCCCAAGAGAAAGACACCCCCCGACCCCGACCCAGGATCACCCAATGACTCTCATGTGGCCAAGAAACCCGTCATCAAATCGTGTCGTGCCTGTGGCCTGACCAACCATGCTAGACCCTTCACCAAGAAGTGCACAGCCAGAGTCGACAGCAGCCCTGCCTCTGGCTCTGCCTCGGTCGCTGAAATGGTCAGCCAAGCACTCCCTCCACACGAGTCCAGTGACGACACTGCCTTCCCAGCCCTCGTGGTCGAGATTCCCGCACCCAAGGTCCCTGTATGTGCCACGTGCAAGCAAGAGGGTCATGCCAGAAGCAACACCCCAAAGTGCCGTTTCTATAAGCCACTCTGGAGCTCTACCTTGCCTGACTGTGGCCCAAACGAGCAAGTAAAGGCCGAGTACTCGGTCATCAAGTGCACTCTGGACGCCATCATCAAGAACGACACCTTGCACGACAAGATCGAGGAGACTGTCCGGGCCATGACACACGTGCAGTACGAAGCATCTCGTCTCCTGGAGCTGCATCTCAGGCGGTGCTTGGACGAGGGCATCACTCTCCCCACTGTGTCGTCGAAAGACCCCTCGTTCGTTCGAAAATGCTTCAATATGGTGCAAACAGGAACAGTGAGTGTCAGGACGAACACCCCGGAAGATGACAGGCACATCCTCGACACATATGACCTGTATCGAAGTACATGGAGTGGATCGTATATCCTGCCTCCTGTGTCCCTCCCAAAGGGTACTGGGTCACAGGTCCTTGGTTTGGCTGTCAAGACCTATGCAGTCAACTGTGAGACCCACGTTCTCGATCGGTATTGGTCCCTTCTACGCCGATACTGCAATTTGGTCCTGGTTGCTCCCAAGGATGTGAAACGTCATACACACGTCGATGAGTGTATGAAGCTGATGGAGAATCCCCTCTCCAAGACACTCCTCGGTGATCTGAGAAAATCCTTCGCCCACCATGCCGACCAGTTGTATGAGTTTCGGTACGAAAGCCACCAGGACCTGTACAAAGTCGTACCAATTCTGGCCAGTGAGGTCTCTCGCCTGACCCACCTGAAGGAGGCCCTCTTCATGGTGGTCTTTCAGAAGATGATCATTCCCAGGCTCGTGAGGGATACCGATGATCTGAAAGGAGAGCGTGGGCGACTGAACGAGGAAATGTGTTGCGCTATCGAACGAAGGCTGCCTGACAAGCACAACGCACTCCAGACCCAGCACGAGGAGGTGTGCAAGCAGGTCACCGTCAACACGAAGCGAATCAAGCGACTGGCCGACCGGCTTGCCCAGACCAAGAAGCGACACAACATCCCTCGAGCACAGTGCACCTTGGTCCCGCTCTGCGATGCCAGAGCAAAGTATGTCAAGCTCGACACCACAGCACTATGGGAGATCCTTGGATACCAGACTGGCACTGGACTCAAGTGGGACGACCTGAAGACCAAGGTCAATGACACCACAAAGCAAGAGACCTTCTGGCAGACCAACTTCAAGCTGGATCCGAGACTCTTTGGTGCCAGGAAGGAGGGGAAGCAGCTCTTTGGTTGCAAGATCACCACCGATGGAGTCGGGTGTTCAATCACCACACTCAGATACAGGATCCTGGAGAAGCAGGACCCTGATGCCAAGCCAGAATCCACAGACAAGGACGACAAGACACCCAAGCTCACTCTCGAGAAGAAGATCCAGAGCAGGGTCGGTCCCATTGACGACTCTCGGACCACATGGATCGGGATCGACCCTGGTGTGGGATCGATCTTCACCGCTGTCATTCGGGCACCCGGTCAACCATCCATCCAGGAGCAAGACGGTGTCAAGGTGACCAAGGCACAGCGCGCCAACGAGAAGATCGTGTCGTTCTCCAACAAGGAGTACCAGCATCGAACTGGCACCACCCAGGCGACCAAGTGGATCCAGAGCACCCACAAGATCCTTGGTCTGCAGCAATGGATGAGCACCACACCAAGTCCCAAGATCCCTGGAGTGCCTTCTTTCCTGCGATACATTCGCCATGTGTTCGATGGAGACATGCTGGAGAAACAGCTGTACTTCAGCCTGACCCGGCGACGGCGGTTCAAACGGCTTGATCTCCACAGCAAGCGACAGCGCACCGTCCACGAGATGTGCAAGCAAGTCATCGGCCAGGCACCAAAGGAGACCGAAGTGGTGACTGCCTTTGGGAATGCCTCCTGGAAGCAGGGGAAGGGATATGCTTCCAGTCCCAGCAGACTCAGGTTTGCCAAATACTTTGAGCAGTTCATCCACCACCAGAGACGCCAACCAGACCGATCCGTCTCCAAGATCCATGTGTGCTCGGTGAACGAGTTTAACACGTCCCAGGTGTGCTCACACTGCCGAGAACTCAAGCGACTCGAGTCACCCGAGTATCTTGATGTCGAGAAACCACACTTTGTCCGGAGCTGTACAAGCTGCCATACGCTGTGGGATCGAGACATCAATGCCTCAAGGAACATAATCTCGGTATGCCAGTCGATCATCGCCACAGGAGATCGACCGGGTGTATTCAAGACTGTGCTTCCCAAACCAACCAAAAACAAAGAGATTGCCAACGAAGACAGGAGTGCAATGCCATGGCCTGCCCGCTGGGCCTACAGTCAGTCAGCGGGGTTCAGATATCCGAAGCCAGAAAGTGACTGTCCCGTTTCTTTCTGGATAGACTGTAAGTATCTCGCACTGTTGTGCATTTTGACAGTGGATGCCGGGTCGCCCATATTCTGGGCAGTCCACTTCGGGGTTGCCATCCCTCTTGGGATGGTGATGGGAGGTGGTTAACTCCCTTGTGCAATGTGTGTGTGTGCGGATGTGTGTGTGTGTGACGGCGAGAGGCTTCTCGCCTTCCCTCGGGGGTCTCTCGCCAGAGACTGCTCTTCTCGCCGACCGAGGTGGCTCCGAGAGCGCGTTTTTTCGTTCTCGCTCATTTTATCAACAAGAAATTTTTTCATAGTGTCACTGCCATTCCTCGCTATCGACTCTGGCTGCAGGAGAGCCCTTTCCCCGCGGCTCGCTGATTGACCCCACAGACTGACTGGAGCGAGTGACTGGCTGCCACGACGGCAGCGCAGCCAAAGTCAAACGACGATTCCGGAATCGGAAAGGCCGCGAAATGTCGCATTCTTCTGACACACAATATCCCACGGGAATGGAGACATCATGCTCTAAAAGAATGCTTTGACTTTGTGCCAGGAGGAATAATTGACCATCCATTGTTACCTCAAAGCCAACACTGTATCTGGCAAAGGCGAGCACGATCTCTGCTCGGAAAATAGTACGTTGGAGTACTCCCATCAATCAAGCAAACCATCTGCGGCTGTCCCCGGAACTCACAGCCACGGCAGTCCGCGTAGTATGTCGACTCTGGCAGCGCAACAGCAAGTCAATGCAGTGTAATCCCCCCGTCGGTCTGCCTCGGCTACTGTCCGCCAAAGGTCAGCCATATGACGAGGCACTGGATTGGAACTGCGCGTTGCCTGTCGACAGAGCCGAGCGGGTGCGCGGAGCTATGGGTGCCGGAGATGGCAGACCGACTCACCAAGCGGAACTGGCCAGCAGTCCCTTTGCGGCGGGCGGCCCTATTTGGATAATCCATGAGAAGTGCGGGGGTCAGCAAAGACTGGCTCCTGGATGCCATATGCCACTTGGCCTTGACCAGCCACACGCAGCTCAAATCAGGTTCAAGGTTATCATCGCACAAGCGTCAGGTGAAACACGGATGAACATGACATCATTTTGAGGGGCTTGGGCAGGATATGCACCAGTACGACTCGTTACCTATGCGATATGGGGCAGATGGTATTAGTTCTCGTCCCAAGCCACGTTAGACCGTGTGATGCCTCATTGCAGGCCCAAGTCAGATCATATAACGTTGTTCTCGTTCACTCTTTTTCAGAAGCAGAACTGGCATAACGATTTCTATCATCACACAAGCGGGGAATGGCAACTGGGCAATCTATCCAAGATATCTACCTTGTGGACACACACGCATGGCCATCAGCTAGGACGAGAGCAGGATCGATCGATCGACCAACACGTCGCAGCGAACACCCTGTGGACAGTACGACAGAACATCGGACACGTTAGCGCAAGCTGGCCATCACGAGAGGCTCTGGTGCGGAGAGCACCGTCGAGGAGCTTCTGTTCAGATGGTGATGCATGTTATGTGTTTTTCGGCATCGACTTGGTGGCCTCCGAAAAGGTGGATAGGTATCATCCTCTCAACCCAACGACGGCACGCGAGGGGATGCGCGGGGGGCAGTAGAGCCGGCAAAAATGGCAGAGCAACCTACCATGGATGGGATTGCAGACACTACGACGACCCTTGAAGATACTGCTCGGAGGAGCTGCAGATTGAAACGTGGATCAACGCAGATTAGCACATAGCCACATCCGTGCAGAGACCGTGCCTCCTCCTCTCGATGAGGATGCGCAAGGCGGCACTCTCATAAACGAGGAATTCTTATAAAAGATTGAGTCCACAGGAATCTTCAGAGAAAAATTCAAATCTTTGGTGCCTATTGCGCGCCTTCTTTTGTTCGGTGCAGTGTTCGCTCCGCAGCCACGCTGCAGAGAGCCAGGACTTACCATCGACCGAGGATGTTTGAGACAGAGGCTGCTGCCGGCCCAGGACACCATCGAAGCCGAGGATGGCAGGCCGATGATGCCAAACGGGGCGGCAAGAGAGTGCGCTGGAGAAGAAAAAAAGTGCGAGAGGGACACGCTATATACGCGGCGCATATTAATTTCATTATTGGCGCGATCACGGCGCGACCCAATCACGGGCCTCCCAGAAACCGGGGGCGCTGCATCGCTCCCGGCAGCAAGACTGGCCCCACACTGATCCGAGCATGCCAAACACAGCACCAAGGCAGAGCACCAAGGCAGAGCACCAAGGCAGAGCGGGGAGCACCGCGGGACATCGTTCAATGCACGTCGCCGATAGTGAGCAGCCACTCGGAGAGTCTGGCTGGGCCACATCTGTATTCAGAACCCGGAAGAAAACAGCAATCGCTGGCCCTCAGTTCCCTGGATGTCCTGGCTCGTTGTGCAGCGGAACGACTTCAAAGGCGCCATCGCCCTCGAGCTCGCCGAGATCGTGGTCGCTGGCGGCTTGCTGTTCATCCGTGGGAAGTGCGCGGGGCTGAGCAAGTAGTGTCGTGGAAGCAAAGGCCGAGTCGGGAGACGTCCACATTGGATCAGCAAGTCGATGGGGTGGATGGCTTTTCAGCCCGCCGGCCAGCGACGAGCCTATTCTCGCTGCACTCATGCCTGACAGCACTTACAGTGGTTGCAATCCACTCTTTCCTCTTCTGACTATACCAGCTGCTGACGCTGTTGAACATCTGGGTCGCTTGGGCTGCAACAGAGCAGTTTCGTCAGTACTCGCCGCAGGAACTACTCTGGAGACACATCAGCCAGTGCCAGAGCTGTGTTTCTGTGCTGAGCTGTCCCATCGTCAATGCACTGCCTTTGGCAACTCACATGTTGCCCGTGCTTGAAAGTTGCCCGAGGCACCTGCACCAGTGCCGGCGGCTGCAGTCGACGTCGAAGTGGCTGCGCCAGTACCAGACTGCGGTGTGTTTGCTGTCGCTGTGCTGCTTGCTTCCGCGACGACACTCGAGACTGCTTTGGAGATGGACATCTCGGCTGTCGACAGAGCCCGCCCGACACTCTGCTGCAGTGGAGTGACGGCTTTGCCGAGCTCGGTCCACCGCGCAGCCAAGGACTGCTGCACAGACGTGAGCGAGGTTGTGCCTTGGAATGGATGTCCGGGGCTGAGGGAAAGAAGTGCCCGACGGGCAGAGTTAGTCCGTGGTGCTCACAGCACCGAGCACCTGGGGCCCATGTCCAACTCGGCGGTGCTGTCGACGGCACGGGTCTACCTCATGGCATCAACCATATCCTTCGAGGTCTGCGACTCCCACAGCTTGTAGTTGGTCGTCGTCTGCCACATCCGGATAAAGTTGATGTTGTAGTCCGAGATATAGTCCTTGGGCGGAGCTAAGGGGGGGCCATGGCGCAAAGTTCTTCAGTTCTCTGGTCGTCTCCGATGCGGAATGGCAAGAGCGTGCACAGCAGCAGCCCCATGGCCGCAGAACACAACCCCCAACCTTTGTTGGCTCCGCCAGTCGGAGAAACAGACAGCGAGGAGTTGGGCTCGAGGCTGGCGCGCATCGAGACGCAGAGCGTCTGAAGATACAGCTCGAATCTTGCCCGCAAATCGTCGTCGCTTCCGCCGAACTCGATGGTGTTTCCGCTTGCCGGATCTATGCCCAAGCCCCGGTCAGCGCAGAGAAGGAATGGATGAATCAACAAAACAAAATCTGCGCAACGACGCCTTTGATGCCATCCCTAAACCTGCCTTGCTCCTCGGTCCACACGCAACTCTGGTCCGGTCACATGCAACTCTGCCCCGGTTCCGCCATCAGCCGCTGAACACACCTTCGGTATTCCAAGTATTGGTGACGCTCTTTGCAATTTCGTCAATAAATCTCCGGTCAGGTGGCGTCAAAGCCAGCGCCGCGTTCAGCGCGGGATCGGTGATCTCGATATTTCCGGTATCCACCTGGCAGTAATCGAGACCCCATAAGTCAGCAATCAGTGGAGCGAAGAAAAGTGACCCGGAAGCTGCGGAGTCGACCCCAGTGCACCGTTCGCCTATCCTTGCACACTTTGCGGCATGACGACATACGTTGACGACAGCATGGATCGCACAAGCCTTGTGATGGGTGAAGATGGCGTTGCTGGTGCCCACGAGGAACGACTTTGTCTCGGGCGACATCAGCACGTCGATCTGCTGGAGCGGAATGTATGGCTGTGGATCCGGGAGCGATTGATAGGAGCAACAGCGTGTGAGTCCTGGACCGCCTCCCTCACCATTTCTTTCGGCAGAGTATCGACACAGAGCCATAGGCCGCCTTGGTACTTGATCACATTTACCTGGAAGAAGCATCCTTTACCAAACACACGCAGCGGCAACCCAAAGTTCTTGAGCTTGGCTAGGTGGAGATCCTCGAGTTCAGTGAGCTTCTTGGTTAGGGCGGACGGCTTGCTGTCCACATGGTGCCCAGCATCGGGCGCATTGCCCAGCAGCGGCGAGCCGACGTCGTCCAGGTGCCTCAGAAGATCTTGGCGGGAGCGAGCATGCGCAAGTGGCATTTGTTACTAACGAGAGCGCTACAAGACGTTGATATCCATGCCACCAGCAACCGCTCTCTGGATCCGATTTGATCTGATCTGATCGCACCCTATCCCGCCTGTGACAATCAACTCACCTGGGATCAACGACACCAAGCTGTACTGATAGGACGACAGTTTCTCGACGCGCTGGCCAAAAAACAGAATCTGCGTTGTCCGAGAACGATCAGCGAACTGGCGTCAGACCAACCTCTGGACAAGGCACGGCGAGGCATTCGGCATGTGCTAGTATGCTCACTCTTTTTTCCAGCAGAAGCAACTTCAGTAATTGAAGAGCCTTGTACTTGAACGTAAACACGAGTTCCCGGAGAGATATTCCTGCCAAAAACATCTCGGTCAGCCAGCGAGACAAAACAGCGCTTCCAAAAGTAAGGAGAAGTCTCGCCTCGGAGAAGCCTGGTCGCCTGGGATCGCGGCCATGTCGGCTTACCGGCGTAGAGGGTTGCATCGTTCACGTAGCCATGAACAGACGCACGCATATTGTCAAAGAGGTTCTGCACAGTGATCGGCAAGTGATGTCAGTCTCAAAGGATCTGGCGTTTCGCCCCGCACAGCACCATTGATTCCACTAAGCGAGGCGAGTTAGCAATGCACGTCACATACGTCCAGAATCTCCAGTTGAGAAAAATCCTTCTGGGCAAAGAATGCTTGGGTGACGAGTCCGAGCTTGGTTCGCACAAACCCAAGGACGGGCTGGAAAGGGGATGTTTGTGAGAACCGCGCACCGCCACAATATCCGATTCACCAAAAGTGTCGTCGACGCACACATACCTCCCGAGCGAGCACCACGACGGCCTTTTGCACTGTGCTGCGAGTCAAATCGGAGGTTTTGTGGACGAGTTCCTGGGAAACCGATGCGATGCCAAAGCAGAGCCATGTCGGAAGATAGTCCCGTCAGAACAGAGCCACTTCTGAATATCGCATCGATGCTAGGGTGCTGGCGAGTTGCTCACGCTCGTGGGGATTTGGCGGAAACACGCCAGTCCAAAGATCGTCGACTGAGGATAGTCGGTCCATTGCGGGACAGGCGGAAGGTGGAAATCTGGGAAACAACCAACCGAAAGACAGCAATTCAGACGCCGCATAATGACTGCGAGCACGCATCATTGGACTGATACGGCCTGTGGCACTCAACCCTTTGGCGAGGGGCGAGCGCTTGCATGATCCGGCGTCGGGCACTTCTGCGACAGAGGTTTCGCTCGGCAGAACACCGTACGAGCTACATACAGATAAACTCCTCCTCGCTTGCGTGGGCGCCATCGGGCAGACAGAGGAACGGCTTGATGGCGAATTTTCAGTATACAGGCCCGTCAGAACGCGAGCAAGATGCAGCAGATCCTCTTGGTAGATTCCAGCTCGGCCAAGGCGGCTGGGATGCACTCTCGGGCATGCGAGCGGGCGGATAGGTGGGGCGCATACCAAGAACGACCACTCTTCAGGCAGATCGATGGCTGGACGCGAGTCGCTCGTGTTGGATGAGCTGCTTGGGCTTCGAACCCTCGTGCTGGTTATTGGCGGGAAGGGTGGCCAGGCATATTCGACCTTTGGGTGGAGGAAGCGGCATCGGCAAGCAAATGGATGTTAAAGCCCGGTGTGCTTTGTGGATCCATGGGCCGGCTATTGCCAGGTGCATGAGCGATGCAGAGCGGTCGAGGTGCTTTGGGTACCTGCGGGCCATTGCTGGAGAATGGATGCAAGGCGATGCAAGGCGATGCAAGAGAGTGAGTATGCAACTTGCGCCGCTCCCTGGTGGCAGAATCCATCGCGAGTCTCATACAAACACCCAACACAGACGATCAGCGGTGTCTCACGTACCGATGGTGGAAAGCCACACACAGAACTGGCATCCATCCGATGGACACGGATCCGAATACGCAAGGGTCGAGTATCGTCGATTCGATGCAGCCGATGAAACCAAACGGATATCAAGCCATTAGCTGGGCAAGCGGCTGGGCAAGTGGCTGGGCAAGTTGTTGGGCATCATCGCAGACCCAGGCAAGTCGAGCCACCGCAATCAAATCGAGCCGGAGGACGAGCGATTCCAAAGCACAGCGACAGAGGCAGTAACGGTTGAGGAATCGCCATCGCGGTCGGTAAGAGTGATGCATCCAGCCATACCATGCAGAATCAGCGCATCCTTGTCGAATGGAGGGATCGGCCGGATGGGGGTGGGGGCGGTGTGGAGATCAGAGGGCACCTGCAGCGCTGGAGCTGGGGCAGGCGGCTTGGAAGGTGAGAGGGATTCGGGCGAAGAGGACTCGGCCATGGCGGCGCAGGCTGGGCTGGAATTGAGTGTCGAGCGAGAGACTTGGGGTCGATGCGAGCGTATGCGGGCGTATGCCGGAGGAGATGAGCACGCGCGGTGCTGGACGGAGAAGAGCGATGCTGGCGGCGACGAGCGATGCTGGCAATCGGGGTCTTGGATCACGCAGGGTCTGTTTGGAAAGGTCGCCACACACAATCCTCAGGAGAACACAGGGCACTGTCCCATTTCAACCGAACATGCAGTTTGAGCGCCTGCGTCCAACACGGCCATTTGCAATCCAAGATATCGCCTCCAAGCAGAGACACCGGATTGCTCTGCAATCACCACAATCGCCCTGCATCGGCATCACGACTTGACGCTGTTCGGCAGCTGGAATTCTTGCGCCTCCGAACAAAGCGGGAATTCACAGCACCGGGCTCGAGAACAGAGTAATCCGCTTCGCTATCATACAGTTGGCACGATGGACTGTGGCGACGACTTGCTGGTGGCGATGATGGATTGTGGCGACGACCTGCTGCTTACACTACACATAGCAAACGGGACAACATTCCCTATCCCATATGTCAGCGTAGTATGGGATGGCATGCGTCTAACTATGCCATAAGAAATGCAAACAGATCATCTCGGCAGCCTCCGAGTGAAGACCACCGGTCGCAGTGCAGCGATGCTGAAATCGAGGGTGCCGTGCTTGGCCATGATTGCAATGAGTGGGTATGTGTATTCAGGTTCCAGAAAAACAGTCATGACTCAAATTGGGGGGTGTCCCGTTTCAATTTGGAAACGCTGCTTATGTCAGCGGGCGAGTCCATCTCCCAAACACCGCCGCCGTGGTCCACAACCGACTCTCCATCACATCTATCAACCAGCCAGCATTCCGCCAGCATTCCGCCAGCATTCCGCCAGCGTCTGCTACCAGCACATGAGCTTCAAGAGCACTTCCGAGTGGGTCGCCCGGCTCCGCCAGGCTAACCCCGACTGCAACCAAGGCAAGAGCGTGGTCGACATCCTCACCAACCTTTACGTTCGGTCCTTCCCGGCGTCGTCGCCCGCCAGCCCGATTCAGTGTCTGCTGCTGTCGCCCGAGAGCCAGACCTACGGGTATTTCCTCCCGAGCACCACCGGCAGCTCCAGCGCCGTGAACGTGTTCTCGTGCGGAAACGATTCGACCTGCACAACCTGTCAGCCCGATTCGTCGTGGGTTACAAGCGGAAACTCCTGCGACTACGGCGACTATGAGGTTATTGGCGACGTTCGGTCCAACAGCAGGTCAGTCAGAGGACGAGCGAGGCTGTGTATTCCGTTTGCTGCAGATCGACCCCGCACAGCTTCCCGGGAGATCGCCACATGATTGCGAGGCATCGATGCGATTTGCTGATGCCCGTTCGTTTGATCGTTGCGGAGCGATGTATCGACTATCCGCCGGGATCGATGCTTCCCTCAACTAACCCCCTGTCCTTACTGGCATACTAACGACACCCTCTGGTCCATTGCCATGCTCGGTTGAATCATCCGTGGATCTACCGTACCCCTCCAGCTATCAGATGGGTATCGACATCCTCAAGAGTCCGTCGCTGCTGACTCGCTACTTCTTCAAGACCAGCAACTGCTCGACACTCTTGTGGGCCGAGCACCGGCCGCTCTTCCAGCAGTGCACCTCGATAGGACCGAACCAATACGTCATTACCATCACTGACAGCAGCCAGCTGCCCCAGGATATTATCTATCTCGGATGCACCGACTCGCAGTGTTTCAACTGCCAGACGGCGTACATCGAGCACCTCGAGTCCCCAAGCAATGTCAGCTCCGGCAGCTGCACCGTCGCCTCTGTCTCCGGCGGCCCCTTGTTCGAGAGCCAGTATGCCACTCTCTGGGACCTTCACTACCAGAGCCAGCCCTATGCCCTGATGATCGGCTTTCCCAACTCCACAGCATCGCCGCCGCCCCCCGCCAACACCTGGCTGACCCCCACGCCCACCATCGTAATCATATTCTCAGGCAAGCGTCCGTGTGTTGCTGTTGGTGATTGCCCTCGCTTCTGTCCGCAAGTCTGTCTGTCCTGGCTGTATTGATGTTCATACAGCCAGCCCAGCCGCTGCTAACACCTTCCTCTCCTGTTGCTGCGGCCACAGCCTCGATCGCCCTCCTCCTTTGCATCCTGGGCTTTGTCGGCTATGTCCTCTATCGTCGGCGCCGATCCCCGGCGGCCCAGTCCGACATCCAGCTCGAGACCCAGGAGGTGGAGCCGCTGCCTCAGTACGAGCGCCCGCCACCCTCCTATGAGTAGTAGCCTCCACCCTTTGCGCCGGCGTGCAATCCCGTCCTCACGATGAAAAAAATAGGACGTGACCCCTCTACAGTGGCTGTGTTCGGCTCGGGACCTGGTCAGCAGGCACATTAAGACACAGAATGAGTCACGTGTGTGCCGACAGTCTGGTGCAGCCTCGTCCGAACGATGCCATTTTGGGACTGCTCGCTAGCCAATCAACAGCGTTGCTTCCCACACGTGCTCTGGCCCGATTTGGCATTCGCTTGCCGTCCCGCTCCGTCCCGCTCCGTTCCGGGACCCCTCCGCCCCGGTTTCTCCCGGCCCCGAACCTCTCATATCCTCATTCTCCCTCACCATGACCCGTTCTGAGAACTGCCTTTCGGACACCCCAGTTCCGACCGCCGTTGGGCGGCACCGTGAACTCCTGGGGCAATCCTCGGCCGTTCTAACTAGTCCAGGATTAGGTCAAACCCGCGGTGGTCACTGCTCCACCAGCCAGTTTAACCTCAGAGTCGCAAACAGAATGCGGTATGATATGCCGTGTTCAGTAAAAACGCAAGTGATAACAAACCCGAAATGATAATAATCAAGATAATGTCCCATGGGGGCGAGGATATCTGGAGGGAATGAGCGATGCGGTTAGTTGAAGCGTCGCCTTCGAGCTCTCTCAGATGATACTCAATCGTCATGAAGGGACTTACTTGGATTTGGATGGCTTCCTACATTCGAGACATATTCAAGATAGTGAAAGAGGAAGCGTTAGAGTTAAAAACATTAGAGACATATTCATGATGCGGCTCATCCTCAATATGCATGCGTTTAACGGCACCTATGTCATCGATCGGCTCATGGGCCCGCCGAGGAAGTTAGGATAGAGAGGGCCTGAGGGGAGTATTGACTTGAGCCTGACGACGGAAGCGGGCAGGAAGCGGTGGTCGGGGGGATATTTATATTCCAAACCTTCCGACTTGACCTGTCATTACACTGATATGGTCACTATGGGTCAAGTTCGGACAAACTCCCTTCGTCATCAAGCGGCCTCAAGCACTTTTTGGCCCAACTACCTGCGACATTTGCATCGACTTGTCAAATCGGAGGATCTTGCTCGATAATATAAAAGCCACCTGGAATGGTTGATATAAGTATCAGCCTGACTTTGCCTCTCCAATTGCAGCAAAGCTGTACCCACCGCCTTCCATCTCGAAGTATCCGACAGTAGAAACGATGGCATCGGCTGGAACAAAGATATGATTCGTTGACTCCATGCTGTCGAGGTGGAAGGTAGCGCACTCGTTGCATGGGCGGTATCCTGAACTGTCATCTCCATATCTGATGTTGATCTTTGGAATCACACAGTATGCCCAGTTTGTTGTTTCTCCATCAAAGGAGTGGCTGATGAAATATTGGACTTGATAGAAGCGGACAGAAGAATATGGGTGATTGCTTGCTGATGCATCGGGCATATTGGTCCAAACCTGTAGATTCAGAATGCATTAGCTCATATGAGGCTTCGCTATCGCGCGCTGCCGAATGCCTTACCTTCACAACAGAGTTCATCCGATGATGTGCCGTGCTCATCCGATGTGATTGAGATATGACATGTAGTTCCCCCGCGTCCATCTTGGTGTGTTTGGAGCAAGTGTCCGAATTCTGATCCCAAAGTGAATGGACATATTGCAAGGCTTCACGATAGCCGTATGAGGAATTGGCAGAAATCGTCCTGGCATAAGCGCTCTTTAGCTTCGCGACTTGTTCAGAAGGTAGTTTCAGCTTTTGTTGCTGGCCAGACAAGGTTCCGCGGCTATCTTGATTCGAGGCCCGCCCATTGTTTGCAAAGGAGGATGGCCATATCCCAGGGTCTTCGCCCAACCTGGATGTTCCTCTCAAGGTCAAGTTCGGAGCAATGCTTGGACCGCTCAGAGAGCTTTGGAGGACGAGCCGATTGGCCATATTGTCCACTGGATGGACCTTCGATCGCCCGATGAGCTTCAGGCGACCACAGGTTCTTTCCATTTCAAACTGCCATTGATATACCAAGGGTCCAAACAATCGGATGCACCTAGGCAAGTGTTGGAGCTGATGCACGTAGGTTTTCATCAAACGAAGTCCAGACAGGTCTGGAGCTCTGTCTGGAGGAGGTTCGAGTGACTCTGGGAGATTTGCGATTGACCTGGTGAATACATTTCGAGTATACGTGGTTAGATATTGAGAATTAGTGAGCTGCCCAACATCCTCAAGTGAAGGGACTGCTGTCTCGTGCTACTTGCTCTGTGTAGTACTCCTGGAACCTCTGAAGATTTCTCTCGATCTGATTGCATTGAGCAACATTCAACTGGGGAAGCAGCATCAATCGAAGGGCATAGACAAAGCGCCTCCATCCCAATCTAGGCACAATAGCATCACTGTTAGGATCAATTCGAATCAAGTATCTCATCGACCGTAGGACGGGCCCCGGTTCGAGCAGGGTACAATATCAAGAGCTTACAAGTGTTCTAGTGGAAAGCCCGCCGCATTGAGCAGAGGTAGGGAGTACATGATAATCCAATTCTTCCATTCTTCGGTTTTGAAGCTTTTGTATGAGACAGGGTCCCGACAAGAGGCACCAAAGCCTGTTGGAATCTGAATCCTGCCTTCGCTGATCCATCTTCCGATCTTTTTCAGGCACTTGGACGTGATCTTTTGGTCCAAACTTGAGGATGAGGGAGCCTTCCGCGTTCCATTCCAAATCTCCATCATGAGTGGACCGATGTTCGAGATCACATGCATCAGATCGAGAGGAAGACAGAAGCTGAGCTCGATGGACTCAAGTTGAGTTACACCTGGTCGCCCCACGATCCCTGATCAACATAGTTAATGTTAACATCGGAGTCGAAAACAACGCCCTGACTCGTCTCGTTAACGTACCGTTTCGGGGCATGCCGTCTTGATCGATGGCCTCCCATATTCTGTTCAGACTCTCTTCGGTGCGGTATGGACTGGGAGTGTCACGTTCATAGAAGCACATGGCACCCCCGGCCCTCGTGGCCGTTATTTCGCAGAGACGACAGCCCTTCGTGGCGGTGTGCCCAGAAAATTTACCGAATTTGTTGGATCCGGGCATGTCACTCTGGCAGTACAGCAAGTGACCTCGGAGAGTGAAAGAATGTTCCACGCCATTTTTGTCGACCCTTATCGCCTCAACACCTGGGAGCGAGAGACATTGCTCCGTCAGCAGCGTGCTCTCGCGAGGATTATGTGGAGTGACCAAGTGATCCACACCAGAGGGGCTTACGCACCGGTCTCAAGTCTCTTCATATCTTCGAAAAACGGCTTCAAAAATGTATCAAAGTCACGAGGCGATCGTGGACCAGGCGTAAGCAAGACCGTAATGAGATTTTCCTTTTTGTAGCGCAGAGCAGGTGGAAGATTGAAGTTGATCAAGATGAAGCCCCACGATTGATGGCTTTGCCTACACCAGATACAAAGGTCAGCTGTGGTTATAATCTGATTTTGAAACAGAGAGCGGGCGTACCTCTGATTGATATTGAAGCCATCAAAATGCAGCCCGAGAGCAACGTCGGTGGGCTGCTGGAACATTGAGCGACTACAAAGGTGCTGGTAATATTCGGCATCGAAAATGTCGCTCATGACGCCTGAAGATTCAGATTTGGTGAGTTCAGAGCACCATATAGCAATATAGTATTGGGAAATAATACGGGTGGAAAGTACCTGGTTCGCTCGCTCTGTTTGCTCTGTACATCATCAACTCTGCCATAGTTGGATTTCGGTAGAGTGTCTGAAGTATCTGAACAAAATCGAAATACTTGTAGGTCTGAATCGGCCTCAGTTGTGGTTGAATGCCGCCATTCAGAAGTTTTTCGTTCACCGTCGCATAAGCATCCTCTCCACAAAACGTGCATATTCGACTCTGGTTATCATTGATGTCGAATCCCATGCAGCTGTTTGGGCAGCAGGGAAGCCTCTGAAGATACTCGTTCCACTCGCAACAAATGATCTTTTGGATCTTGTACAGACTGGGTGCAGCTGGTAATGACAATCCTTGGAATTTGTTGCAATGATTAAGGACAGATTTGATGGCTTTGTCGGTAACATTGCACTCGGTCAACACCTTGACCAGCTGCGAATAGAAGGGCGGGATATCTGGGGGAAAGCCGCGGGTGAATACATCAATTCGGATGCTACATCGGATTGCTATCTGTCCTTTGAATTTGACTCACCATCTGATATGCGGGGCTCTTCGTCACCAGTTTCTTCATCATCTTCATTCATTTCAAGCAGTCGAAAGTGGCCGAGGAAGCTATCCGGATACTGTCCTGGAAGGTGAACCGTGGCATTTATATGAGTCAACCGGACTCTGAAGCAAGACCAGGAAGATTCGACGATACGATCAGGCTGGGTGACGTTGATATCTCACCCGAAATGTCATCGAATTCTCTCGGTGAGCTTGAAGTGGTGTCTTCTGAGTCTATCGAAGAGTCTTCAGAGTCTTCGTAGTACATGGACGCTTCTTCAGAGTCCCGCGATGCCCACATGCTTGGCGACCACGAAGGGCAGCGTTCAAATTGAGCTGGAGCAGGGCCTTCGTTGTCTTGGGTGCATTGCTGAATAGATGCTCCTGTTTGGATATCCATGCTCTCGTGCTCAAATGCGCGGGGTGAGCCTTTGGGCCAGGCCAAGGATGAAGAAACAAAGTCGGACAAATCGAGAGTGTATTGGTCATTTCGTAGTGAGCTCTGGCAGCGTCCAAGCACAGATCACTGATTATTGCTCAAGACTGAAACCGTGACGCACACAAAAATTTAGCGAGAATGTGATATCAGGTGCTCAGTCTTACCCAATGAAGGTCGCTGCGATGTTATCCCATGTGGTCGCAGTTCATCTACCACCAACACTGGGGGATGAAATGTCGGCGAAGTTCGCAAATTGGGGTTATTTTCGCATATGCTTGTAATAGGACGGTGAGGGAACGAAGAAAGATGGCCAGCTGTGTTTTCTTGAGGATCTTTGAGCGAGTACATGTGAACAGGGGGGACTCCAGGTGGAAAGCCATAGCGATAGAAGTGGTCGTAGTAGGTCGTTCTGGAGACAATCCTGAAGCCTTGCGAATCGGTGCTACACTTGCGACAACGACAGATGGATCTGTTCTTGGGAAGCCCATCGTGAGCCCTATTTATCGAGGATGGTACCCTGGTCGATGATATTGGATATGGAGTATGCCTTGGGTGATCGTGCCCAGATGGTTGAGCGGCTGAACTCATGATTAGAGTCGGATGAGAAGGTCGAGGGGAGAAAGGATCAAGAGGAGATTGACGAAGCAACTGGGGGCGGAAATGCCCGGTTTTTGTCCAAGTCCGAAGGCTCTGATGACCCATGAACACAGATGAGTCAGGAAAGCAGCCGGGGGTCATGGACAGTGAACGAGTCGCGGAAGACAGTGAAAAGCCGGGATGACTCGGATGCCATGTCACGTGAACGGAAGCAGCCCATTGGCCGAGGGCTCCACGGGATGTGGCAGTGCGGGTTCGGGGACACCCAGGGAGCCAGCAACCTGGACGAACAAGGAGAAATGCGGGTGACCCGAGCCCGTCGCGGTCGCTTCAGTGGCCAGACGCGACCCCCAAGGCAAAACAAAACGCGAGAAGACGTGTTTTTCCTTGTTATGCTGAGTCCGGTGGGGGATTTGCGAGGGAAGTATTGGCCAACGCGTAATTTACACGTCAGCTTTTTTTTCATAGTGCCTGTATCCCTGTCCCCTCCATCCATCTATCCATCCATCCATCCATCCACCCACCCGAGGGCTGTTCGTTTTCTGACCCCAACACCGACACCAATAGAACGCTGTGGCCAACCAGTACGCGCTCGTGGGACATCAGCGCGGGTCTGCGGCGCGGCCATCTTTTTTGGGCCGTGGTGTGTCCCTGTCGCGCGCCGATTGGCCAGCCATCGGTGGCTGTGCGGCCGCCAGCGGCACAGCCTTCCCCAACAACCAACGGCTTTCCTGGCTTGGCTTTCCTGACTTGACTTGCCCCCCAAGTCATCCGCATCGTCTCGATTGCTGTTCACCGCCTCTGTTTGACTGCGTGTCTCCGCTGGACCGCTCGTCTCGATTCAGTCTGTCCCGAGCAATAACCATGGCTTCCGCCGACCCTTTTGCCGTCTTTGCCGACCCCTCCGTCTCATCAATCAGCCGCAGCCGTGCGCTTGCCATCCTCAGAGGCACAGACACCAACCGTGACTTGCCCCGACCAGATCCCGAAGACATCTGGAATGGCTTTCTGCAGCATGGCCCGCGGCTCATTGCCTCTGCAGACTTTGAGTGGATGGCCATCGACCTGACCTATCTGCTGCTGTCGACCCAATACAAGGAACAGTTCACCGACGACCAGGCTCAGCAAGCCAAGGCAGTTCTGCTTGCCTTCAAGGACCGCATCGAGGCTTCCGGCCAGTTCTTTTGCATGAGCTCGTCCGAGTGGTCCTGGACCAACTCGGTCATCTCCACCCTCGTTTCGCTGATGCGTGTCTACTTTTCCTCGCGCCTGGCCGAGTTCGAGTCCTTCACCCAGTCCTTTCACTCGATCCACGAGTACTGCTGCATCTTTCGCTACTTCCGCTTCCTGGGCGACAGCATCTCGGTCTCGCCCGAAGTGCGGAGCGCTCTCATGGCCCTCTCGGACAAGTTCCGGGACTCGTATGACGAGTACCCGGTGGCGGCCGCCGACGCCGCCAAGGTCTTCCTCGACCCGAGCGTCGATGGCCGCATCCGCCGGTTCGCACTCAAGAAGGCTGTCGAGCTCATAGAAGGCGCAACGTCCAAATCGGACAAGCTCGCCAGCAACAAGCTTGCCCAGGAGTTGATGCCGCACCTGGTCACCTTGACCAAGGAGAGCTTTTTTGGCTGGATCCTGGTTGAGTACTGGAGTGTCGCTGGGTATGTGCTCGACACATATGTCCCCGCAAAGGGGCAGATTACCGAGGAAGACATCTTGTGGATGCTCGAGCTGCTTCCCATTGCCTGCAACCTGCATCCGGACGCATACAACTATGCTTCGTACAAGTTCAAGGTGTCCGCCGTCATCAAGCTTGTCAAGGCCAACTTTGACACCGACTCGCCCGTGGTCCTAGAGGCATATGAAAAGGTATGCGCCCACCGAGCGACCAAGACCTCTCCCATGGCGGATTATGAATGTGTGCGCATAACTTGCCTGCATGCGCACCTGTCCATCTCAGTCTCCATCTCTCACTCTCCTGCTCTCTGCCGCAGTGCTGGTCAGCCTGGATCTCTGGAAACATGGGAAGCATGACGATCTCGATCATCTCGGATGTTATATCCAATGCTCCGAGCTTCTGGAAAAGCAAAGTTCCCTCAGTTTTGGAGCTGATTCTAGCAGGATCGCTGGAATCCACGCTGGAACTTACGCTTAGCGGCCAGATTACGATGCTCGGCACCACCGAACCCTCGGCCCTCTATCCGCATCTCAAGCTCATTGGCGAGAATATCTCCAATCTGTCCATCTTGAACATCTTCAACCTTGTGGCAAATTCCCCCTCCGAGATGTGGGCTGCAAGCGGCATCGACGGCATGAAGCTCATCGACTCCCTCGGCGCCGTCCAAGTCATGTTTATCCCTAATATCACCAGAGTCATTGGCATGCTGGTCACAGCCCATCCGGAACAGTATTCTGACATGGCAGTTGTTCGAAAGATTGACGATCGTATCAAATCCACTAGCACTTTCTACTTCGCCTTCAATATCTACGGCACCCTTGGCCTCCATTCGCCCAAAATCCGACCCGAAATCGTGCAGCTCCTCATGGAGTGGCTCCGCAAACCGCTCCAAGACTATGAAAAACTGGCGGTTCTCACCAATCTAAAGCCAATTGCCGAAGCTGACGTCGATATGGTCAAGCCATACCAGAAAGAGATCGAGGCGGTCCGAGACGCCAGCGCCGGCAGTACGCGCGAATCGGCGCAGGCTCTATGCGACACCCTCGATGGCATCAGCTTGAGGTCTCTGGCTGCCAAGATCGTCAACCTCGATGGCATCTGGAAGCAGATTGGCTTGGATGCCAACGACCCGTTTTTGAACGCCGTGGCAGAGTCGCAGACCCAGGCCGGCAACGAAGCTGCCCAGCAGTACGATGTGCTCCTGTCATACAAGTGAGTTGATGCTGTGTGAGAATTGCGATGGTGCTGCGCAGCTCGCTGGCGATGCTGTCGGATGGAACGGCGCTGCGGATGCCCGGGATGCGAGGGAAGTGGCAAGTTGGCCTGTATGTTGGATTCGTGCGTGCTCAGATACTCACTCCCGCTTGCTTTCAATATCGCAGCCGTGATAGCCACCATGCCTTTGAGGCTGCCGACAAAATCAGGGCCGCACTGGTCGAGAAGGGCTTTGTCGTGGCTATGGATGCGCCGCGCGATAAGCTGGACTATAAACGTGTGGCCAAGCACATCATGAACAGCCAAGTCGTGTGCCCATGTCTCAGCCGGGACTACGAGGTACACCAGCGATTGACAAGTCGTGAACAGCCCTCTGCCGGTTGCGAGTGCATGTCGTTTTCCAAGGAAACTCTCCCTCCCTCATACACTGCCATCACAGATACTGGCAACTTGTAATACCAGCATTCAAACCCATCCATCCATGCTAACCCTATCGATATCTTACTCTCCCCGCCTCGGCGGTACTGCAGGAGTCAGAGAGTTGCAAGCGCGAGCTCGGTTTTGCGGCCGACCAAGTCCGCCTGGGCAAGAAAATCGTTCCCATCCGCCTGGAAGACGCTGCCTTCACCTGGACAGCGCTGATTACCTCTGGACTGCTCTACACCATGTTCTCCGATCGCGAGCTGGATGACCAGACCAAGCTCGAGGAAGCCGCTCTCAACCTCGTGAAAGAGGTTGCTGCCGCCCTGGGAAAGCCCTTGCCTGGCGCCCATGAGTCTACCGCCGCCGGTGACGTCTACAAGTCCCTGGGATTCAACTCAGGTGACCCATTGCTGCAAGAAATCGACAAGCTCAAGCAGAGCCAAGGTACCAAGGTGTACGACGTGATGCTCTCGTACAAGTAAGCCACGGTCCTGCCCAGAGAGCGATCGATAGCGACAGCGCCCTTGGACACGGCCATCCTATCGGAGGCTCCAGATCCGCTCGGTGCCGCTGCTGCACTTTTAGATTGATGCCGTGAGTGTGGCTGACTCTATCGCTTTGCAGCTGGGCACACCAGTCCACAGTCTTGCGCATCAAGGAGTGGCTCGAGGGCCGAAATGTCTCGGTGTGGATGGACACGGACCAAATGAGTGGAAACATCTACACCAAGATGGCCGAGGCCGTGATGGGCTCCAAGGTGATCTGCGCCTGTCTGACGGCGCAGTACGAGGTACGAGCACTTGGTCGTCTCGGGTCTGCAAGTGCAGCATTTTGGGCGATGCCGCGCATGTGTCAGTGGTCATGTTGGGATGCAGATACTTCCGTGCTGGGTGAGACACCCTGACCAACTGCCGCCTGCTCCTCTCTTGCAAACTCTCGAACTCTTCAGAAATCGGCAAACTGCAAACGCGAGCTCGGATTTGCGGGCGACCAGGTCCGGAATGGCAAAAAGATCATTCCCCTCCGGCTGGACGACACCGAGCTGACATGGTCGGCTCTGATCACGGCCGGCCTTCGCACCATCAAGGTCGAAGACGAGCACCTGAAGTCGGACTCGCAGTGGGACATTGTGATGCAGAGCCTCCTGGATGAAATCCTGGTCGCATTGGGTGCTGCCGCAGCCCCTGCTTCTGTCCCTGCTGTCCCTTCCACCTCTGCTTCGTCTGCTCCCGATCAGGTAGCCCCAGCTGCCACACAAACCGGCGCTGAGACAGCAGCCCCTGCCAAGACACACCACCATGCCCCGGTTCGCACCACGACGTTTGGCCAGTTGGACCCGGTCGGGGCGGCTCAGGATGTGGGAGCATCGCCTGAGGGCTATGTGCCGCTGAAGGACTTTGAAGCCCTCCGGGAGAGAGTGCGCACCCTGGAGATGCTGGTGACCCGCCAAACGGCTCTGCTCGAGAAGCTGATTCTCAGTCGCCGTTGACGCTGCCATCGCCAGAAATGCGTCGCGGGAGGTGTTGGCTTGCTGGCTTGGTTTCGCTTGGTTGTTGCTCGTTAGTCGCTGTGCGTTGTATTGTTTTCACAACTTATCCACTGTTCTGGATCTTGAATACACCGGATCCGTCGCCCATCATGACCAAGTGGTGTGTTCTGGAGCCCATAAAGTGCCCAGCCGAAGATCTCGATCCCGTTGGCTGCTGGGTGCGCTTTCGGATCCTCGGTTGGCGCTGTCTCGATCTGTCCCGCCTCTCGCATCGCCATCCTCTCCCAATCGCCCCCCTCCCATCCTCCCGCTGGCCAGAAAGGACAGTCTCGTCGCTGCCAGCGATCAACCGCAGATCCGTCGGCCCCTCTCTCCATCACCCATCGCCCGTCCCGACACAACACCGACACAACACCGGCATCCAGCCGATCATCTACAGTCCGTCGCTCTCGGCAGCCCACAATGTCCACCGCCCCCATGCTCACTAATCCCGCGGACCAACATGTCCCGTCGCCCACCCAACCCGCCAGCGGTCCGTTCAAGCATCTTTCGCATATCGATCTCCAGACCAGAACGTTGGCGGCTTTGCCGCCGTCGCATCATTCCAGGTGAGGGCCGCTCTGCTGCTCGACAATGCCTGCTCGAGGCCGCCTCATCCACACGTTGGCTTGATCTCTGAATGCATCCGGGCACGACTGCCACAGACTCATCTCACCTTGTCCGTTTCTGTCCTCCGTCTCTGTCCTCCGTCTCTGTCCTCCGTCGATGCGGATTGTCCTCAAGCCGTGATCCACGGGCCAAGAGCATATCCCTCGCACATACCCACGATGGCCCCGCGCTTGCCGATATCGTTGTGAGCTACTCCGAGAATGTCCCCATTGATCCGAACGTGCATCCTCAACGGAAGCTCGGTGCATACCCACTCGATCGAGACGTCTGCGATCCAGGACGCTCGGACCCGCCAAAGCACTCAGGAACCCGTCCACAACTCATCACCGCCGAGCTCGCTGATCTCCACCGTCTGTCGCATGAGCTCTCTGAGATACATGGGTCCTCGATCCTGCCGGCCGCTGTCGAGATTCGGCAACTGTCTCCTGGCGAAAGCATGCCGGATATGCATTCGTCACCATTCGACCGCTCTGAGCTGGGCAAACGGCTCTATCTGAGCTCACCACACTCGCTCGCCCGCCAGCCCAAGCCGTCGGATGGAGGCGATGGCCATGGCGACCACGAGGGCCGTCGCAAGAGCAAAAAGTCGAAAAAGTCCAAGGAACACCGGCACAGCTACAACCACCACGATCCAAGCGACCATGATCACCAACGGCTGCCCGGCCACAACCCTGGCGGCAACGGGCGGGGTGATGACCACGACGACGACGACGAGGACATGAACGAAGCCATGGGCGACGAGGAGTGGGAGGCTCGGACAACCAAGAAGCGGTACAAGGAGCTCAAGCGCAAGGTGCTGGCGATCCAGACCGTAAGTTGATCTGATCCGAGCGGGCTCGGTGCGGCATCCCCAATGCCTCATCGTCGAGACCGGAACGATCTGATCCTGCTATGACTCACCAACACATCCCCGGCGATTTATCCGTTAGGAAAACGACGAGCTCTACAAAAAACTGACAAAGATCAAGACGCAAGTGTCGCGGCTAAAGTTTGAGCGAGGGTAGGCGATGATGCAGCACTGTCCTCTGTGCAATTGAAGCCCGGTCTCGGTCGGATGCGTCCCGTCTCGAGCAGTAGAGCCACTCACCCGACGTCCTCGTTTGCATGCAGAATACTATTCAAAAAGCTCGAGAAGGTGAAGAAGGCCGGTCCGGTCAACAAGCCGGCCGACGGCGAGACCAAGGCCGAACACAGCGACGTAAGTGCTCTGGAGCATCTCTGCTCGCACCACAAACCCGATGTACACCGCTTGGGCTAGAGCACGCACCGTTCGGGCTGGAATATGCATTGCTTGGACTGGAATATGCACCGACTCCAACACTGTAGCTTGGCATGCACAAGGCTGACCAGCAACTACCCCTTTTCCAACAATTCGACCAGGAGGGCGAAGGTGGGCGCTGGGACTCAACCAACGAAGGAGAAGCCCGCGACGACGACGGCGCCGAGGCTAACAGAGGCGAGAAACAGCCCAAGAAGAAGCTCAAGCTCACCGATCCCAATGCTCCGCGTCGAGCGACCAACGCCTTCATGTTCTATGCCAACTTGGCCCGCGAGGAGCTGAAGAGGGAACGACAACAAAAGATCAATGACGGAGTCGAGTTGGACGAAGCCAATCTGACCAAGGCACTGGGAGCCAAGTGGAGAAGCCTCGACAACGAGGAGCGAAAGTGTGAGTGCCGCAGGCAAAGTTCATTGGGTCGAGCAACATGGGAACTGGATCCGATGCGGCTGACTCGAGCAGGGCATCCGAGTGCATATACTCACGCCAATTCGTCTGGATGTTCTGGCGGATACAGACTATCAGGAACTCTTCCGCAAAGACGTGGAGCGATATCAGAGAGAGCTTGACGAGTATCTGCAGAACCAGCGGAATGAGGAGGCTGAAGCCAAGAGGCTCGAGAAGGAGGCCAAGGCAGAGGGCCAGGCCGCATTAGCCACCACCCCGCTGGTCCACATTGCCGCGAGCGGATCTCTTGGAGATGCCCTTGGACCCGACAACATCAATCCCGAGGTCGGTGTGGCCATACACTTGCAACCGGCACAGGAGCAGCCGACACAGCAACCACAGTAAAGCCGAAGAGATCACTACATAGGCAGACAGGTGGTCCAAATACATCGAGGTCGTCTTGCATGATGAAATCGGCGGCTCGGACGACACTTGATCCATGTGGCCGCTTGCTGTTGTTCTGGCAGCAGCTGGGTGCTCCGGATTTGTGGCTGCCCACCAACACATGCTGCATACCATGCGAGGTTAATTATGGCGGCCGCCGGGGTGATCCCGTTGATTGCAAATGGCCTGTTGGACGCAGACCATCGCAGACTATCGCAGACTACACTGTCAAAATGGAAACGGGCCTTGCTTCCGAATACAGCACATCCCGAACGACGAGCAGACCAGGGTTGGGCGGGAGCGCGGTGCTTGGGAGAAAGGCGGCGCATCGGCCCTGTCATCTCTCCCGCGGATCTGCCCTCACAGACAACCAGCCTGCGTCCGGTTCCAGCTGGTGTTATGCTCTCGGCCAAAGACCACATGTTCGCCAGGCCATCAACCACGCAGCTCGGCAAGCGAACCCACGGCGAGTTCGAGCAAGACGCCGGCCCGGCCAAGGTGGATGGATGCACTGCAACCCCTCTTTCCTCGTTAGCCCGCCATCATGTCATCCAGCTGGAGGCTCTTCGATCTGCCAACGGGCTGACGTCTCCATATTTTCTCAAGGTTCCGGATGCGATCGACAAGTCCGCTGCACAGCGACCCAAGTGGAATGCCGAAATGGCGAGCCTATGCAAGCAGAGAGCACGGTGAGTCTTGCCCAATGATAGATTGTATCGTCTCACCGAAGCACATTTGGCCTCGATCGGGCAGCCGGATCGCTCTGCATCGTTTGCTGATGTCGACGCTTCTTGCTGCTCGCACCTAGGCTGCTGAAGGGCTCTCCTCCCGATGAAAAATTCGTCAGCGACATTGAGCTGACCCCGTTCACGAAGAACACCAGCGCTGCGACCGTTCAGCTGGTCCGATCTGTGTAAGCGTCGGTGGAAACGGCCTCTCCGTGAAGGAGGTGGGCTTTTGCCTCGAGCTCCTGATGAGCCCAGGGCCGGAGAGGCCCCAGCTGCCCACCAATAGACCCCGCCCCTCACCCTTCTGTTGTCCATTCCAAGCTTCTCCGAGATGCTGCAGACCACATGGATATCGTTCACCATGACCTACATGATCTCACCGGGAGCGGTTGTTCCGCACCTGGAGGCGCACAGCGACAAGCTTCTGGATCTGCCTGTCGTCTTCCTTCGGCCGCGAGGCACAAAAGCCCAAGAGGACGCCTTCAACAAAGTTGTGGACTACATGAGATCGAAGAACCGGGTAGATAATCTTGCGGCAGTCGCTTGGCCTCGATACAGTCGCCCAGGTCCGGGTCTTGGCTAACGCATCGCCATCCCTATTTGATGCATCACTACCTCTGCTTGATCTACCGCCTCGCTCCATACGGCCCTAGTTTGGCCTCATGTTCCTCACAGCCAGCAAGTCCACGCTGCTCTTTGTGCCAACCAAAAGCCTGGAGTCGCATGATCTGTTTGCTCGAACGCTGGGAATCAAAGCTGAGCGGGACGAGTCGCTGGCCGTGCTGTTTTTGCATACGGCAATACCTCTGTCGACCTCGTACTCGATAGAGAAGCCATCGACCTTGATTGACATCAAAGGTTCCACCACGCCAAGCGTTGTCCAAGCCCATCTGATCTGTCAGATCTTTGGCATATCCGAGGAGGTACTCACTGCATCTGGGGATATCCTGCTTCAGTCCATCGGGCCCGTCGACACGATCCGGCCATCCAGTCGATTGGCTCAGGCTGCTCGACCGGTTCACTGGATTCGGTAGCTCAGCTGTCCTGGGCTCACAACCCGGCATCGCTCTCTCTCTCGGCAGATCATCGCGCTGGTCAAGGACAGCTCGTTTGCTTTCTACGGACACCGAGACAGCCAAATCAACCAGGAGATCATTGAAGCGCTTCGATCCTTTCGAGGCCGGCTGGATGAGTCTTTCAGTGATCGTGTCATTTGTGTGCTGGTGAGTCTCTCGGATGTTGTGGTCATTCGCCACCGATGGGATTCTGAGCCTTGCTTTGCAAATGCATCGCTGCTGACCGCCGCCCGGAACTACTCGCTCCGACCCACTCCCAGATCCATCGAGAATTGTGGCCGCAGCTCTCGTTGATGCCAAACTTCAACCGCCTGAAGCTCAAGACTCGGTTCTTTGTCTTTGGAATGTGTGCCACCGTGCCCAGACAGCTGTGGTCTCCACATGAAGTGTTTGCGTCAGGCCGAATCCTGACATTCGACCTCGATCTGCTGGACGACCCTGAGGCGCCAGAGATGATCTCCGAGATCTTTGAGATCATCAAGCTGGTGAGCAGATCGTGTGAGCATCTGTGATCAGGCTCCTCATGGCATTTTGCCCAACTTCTACTCCACGGTTTGCCCGGGCGTCCGCTGTAAGCACCGACCCGAATCTTGACTGACCGCCCTTCCTTTGCCCGCCCCACCCCCCCCCGTGAGCAGGACCAATCCCAGAGCATTGATATCATCCTGCACCCAGACTTCTCAAAAGCAATCCAGACCACCCCTGAGACTACCACGAGCATCGAGAAGGCCAACAGGTAAGGAATCACATACAAGGTCGCCGTCCGACTTACCATGACTATCGCCGGATATCAACTCTCAAGGGGAAACCTCTGGAGCGCTCATTGCAAGGCTTTGGCTCTTGGCAGATCACAAAGCATCGACTATTACATCCGCAAGTTTGAGCGGCTGTATCCTGACAAGCTGAAGCGTTGGGAAGAGATTGAGACCTTTCCGGTACGTTGTGTAGATGGCATAGCATTGACTTGGCCTCACCACAGCTTGACTGGAGGCGTAAATGGCCCGACAAACTGATTCAGCGCATCCTTGTCAGCCACAAGACACCACCGCTTGCTAACACAGCTCCCTCCCAAAACACCCACTCTAGCACCCAACAAAGCCCATTTTGTTCACGATGCTTCAACACCAAAGTCGGTGTGCATTCCGATATCGCAATTTTTGGGTTCTGAAAGGGTCGAGCTTTGTCGATGACCCTGCGACCGAGACCTATGGCGTACACCAGATCCGCTGGCCGCGATGCCAAGTAAGAGCTTACACTCAGGCGTGGCACTGGTCCGGAGCGACAGCAGTGCTCCAGAGCATGGGCGAGCTGCAATGACTGGCTGCGAGTGCAACCAGGTGGTGTACTGACACTCTGTGATCCGGTTCCTACTAGCGATGGCTAACTGCCGCCGAAGGCACGCTTACCTTGGACGAATGAGGGCAAGACACAGTACAGTTCCCCTTTCTGGCATCAGATGTCTGAGACCCACTGATCTACTGTAGGCTCCAGTGGGAAAGCCATGTGATTGCTTCCCGTGCTAGTTGGCAATTTCTTAGTTTTCGTTGGTTTTGGAAAGCATGGTCTTGAATACACTCGGTCGATCTCCTGTGACGACTGGTATTGATGTGTCGATGTGTGAGTGCGGTACATTCACTCGATGCGGGCGGGTGTGTTCAGGCACGAAAATCAGCCCCTGACTCAACACAGAGTCTCCCGTTTCGTTTTGGGGGTGCAGTGCAATAGTCTCCCGCCCTGCAGAAAGTGGTCGCCTGACAGCACCCTCGCATCACCCTGACACTGGCTTCATCTGCATGATTGGCCCCATCTATCACAACTGCTCGTCGCCCCCGAGGCCGGAAAATATAACAGAGCGCGCTTGGCATCGACTCTATCTCGTCGTCCTCGGAGCCATTCAACGCCAAGGGCAACGTCGTTGTGAAAACTCGCCATGGCAGACGCTCAGGAGCGCGGCTTGACGCTGCTGAAAGGCAAAGAGTATGAAGAGGCCATCAAGGTTCTGACGGCCGGCATCGAGCTCGCAAAGTCCGACGCCAAGACCAACAGCGACCTCGCCGCCAACATCCATGTGCTGTATTCGAATAGGTCGGCCGCATACGAGCGCGTGGGAAAGTTCCATGAGGCCCTCGAGGATGCCGAGTTGGCCATCAAGCACAACCCAGAGTGGGGCCAGGGGTACTTCCGCAAGGGACTGGCTGCCCTGCGTCTCGGGCACGAGAAACGGAGCCGGGTCTGGGCGGCCATCGGATGTGAACTGGATCCGCAAATGAAGCAAAACCCGTCCGTCCAGCAGGTTTTCAAGAACCTCGACACCATCGAAGTAATCCACGTCAACCCGGCCAACGCCAAGAAGATCCTGGTGGGAAACCCCATCAGCAAAGACTCGATCTCCGTTCGGATGCCTCTGGGCAGCCCCGAGGCCGAGAAGATCTTTGTGTTTGAGGAGGGCGAATACGAGTTTGAGACCGAAATCGTTATCACCCACGCCGTCGCCATGGTCCCCAAGACCGGCAAAGGTGTCAAGATCACCCGGACGGGTCTCGAGGGCAATGTCCCGCACGCCATCTTTCTCGCCAAGAACACAGCCCGGCTCTTTATCGAGAACCTGGAGATTGTCTCGACCACAGGCGCGGCGCTGTTTGCCCTGGCGCTCACGCAGATGGAGATCCGCAACTGCAGGCTTGTTTCGACTCGCCAACCCCAGGGCAAGGAGATATACGCCGTGACGTGCGACGGATCCGCGTACTTTTACAAGTGCGACATCTCGAACGAGCACGCAAGCGGCATGGTGTTCCGTGAGAACCAGTCAAGTCTGCTGGAAGACTGTGAGATTCACGGCTGCAAGAACGTGGGTCTCGAGGCCAAGGACGGAGGCAGCTTCCGCGCCGTCCGATGCAAGATTTTCCAGAACAACCAAGGCGCGGTCGTCTGGAAGCAAGCCAGCGTCGTCGAGATGCAGAACTGCGAGGTCTACGGCAACAACTCTGAAGGCATCATCTGCAATGGCGCCAAGATGCGGCTGGATCACTGCCAGATCCACCACAACTCATGGGGCACCATCTTCTTGAGCCAGGCATACTGCGATGTGAATGGCAACCAGATATTCAAGAATCTCTTTTGGGGTGCGCTGGTGCTCGGCGGTTCGAATGCCCGCCTGGTGGAAAACGAGATTCATGGAAATGGTAAGATTCACAGAGCTCGCGAGGGAGAGTGAGTCGGAGTGGAGAGAGTAGCACCGCTTGCTTTGAGAGAGGAGCAGGGCGCACGCCGCGCTGCAGAGACCGGACTGCCCAAGCAGATAGCAAGACAGGTCGCTCGTGATATTTTAGAGCGCCGACGTGCTTCATTTGTTCATCCCGGGCAGCTGCTGACAGTGTGATTTTTTTGCTTCAATCAACCCTGGTCATTGCATATCCAAGGCTGTGGCGGTATTCGCCTCTGCCCCAACTTTCAGGGCCGGGTTGAGATCCTGTCCAACTATGTTCATCACAACCGCGGCCCCGGCTTCTGGAACGAGATCGAAGACAGTGCGCTGCTGGAGACGCCCGAGTACGCCAAGTTGGTGCAGGGCCCCATCCCCGAAGCCAAACGAGCCACGATGCATCTCCCACCCGGCGAAACTCGGCTCCACACCGCCGCTCCGATCCTGCAGGACAATGTCTTTGAAGAGAACTCGGAAGTGAAAGCCCATCCAACCGAGAGGCGCCAGGAGCAGTGTACCTTGTGCCAGATCACCAGTTCGTCATCTCGAAAGCTGCAGCGATGTGCCAAGTGTCCCTCAAAGTACTGCAGCAAGGAGTGGTGAGTTGCTCGATCACGGTGCCACCGGTCGGTGCGGCATGGCAAAGGCGTCGGTGCTGGACTGGTGCGCTTGTGAGAGGTTTGATCCAGATACCGGAATCAGACCAAGCCACCTTCAACAGCGGCCTGAGCACGGTTGTGGGTGCTCGATTTACGATCTGACCCTGTGGTCTCATCCATGACTTGGACTCTTTCGGCCCGCTATATGGCCTCTGCGGCCACAGCCAAGCCCTGGACTGGAAGCGTCACAAGGACTTGTGCAAAAACTTCCAAACCAACCACGTCCTCATCATCAAGCCTGAGGACTTCACCGCTGCTCGATATGAGTGCCCTCCCGAAAAGAGCACACACGCCCTGCCACCGCTGCGCAACGGCAAGCGATTCATCGTCAAGGTGCTGACCGACGAAGAAGAGACGGGCCCAACCTCGCCCCTCACGCTCTACGACGAGTCCGGAAACGTCGACCACCAGTTCCGGTCGCCCGAGCTCTATCAGTTGGCCATGGACTGCGGCAACATGTGCATCACTCAGCTTACGGCCAAGAAAATGTTTTTGTGGGCCGCCTTCGAAAACAACGCCAAGGGCGAGGTTCTCAAGGTCTTCACGAACGAGTTGGCTCCATGGCAGGTGTGGTAGTCAAGGGTTGTGGGGGGCGTGGATCGCGATGCATAGATGGGGGTTTGTCGATCGATAAGACGAGACACCTAGCACTCCAAACAACGCACGCCATGCACGCACGAGTATCTTCCTGATTTGCGTTGGGATTTCAGAGCTGAGCCTGTCGTGCCGAGTTAAATGACGAATCCGATCACAGGGCCTGCAGTTACTTGATCCCGGCTTCTGAATACACATGTCCAGTCGCCCCATTGCAGGCATATAAGCACTGCCAATGTTTGTGCGGATGTTGATGATCGCCTATCGGGGTCGGCTCGTTTGCCCACGGATGCACTCCACCAACACGGCATTTGCTCTCGGACTGTTCGAAGCGGCGATGGTGGCGATGAATCGATATGGCGGTATATATTAGCAGCCAGGCAGTCTCGCTTCCGCTCGGATGACCATTGCCTGCACCTGCCGAGCGCTGTTTTCAGGTGCTGATTCTTCAAGGCACCTCAGTCTACATAGACAAACTTCCGTGGTGGGGGTCGTGCCGGCACTACATCCTTGAGGAGCGATGAGTAGTCGCGACGGAACTGGATTTGGGTCTCTGTGACCGATTTTGCCTCGTCCTCGGAGCAAATTTGCACATCCAAATGCTCCGAATCCAGTGTCAGTGAAACCGCAGTGGGCGGCTCCCGGGCATTGAGCCGCACATATCGTTCCAGCGTGATATGGCGATCAGACCAGTGCTTCAGCCGACCAACGATTTGGAGCGACAGGGAGGGAGGCAGATTCGCTGCAGGGAGATCGAGCAAGAGCCGGGCGGCGAGAGCTCGACCACAGTTGCTCCAGCCATCGTCTCCGGGACGAGAACGAACGATAGCCCAGTCGGCGCCGTCTTTTGGGACTCGGGCGGCTGGCACGCGGGCCGAGTACTCTGTGAAGGCAGCGCCGAGATTGCGGTGGTTCATGTCTGAGAAGCCGCTGAGGATCGGATGGCGCCTCGAAAGGGAGAGACACATCTCTGGCGGCAGGACAAAGGCGCTGCGGGACTGGTCGCCGCAAAAGCCGTTCATCTGGTCGAACCACTGCTCGGTTATCTTGAATGGGGCCTCGTTCTCTTGTCGGTCGCTGGCGTCCAGGAACAGTCGTGAGCCCTGTGTGCTCGAGGCCGTCTGGAACCACCGCGGGAAGAGTCGCTTGGATCGGTGGATGGGCCCATAGAGCACTATATCGGCCAGGGTCGGAGCAACAGTATCCTTGACGAACCAGGGGTTCCGACTGGTCTTGAAGCAAGACTCGACCCACGACAGGACCGAGTAGAGCGGATAGCTATCTGGCGGGACTTTGCTTGTCGATGACGAGAGCTGGCTGGCCGCCGACGAATGCTTTGGCAACTCGAGAAGGGGCGAGGTCGCCGGATAAAATACATTGTCGGCCCAGTGGATGAACTCGTCCGGGGGGTGTGTCTCCATCAGGGCGTCGCCGCTGGGGTCGTAGAAGTAGGACGGCTCTGGAAACCTGGGAAAGAGATAGCAAGCGGCGAGCTGTCAGCGATAGCGGAACCGCCCGGCAAACGCAGATGTCGGTTGGCCCAGACGATCGCTATCGCAGAGTCACCGAGACGAAGGCGATATCGACAGCACAATCGCAGCGTCCTGGCCACCGTCAGATCGAGGGATGAATCTGGACATACTTGATCTCCAGAAAGCGCAGGATCGCTGAAAAGCCGACGATAAAGTCGGATCCGTTCTGCAGGAGAGGCTCGTGCGGCTTCAGCAGCAAATATCCGCCGGTGACATCGACGAGGGGGTCGGGAAGGCCTTCGAGCCTGTTGTTCTTGAGCGTGTGGTGGCATTCGTAGAACTCGGTGCCCTTGAAGGTTAGGGCATACCGGATGCGCTCATACTCGTCCTGCGATCGCTGGAGATACGGCGGCAGAGCGGCTGCGCGGGAGAGGGTTGGATCGGGCTGGAAGGAGTGGACAACGATCGGCGGCGAGTCTCTGGGATAGCGGCTCACGGCGAACTGAGCAGCCAGCCGGTTGATCAAGCCTGTTTTTGTGGTTGCCATGGCTCAGCCGGGTCAGCTGCGGGTTTGGGTTGATTGCGGCTCCTGCGAGCGATTGCAGATCCGGAGAGCGAGATGAGCAACGAAGCAAGGCAGATCGACGCGTCGGCTGCACTGCGGGTCTTGGGATGGCCTGCGCCTGCGCGGGCTCTGGACCGATTCGCATCTGTTCGCATCTGTTCGCATCTGTTCGCATCTGTTCGCATCTGTTCGCATCTGTTCGCATCTGTTCGCATCTGTTCGCATCTGTTTCCGTTGTTGGTCCATCGCGGTGCCTCGCTCAGGCGGTTTCGGTGCTCCGGAGCGTCCATGGCGCTTCCCAGCGGATAGCCCACGATCCGGCTGGGGAATATCCGGGCTCAGGATCCGCCACACAAATCAAGGCCCTCCACGTTGCCAAGGCCGCAGTCTCCACAGCACATCGGTCTTGTCTCGGACTGGGCGGGGGAGAGCGATTCGCTTGTCAGAGTGACGACTTTGGCAAACGGGGGGACCTACGGACTGTTCCAGCGCGGCTGTGGCTGCCAATCAGTCCGACAGAATGCGATACGGGATTTGTCAACTGGACCCGGGGTGTCTGGGCCGATCAGAGGGTTCTCGGCCGCCGAGGTGCTATATCAAGCCGGCCCATCTGCGACGGCGTTACACATTCCACCGATCGCTTTCCCTTGCCCACCACCGCATCCCTCATCATCCAACACCGCACTGCACCGATGCTCGCCAAGGCCGGCATCCTCCGTGCCTTCACGGCGCTCGTCCTCCTCTGGGTGTCTCTGGCTTCGTTTGCCTCGGCCGCTGTCAACATTCCGCTCGACGACGCTGTTCTTGGCCCAAAGAACATCCTCGTCGTCACCGCACCAGCTTCCGGACACGCCAACCCGCTGCTCGTTCTTGCCTATGAACTCGCCAGCCGTGGCCACAACGTCACCTTTGTCACAAGCACCAGCTACTCCGTTCCCGAGTACGGACGAAACTCGACCATCCACTTCCACCAGTTCGAGGAAACGGTGCCCATCATAGCAACACTCAACAAGGCCTCCAAACACATCTCGGAGCCCTCCTCATCTGTCTTTTCGATCCTATCTCGCTTCCGGGGTTTTCGCATCGCCATCGGCGCCCTGAGCTCCTTCGAGTATGATGTTGTCCAGGAAGTTATCAAGAACGTCGACACCCGCTCCACGGACCTCATCATTGGCGGTTTTTTCCTTGGTCCCGTAAGTATGCGCGAGACTGGCAGCGGCCCACAGGCGGGCCTAAATCGGCTGTTGCTGGCGATAAAGTCCAGCCGGAATCATGTCGATATTGCCAGAGCTGCCATAAAGTTCCTTATTCACTCACCACCAACACCGCCGGTATCCATCTGCTTCTTCACCAACTGCCGGCGACAGGTTGTGGATGTCTTGAACGAGGTCCTCGGCATTCCAGTCGTTGTGCACTACCTGATGATCGTCCTCAACTACTACAGCCCTTCGAATCTGTACCTGGACAGCCTCACCATCACCCCCTTTGACACAACCGCAACCGCCGAGATGACTGTGTTTTCCGCTCTCAAGGCCATCCCGCTCCGCATCATACCCATGCTGGGTCGCTATATCCGGTGGTATGAACGACGCCAGATCTTCAAGTGGGTCAAGACTACCCTGTCCGAGTACCTTCCCCAGGTCCAGGGACCTCCTCAGCCCATCGTCGGCCTCGTCAGCAACGAGTGGGGCTTCCATCCGGCCCAGTTGACAAACCCTAGCATGCGCATGGGCGGCATCTGGGTGCCTGCTGCCCAAGATTTTCCGCTTCCATCCGGAGCTGAAGGAGTGGCTCGACAGCGCCGAGCGGCCTGTTGTCTATGTCTCGACCGGCACCGTCGCCCGGCCCACGAACGAGACGCTGCTCGCCTTCTTTGATGCCTTCAGCACGACGACCGAGTTCCAGACCGTTTGGTCGCTCAAGAAGGATCTCCAGAGCAACCTGAAGGAGCTCCTGGGCGACCGTGAGTGGCCCAAGCACGTCTACGTCCACCACTTTGTCCCGCAGCTTGCTGTCCTCGAGCACCCCTCCGTCAAGGTCTTCTTCACCCACGGAGGCTGGAACAGCGTCTCGGAGGGTCTCTGGAGCGGCACGCCGATGCTGGGAATGCCATTCTTTGGTGAGTAACTGCTATCGACGACAGTGCGTCCCAGCGACTGATACACGAGTCGTGGGCTTGGGCTGGCTTGTCACAACAGACCATGAGATGGCGAACCAGGTTTTGGCCCCATGCATGTGCTGCCGATTCCGTTAAATGCGAGTGTGTATGCTCGGTCGTTGCTGACATGCCTCCCGATGCGATGTGCTGTCGCCGTTTCGACAGGTGACCAGCCCTACAACGTAGCCCAGTCCGTGCACATGGGACTTGCCCTCGACGTCGACAAGTCCATCATGACCTCGCCCGACAAGGCCGGCACCACCCACTTGATCCAGGAGAAGCTGCACCGCCTCATCCGCGAGCCGTCCTTTGCCGAGCAATCTCGCCAAGCCCGCCGCACCTTCCGGGCGATGGGCGGCGTCAAGAAGGGTGCCAATATCGTCGAGGAGATCCTCAAGATCGGCAACACCCGGGCATACGCCTTCCCAGACAACCTGGATGCCGTCGCGGCTGCGTTTGCGATTCTGGCGGCCAGCGGTGCCATCGCAGCCTTTGGTACCTACAAGCTCGGCTCGTGGGGATTCAAGCGCTTGTTCAAGTCGGCCCCAAAGCAGAAGATCGAGTGAGAGTGTTCTGTTGGCAATATTCGATATTCAAGGCGATCCAGGGTCTCGTTTGGTCTCAGGTCACTTCGCCCGCTATTTTTACAGCTACACGCACAAAAGCCTCTTTGATAATACTTTTCCAGTGCCCTCTAGCGCCCCGGTGATTGCCTTGTCTGTGAATAGGCTCGCCCGTTCGAAAATACGGCCCTCATGCGATATCACACACGCAGGGGTAATATATTGCTGCTATTTTGCTGTATCGCGCGGCTTAGTCGACGGTGATGCGGGCATCGAGCGAAGGGAAGTCTTCAAAGAAGGACTATGGAGCCATGTAATTCAGGTCGCGAGTGGAGCGGGCGTGTGCCATCAGAGCCGAGAGCGATGGCAGTGAGACGGGAATGACGTTCGCAGATGCCAGTCGCACGGTGCAAGGCGCATATACGAGTCGTGAGAGAGCCGATTGCGATCAGATGATGGTGTCGCACGAATCGAGTCGGTCCGTCGTGCCGGAGCCAAAACGGAGCGATGGTGAGTAAAGTACAAATGGGCAGCGAGGGTCATTCTTCTCTCAGCCAACAGGGCGTCATCCTGCCGTCCACCATCCTCGAAACGTGGCTGTATCGGTCATCGGAAGTAGCCAAGTACATCATCGCACATCGCCGATTCAGCACCAGAGACGTGGGTGCGGACGCTAACATATTACCTCAAAGAGATCGATGGCGTACTGGACATCGTGGACACCGCAGGTCTCGCGGATCGAGTGCATGCTGAGCTGGGGGTTGCCAATGTCGACGGTTCGCAGACCGAGCTTGGCGCTCAGCATGGGGCCGATGGTGGAGCCGCAGGGCGAGTCGTTGCGAACGACGAATTCCTGGATGGGGGTGTTTCGCTTCTTGGCCAGCTCGCGGATGATCAGGGTGGTGACGGCAGTGGTGGCATAGCGCTGGTTGGCGTTGATCTTGACGCCAACACCCTGGTTCATCTGGGGCCGGTGGTTGCTTTCGTGCTTTTCTGGAGGATCATCGGATGGGGTATCAAGCAAAGACGTATCGATTGGAGCACCAGATGCATCAGCCGGTGGTCATGCGGGCACGCAGGGTCTGGGTGATCTAGCCACCGATATACATCCTCAACGTATCGCATGGCACACACGCCATCCACCACACCAAATTGCAGCCTAGTCGAGATGGAGGCAGCAATCAGACGATGCCTGAACGAAATCTTACCGGCATAGTTGGGGTGGACAGCGTGCGCCATATCAGCAGAGACGAGCAGCGACTTGAGCAGCGACTCCTCAAAGGCAGTCTGGCATGGACAGAGGGAGCAACCAAGCTCATGTTAGCTGTGCGGCCTTGGCTGCACAAGCACAGCCACACATCGAGCGGGGCCATTCAGGGCCCTACCTTCGAGACTGGAGCGCTGAGACCGACAATATCCACATCAGCAATGCGCTTCAGGACCACGGTCAGCAGGTTTGAGTCGGCACCATGGGCGGTGTTGCTTCCAACTTCCTCGTTATCGAACAAGGCAACAAGACGGATGTTGGGGTCGTTGGCAACGGAGGTGGGTTCGCGGAGGCTGTTGGTGAGGGCCTGGGAGATGATTGCACGATTTAGAAGCACATCCAAAACCAGCAGCAGATGCTCTGAGCCGCAGGGCGCCGAGAATATTGTCGCAACAAGCCGAGCACCGACGCTGAAGCAATCAATGATGCAAAAGTGATGCCCACCTTGATGGAGCAGAAGGACATCATCAAGTTGTCGAGGCGCGCGGAGAAGATGTACTCTTGCTCGATGCCGCCGATGGTGGCGGGGACGGTGTCGTACAGGCAAATCTCAAAGTCGCCGATCTGATCAGCTGCATATGCAGACGCGGGTGTCAGCAGCGGATTGCGACCCACGACAGCAGGCTCGGTCGTCCTCTCCCTTCCCACTTTGCTAGCGATCGCGCAGTCATTGCCGGCGCTCCAAGAGCGGTGTTTGGGAACCAGCCCGGCACTTTCTTGGATGGCTCACACGAACCTTGAATGTTCAGCTCCTTGGCGATGCGCTGGAGCAGGACAGGGTGGTGAACGGCGCTGTCGTCCTTCTTCTCGCCGTTGAGGCTGCGTTCGGTCAAGCAAGTTGGCAGCACCGCATTGTGTTAGCCGGTGGGCGGAAACCACAGATATGCACGCTGGAACCGAATCAATGGCCCACATCAAGCAGACGGGCCCAATGTGCGTCGGCCGGGTGGAAGATGAGAGTGTGGCACACGTACGCTTTGCTGGCCGAGGCCAGAATGGGAGTGAGCTGGACCTCTTTGTTGAACTTGAAGCCTTCGTCGATGCCGCGATCCAGGTGAATGGCCAAGGTCGGGATTCGGAGGATGGGCTCGTCGATCTTGACAAGTTGGTGCTCCCACTTGTCCTCCTGGGTGTGGACAAGGACACGGCCAGCGATACTGATCCGCGAATGCACCCACCGATGCAGCAGTGTCGATCCAAAGTATTAAGGCAACGCTCTCTTTCACATATCCTCGACACAGCGCGGCACGACCATATGGTGCTGTTGGCCGCAGAGCAGGCTCACCTCAAGTCGCGATCGAACCAGGTGTTCCAGAGGCCGCCACCGTAAGTCTGGACGCCGACCTGGAGATAGCCCACAGACTCCTTCTTGGACTTGGGCTTGAGCTGGATGAAAGACGTTGCAGCAGCGCGGCCGCGGATCAGTCGACATCGATCGTGGTTGGCGGCAAGCTGCACATGAACCAACACGGCCAAACTGAGGAGCTTGTCCTGGAGATCCGGGAACGGGGCAATCGGGCAGGCCAGTGAGGACGGACATACCTTCAAGCACGGCGAATCGGTGTGGGCGCCCAGGATCGAGAAGCCGTTGCCGGGGGCATACTTTCCGCCGACGACGAAGGCGATCAGGGCCGACTGGTTGCGGGTGAAAAAGTACTTGCCGTTGCGCTGGATCTTGTTTGCCCAGCTGTCGCGCTCCTTCAGCTCGACAAAGCCCTGCTCGAGCAGAAGCTTCTTGGACTCGGCGACGGCGTGGAAGGGCGACGGCGAGGCGTTGACAAACTTGATGAACTGGGAAGCGGCGGAGGACTGCAGCAACCAGGACGAGATATGGGTGTGTATCAGCAAGCGGTGCTGCGTGCAGGACGAGCGCAAGAGCCACCCGACCTCGTTCAGATCATCTCCAGCGGCTGTTTGCCGGGGCCGCAGGATGCGCGTTGGACTTTGCGAGCAAGCAGCAGCACGCCTACCATCGTGCCGATCAAACTCTTGGGATTCATGCAGCAGCAGACGAGCGCAGAGCAGATGGATGCAGACCGAAGAAGGACAGGGAGGCAGCGGGCCAGCGGGGGTGGCGGATGGAACGAGGCACCCGATGCCGAATGCTGCGCACGGGCCCCATGGTCGCACGGGCACCAGCCCCACGGATTGGCCGGCGTGGGACGACGAGGCGATCATGGCCGGGGGCAGCCATGAAGGCGAAGGGGGTGCCAGCAGCAGCGGTGTCGATGGCGGTGGTGCGGGTGGTGCGGGTGGTGCGGGTGGAAGTGGCTTGTGCAGCCAGCTCGGCTTTATTTAGAGCTGCGGGCGAGTGCACGATGGGGTCAAGGAATACGAAAGGGCGAGCGCGGTCAGAGGTTCTAGATCTGGAACCGCTGTGCACAGCGGTCGAAAAGAGTCTCCTTCAGCGAGCGGTCCTGGAGGGCAGCATGGTCCTGGGCGACATCGTGCAGTTGGCTGGGGAAGATGCATGGGAGTGAATGTCAGCGCCGGATCCGTGCTTGGCTCGGCTCACTCTGCTCCAGGGCAGAGTCCGGGAAAGGCGGCACGCAGCGGCATTGACGAGCAACACACCTGATGTATCGGTTGATCACGTCGGACGACTTGCCGGTTGCATCGGCACACACCAGCAGGTTGGCAATGGTGTCGGGATCGTTGTTGTTCTGCAAGTGTTGCAAGCGACAAAACGGGCCCAATGGGGTGGGATGCGAGTATATCAGAGCGTGGCTCAATACAAGCCGCACAGATTGGCATATCCAGATGCTTATGAAACAGGATCGATTGGTGGTATGCCACGAGACAGCGAGTACGCTGAACGGAGCCTGGCTCTCCACTCGCACAGATACGCACTTTGTTGAGAGCTTCGAACAAGAGACCCTCGGCCTCCGCGAACTGTCCAGTGGTCATTTTGGAGACCGCTTGGCTGTTGAGCAGCTTGGCAGTCGGGCCCTTGGACGAGACCAGTTCCTCAAAGGTGTAGACAGACTCCTGGGTGCGTTCAGGCCCGCCCTGCTCAGGCCAGAGGAACAAGCATGGCGGAAAGGGTTTAGTGGATAGCTTGGATACAGAGCCTGAAAGTGCCCATACCGACGGCACTTGGCCCGCTGCACACACTTACGATATAGAGATTGACCCACGACTCGATCAGCTGCGCCAGGACATCATCCTCGGCCCAGGCCTTCATCTTCTGGACGGCCTGCAGAGCGAGGTTGGGCCGATCGAGTTTCAGGTAGGCTTGTACGGTCAGCGCGATGCTGGAACACAACACCGTCGATCCGGCAGATTGTAGAATCGTATCATGTCGTGTTGCGTGGGCCACATCCGATCGAGGGGCAAGAGTTGGTCCGCAATCAAAGGTTTCCGAGCCAGTGGTCGAGACGTGAGCAGTCGGTTAGATACGGATGCATGCATGACCGAGGACGGTGGGAGTACGCCTCTGGGCCAGTCAGTGGATGTCTCCAATGCTGATTGCGAATCCGACAGGCCAGCAGGGACGTGAAGCGCACTGCGGTCTGTCCATCTGTCCATCTGTCTGTCTGTCTGTCTGTCTGTCTGTCTGTCTGTCTGTCTGTCTGTCTGTCTGTCTGTCTGTCTGTCTGCCGATGACAATCGGTTGGTGCAGTCGACGGCTTCTCGAGACCGGTTGCTGGGCACGCATCAAAGGACGAGCCACTAACCATTCCAAGTTCTGATGCTTCTCGGCGACGAGCCTGAGCGCATCGTCTAGTAGTCCGTGTGCGAAAAACAGGGTAGCGGCCAGAATTTGGACGGTAACGTTGAGACCCAGGGATTCGTCCGCCAAGGCCTTCATCTCGGCAACGAGTTGATCTCGCTGGGCGGCGGGGGTGATGAAATAGCGGGCGATGGTGCCAATCGCTCTCAGCTCGATCTCGGACGCCTTTGCGATCTCGCTGATGACCATGTTGTACTTTTTCTGAGCCAGATAGGCCCGGTAGAGGAAGACCCTGCGCAGTAATCGTGCCTGCTCGGTCCGGGGCTGATGAGGATTTGTGGCCTCGTTGACGACCTTCTGGTAGTCGCCGAGATAGAAGAGGTTGCGGATGGGCAGAATCTCGTCTGGCGCGGCGGGCAAGTGCCGAGGAACGCAGAGGACGATCGTGTCAGAGCAGCGTCTGGGCTGCGGATGGATCCGTCCACTCCACTCCATTTCATTGCGTTTCATGTCGGCTGGGCCGATGCTGGATGCAGACGGCCGAGAACGCCGCGGCTGAAGGCGAACAGCGCTGCCATCGGGGGCAGCAGCGACGGACGAGGACGGCCGATAGCGTCACGGAGAGGGCCCGGCGATGGCGCGGTTACCTAGAGCAGGATCGGCCATATCGACGGTTTGCAGAGGCAGGGACTGGGCGGCAGGACGGGGCGGGCAGCAAGGCCTGGAGGCAGCAACGGGAATCTCGAGATGTGCAGAGAGCGGCCAAGGGATTCCCCTTTTGCCTTTTGGAGGCGGGTCTCGGGGCGAGGCCGCGAGCGAGGCCGAGGACGACGCGAGACGAGGGCGAGGACAGGATCGAGCCGACGGCGCCGGCCAATCAGCGGCGCGCATCGCATCAGGGGCTTGGGCCCTGGTTGGCGAGGGCGAAGCGGGCGGTCAGCGTGGGGTTGGGCCGCGTCGCAGCGCATCGCATCGGATTGCATTGCATTGCATCGGATTGCATCGCATTGGATCGTGGTGCATTGCATTGGATTGCATTGTGCCGCATCGCCTTATATCTCATCGCAGCGCATCGCATCTCACGACCGAGCTATGGAGGACCGCAAGTGGAAGACGCTCTCTGCGACCACCCCAAACGGCGCTGCCCGTGCCCTCTTCTCAGAGATTCTGGCAAAGTACGGTGCCGCCACTCAGTTCGTGCTCCGAGGCATCGTCTCTGCCGAGGCAAAGAGCTACTTCATCCAAACGATCCTTGATGTCCTTGTCCAGCCAGTCGAAACCCGGCCCTGGGACGATGCAGGTGGGTTGTCCGTATTGCCAGTCGATGCAAACCTTTGTCGTCTTTGCTGAACCCAACCGTCAATGCCTTGCAAATGGCGTGGCCTCTTGTTGCCAGTCCGGCAGCGTGCTTTGAACTGCCTCCGTGTTCTTGGACGAGAGCCCCTGGGATGCTCTGCGTTATATACCCCGCAGGTGGGTTCTAGAGATTAAACAGGGGGGAATATGTGTCCCGGTCATGGCTTGGGCGATGGCTAACGGACAATACGCGCTCCAGGGCATCGGGCTGCTGATCGAGCAGGCCCAGATCCGCCCAGACTCAGTCTTTAGCGACTCTGAGTGTGCCCTCGAAGCCCTGCGGGTGCTCTCAAACTGCCTCTTCCAGAACCTGGGCTGCATACCTGTGTTCCTGTCGGTCGGCGGCGGGGAGGGATGCGTCAATGCACTGAAGGTAAGCAGAACCACCATCCAAGATGCACGGACGAGGCCAGAGATGCGGATCTCCAACCGGCGCATTGTCGATACATTGACTGACCACTGCGTCCCCACTGACACTGGGGTTGGGATCGGTGTTGCCGTTCGCTGCTGGCGATGCAATCCCGATGCAGCTTCCGGCCCTCTCGCTCAATGCCCGGTTCCTCGTCGCGCGCATTCTTTTTCTGGCGACGCATACTGGAGACCCGGTCATTCTTGAAAATGCCCACAGGATCGGGGCCGTCGATACGCTCGCCGACGTAAGTGCCAATGAGCGTGGGTCTAAAGGGCCGCTTGAATGGACAGGGTGCAGTGCATATGCATGGGGCTCACACCCAAAGCAATGGACTCACACCCAAAGTAATGGGCTTACATCCAAAGCAATGGGCTCACATCCCGCCGCACGGCACCGCATGTCTGCGTTTCTGTATCATGCCAGTGCTTCAACCGCACTCTCGATGAACTGCTTGCGAACCTGCCCGTGCCTGAAGGAAGCGCCGACTACACCATGACGCTCTCCGAGATCCTCAAGATCCTCTTCAGCTTCATGCACCACGAGGTCAACACGGGCATCTCCGACAGCCTCCCCGTCAGTCAGTGGCCTACTGAAGGACGATCGAAAGCCGAGGCCACAAAAACCAAGATTGCCGAGCGCTACCGAGGGTGAGGCTTCGCCTGGATCGAGTTCGTCCGTAGTGTCGACCCTCGGCGCGATGCGATGGGGAGACTGTGTCAGCGATTCAAAAAGAAAGGCCGATAGCTCAATGCGGTTAAAGAGCCACACGCAAACCTGCAGCCATCGCTATTTCGTGCATCTCACTACCGCCATACTTGGTCCAGGTTCTTTCCGGGAATTCTCAAGCTGTTCCGAGCTACTCCGATCAGCACTACTCAGCCGCTCGCACCGCCGCACAACCATATCGTTCACGCACTGATGAATTACCCGGTTCGAGAGGAGCCGTGGTCTCGCGAATGGTTCCCGGTCTCCGCAGAGACAAACAAGACCGACTACGAGGCGGTTGTCAAGCTCATGGATCTTCTGGAGCGCATGGTAACCGTTGCGATCCCGCCCCGGGGACGCGACGACTATGACTTTGATGACGGCGCCCTTGAGTTGCAGGGAAACAAGCTAGACGATGTACTCCCGCCGGTGATTCTGGTGCTTACCAGCGTCGCCAAGGAAAACCATGGCGCACGCAAGTTGATGCGAAGGCGGTTGATGCCTGAGGACATGTATGTGACCGATTCACTGCGGGCAGCTGTGTCCACTGAACGACCCGGGCCACCGCTTACTTTGCTGATTGTTTGTCACCACAGCGACCGAAGCAAGCCGCTCGATCGGATCGAAACAGTCACTGGACGGCTGATCCGCTTCATGACCAGCATCAGCCTGCCCAACGTTAAAGTCTGCACGGGAGAGTTTGTGTGCGAGCTCTTTGATGCCAACCGTAGGTATCTACGTGGAGTGCAATGGAGCAACGGCACAGCAGCGATAGAGCAATGGCCCAGCAGCAATGAAGTAGCATCACAGTAGCATTGGGACCATGATGCGGTGGCGACCGCATGGGAGGATGAATTCCTCCACATGCTGTACCTAGCCCAAACGATCATCGGAGATCGGAGTGCCAGCAAACTGGAGTTGAAATGCCTGTATTGACCGTTATATCTTTGCCCCCCCCCTCAGCGCAAAAGCTCGTGGAGTACGTTGGGTACGGCAATGCTGCTGGATTCTTGTTTGCACACGGCATGATGGGCGGCCAGCAGCCGCCAAGCACTTCGTCCATCACCCCTCTGGCCGAAGGCGACGCCGAGGATGAGACAGCCACCATCACTCCCAGCACCAGCCAGACGCGCAGCGAATATGAGCCCTCGCTCCAAACGTCAACGGCTCCGAGCCAGACTCCAACGCTCAAACCGACGCCGCCCATCAACCCCATCACTGGCTCGTACGAGCAGGAGGATCTGAAGGAGGAATGGAACAAGATGACTGACGAGGAGAAGGAGCGAGAAGCAGAGCGGCTGTTTGTTCTGTTCGACCGCTTGAACAAGACGGGGATCATCAAGGCTGTGCCCACCGATCAGTTTGACCAGGCGCCCAAGTAACCTGCGCGGCGTCGTGTAGATCGCATGGCGGATCGACGGGATTGCTCACCCAACGACCCCATTACAGCCGAATGAGCTTCTTTGCCAGGCCGACGGATGAGCTCTTGCTCCTTGGCACGACACCCGAGAAGACAGTCTTGAATACACTCGGTCGATCTCCTGTGGCGATGAGTGAGTGTGGTGCATCCACTCGATGTGGGAGTGTGGTGTATCCACTCGATGTGGGAGTGGTGCCTTCCGCTTGAGGGGAGCCATCTGTGCGAGAGAGCGTCCTTGATTCAGATCCAGAAACATATCACTGAACCGTCATGGCCAGCGCGCGATGTGCTTTTGCTGACACTGCGGGCTCTGAGTGATTCGCCAGTGAGGAGCTTCCCGCTCGTCGCCGTCGTCGCTTGACAGGAGCTGGGTTGCAAGGCCGGATGGTCTCTGGTTGCTGTTCCCACAGCACAGCGGATTCGAATGTCGCCCTGGCTCGAGCCAATCGAGCCACCCTGCGCCAGATCAGTTCAAGCTCCAGGGGCATTTGCTGCCCGTTGCTGATGCCGTCGCTGCGAACGCTCTCCTCCATCAAGCCCGTTGCCCCCCATCCGCATCTCTCTGTCATTATGAGCTCATCGGAAAGCAGCGCCGCATCCCCGACCTCGTCTGTCGTCACTGTCCGTCTGCCGAGCGGCAGCAAGCTCGAGGTTCTGGCCGACCCGCTGTCCACCACTGTTCTGCAGCTCAAGGAAAAGATCGCCGTCCTGGGCAACATTCCCGCAGCCGAGTCGAGACTGGTGTTTGCCGGGCGAATCATGTCGGACGACTCGAGTCTGCTCTCCGAATATGGCATCAAGGACCGGGGCGACATCATCAATCTCGCGCGCAAGGCCAGCAACAGCCTGACGGCTCCCTCGGCCGCCTCGCCCGCTTCCTCGGTCGTCCCGACTCCGGCCACGGCCCAGGCGTCCAGCCCGTTCGGAAACATGAGAGAAATGATGAACAACCCGCTGATCCAATCGCTGCTCGACAACCCGACTTTTATGGAGTCGATCCTGCAAGTCTGTATCTCGATGTGTTCCTTTCGTTGCAATTCCTTGCACGGGCTTGCCCATACCAGGCCTCTGTGTCGATGGAGTGAGATTTCAATGTCGTTAGATACGCCTGTGGTGCCCTCGTGCACGTTGGTTCCGGCGCCTGGCTGACGCTCTGCTATTCGCGGACTAATGTCCACCGCTGACCTTCCCAGAGCGATCCTCGGCTCCGGCAAATGTCCGAGCGAAATCCAGAGGTGGCGCGAATGATGCGTGACCCACAGGTGAGCGACTGCAACCGATCTGGCGGGCCCGTGGCTGATTGTATTGGCCCTCAGGGAGGAGGGGGAGAAATCTCTGTGGCCAAAAAGTACTCGCGGATACCTTCCGGATCGCTGAGGGCCTATGCGACATGGACCTCCCGCATTGGCTAACAAATTGCTCTGGTTGCTGTGGGGTGGACGGCGCAGTTTCTGCGACAAATGTCAGAGACGATGCGGAACCCGGCACTGATGCAGGAGATGATGCGCAATCACGGTGAGTATCGAGGCATCCAGGGCCACAGGATTTGCATAATGCAGTGGCGCTGATGAAGGCCGTTTGCTCTGCACACAGACCGACAGCTCAGCAACATCGAAGCCATCCCCGGAGGCTTCAACTACCTTTCCAGCATGTACCACGAGATGGAGGAGCCCGGCGACACAGCTGCCGCGACAAGAGATTCTGGTAGGACCGAGAGATGCCACAGCCAACCGAGTGGCGAGGCATTTGCATCTCCGGCGCCTGAAGCAAGCAGCTGCGATGCCCAGAGAACATACGCAAGCTGATGCGGTATCTAATCACGGCCACAGAGGAGGCGAACCGACGTATGGCGGAGGCTCTTGGCGTGAGCCAGACTCATGCCTCCAGCGGACCCAACGATCAGCCCCTCCCGAACCCGTGGGCCCCAACAAGACCGGCAACCGCTCGCAATGCGACTACGCCTGCCAGCCAACCTGTGGTACGCAACTCGCAGCACTCTGTTGAAATGCACATCGCCACGTTTGGGCTGCATTTCCAACGCTCCGAGCGACAGTTGTCCCTGTGCGACTGGCACTCGCTCCATGAGTATCTGTCGACGACACAAGCGAAACACTGTCAATCTCATATGCGAAATAACCTCGACTTGCATGGGCGTCCGTGTTCCTGACCCTGGTTCCCCCCCCTCCTCCTTCACTCTATTTCGATAGCCCGCCGCCCAAGCACCATCCCTTGGCATGCCGTTTGCTTTCCCGTTCGGCGCACCGGCCTCGTCTGCCGGAGCGACCACTCCTGGTCAGGCTGCGGCGGCTGGCAGCGTTGATGAGCAGCAGATTCTTCGCCAGCTGGAGCTGCTCAACCTGGTCCTGGGCGGATCGTCGCGAACGGGGCCCTCAGCACCCTCAGCGCCCTCTACAACAGCGGCAACGACGACGACTCCAACCACAACCCCGACTTTTGCGGCACCCACCACAACGACACCGGCCGCATCGGCTCTGCCGACGACTCCCCAGACTACTCCGTTCCCTGGAGCCTGGGGCGCCCCGTGGATGATGGGGCCGGGTGCCAATGCCAATGCTGACCCAGCCGCGCTCCAGCGCCAATTGGAGACGCTCCAGTTGCTCTTTGGCGGAGGAGCGCTGGGCAGCCCCTATGGTGGGGGCTTTGGCGGATTCCCAGTCTATCCCAATGCCGCTGGAGTCGCGGCTATGACGCCAACGGCCGGCAGCCCAGGTGGAACGGCCCCGGCATCTACAGTCACAAGCGCCGAACGGCACCAGCAACTGAAGGAGCAGCACCGTCCTCAGCTCGATATGCTGAAGGACATGGGCTTTGACGACGAGGAAAAGTGCCTGAAGGCACTCCTGGCATCGGTAAGCAAGCGCACGACAAGGACGGCATGCAGTGCAGAAACCTGATGGACGCGGGCTGACACGAGCCGTACTTTTGAATACCAACAGGGCGGAAACGTTGATGCCGCTGTGGGATACATGCTCGACATGTAGAAACTGGTGGTGCCGCGGTCGCCGATGGGATCAGGCAGGCACACTGGCGGGGTGTGCTATGAATACATATTGGCGCACTGGACATGATCCGCCACAAACTGAAGTGGTCTGATGGGGATGCATGAAGATGGGCCCAGTGCCGCGCCTGGCTCACTCGTTACTTGGCTGCTTGGCTGGGTGCTTCCTTGGTTGGGTGCATGGTTGCTTCATGGCGGCGGGTGCTCCGTGGGCAGCGATTCAAGGCCAACCCCCCGCGAGAGCGCGGCGAGGAGCAGCGAGAGCAGAGGCCGGCGAGGACCGACGCGCCGTCTCGCCGGCAGCGAGGACGCTCTCGCCGCGCCTTTGCGTTGTTCTCGCCGCGCTCTCGCCGCGCGCTGCGTCTCGCTCCCGCTCTCGCCCAACCGCCGCCCGGTCCGCCCCTGTCGCGGCGAGAGATGGCGGTGCGCTTTTGCTCTCGGAGAAGGGGTGTTGGGGAGAGGGCGAGAATAAAGCATAGGCCGGCTCTTGCCCGGCTGGTCTTCCTTCCGTCGTCCGGCGCAAGCATCTGCCTGTCCTTCTGCACCCACCCAAGAGCCCGGCCAGGCCAGTCCAGCGATACTGAATTTTTTTTTTGTCTGGTGTGTGTCGCTCGTTTTGTGCTGGGGGCATCCCCGCTTGGTCGTCCGGCCTGCTTGCCTGCCGCTGCTGCTCGGCCTTCCCCACAGCCGCCAGCCCGTTTCGCAGGCCAGCTCGCCAGCTGCTCCGTCCTTGCATCTCCCGGCCGACTCTGGGCCTCTCGTTCTTCTCTCGCCTCATCGGCGCTGTGCAGAGGAGTGCATTGTTGCCAGACTGGTGTGTCCGCGAGTCGATACTGAACCCTCTCTGTGCCTCATTCCCAGCGGTTTACTCTGCTTCTAAGCCCCTCGTCTGCCTCTTCCAGCACCTCTCTGCCTGGTTCTCTTATCGAGCTTTCGCCTCCCTTTTATTTTATTTTTTCCTGTCAACCGATTGCTGACCTTGAGCATGCTCGATATGGTCGTGGATGACTATGGGGCCGAGAAGCGCTTCCTGCCATGTCGAGAGGACAGACGTCCAGGCAGCCCAGCCAACCTCAGCCCTGCCCCAAGAGGGCTCGAGCAGCCCCATCGCCACCCCTACCACAGCCCCAGTCGAGATGCCTTTGCGGCCGGGCTGTATCGGTTCAACAGCCTGGGTCTTGGCGGCCGTCCTGGCGACGACCCCGTCGAGGTCCAGCATGGGCATGACAAGCCGCCGGGCGGCCGCCAACATGGCGATCAAGACGCCGAAGGCCGCGATGATCGAGACGAGGACGAATATGACGAAGACGAGGACGAAGACGAGGACGAGGATGAGGACGACTCCTACGACGAGGATCTTTCGCAGGAGCGAGAGACTGAGACCCTGTTTGGCTCCACTCATCCTTCGCGCAACCTGGACGAATGGAACATGAAGCAGCTGCGGGGCAAGATGAGATACTCGGAAGTCTGCGTGGATGACGACTATTTCGAGTACCGGTGAGGACTGTGCGGGATCGACCAATGTCGCGGCTGCTCGGTTGTCGACGTGCAGATGTGATGTTGTGCCTGTTGCCCTGGAGTTGCCCTGGAGTTGCCCTGGAGTTGCCCGAGGCCGAGTCCCTCATCTCGGCAGCCCAGTCGCCCGAGCTTGGTGCCCATGCAGCGCCAACCTCGCCAACGACACAAATGTGCATCTTCCCACGTCTCGTTGGTATTCTAACCGTGGCTATCGCTTGCATACCACGGCCGGCCCATCGCACTCCCCAGCCATGTTATCCTCCCCAAAGACCTCTACAAGTACACAAACATTCGACTGAATCCGCACAGGCTCGCGCACGAAGAGTGGGTTGAACTGGGCGTCAACATCGCCTGGGACTGGGAGCACTACTTTGTCCACGTTCCTGGTCCCGATCAGCCGGTAAGTCGGCAGTTTCGAGCTGAGGGGCCTGGTGCATGAGTGAGTCGATGGATGCATCTCGCCTTTCGGCATTCAACGCGCTGCCACCCCGGCTACCGAACGGCTAATCAATATCGGTTCCCCGCTTTCTTTCTCCACCCATCCGTGTTCAGTGGGTTTTGCTGTTTCGCAAGCGAAAGGCAGACCCAGTGCCGACAAGACAGCTCAAGGCCAAGCCGCCATCGTCCACGGCAAAGCAAAATGCTCAGAGTAGCAAAGTCAAGACCCCAACGAAGCGGAAGCGTCCCAGCTCGGCACCTCGGGCTGGCCCCAAGGCCAATTTGACCCCAAGCAAAATCACCCCACAGTCGTCCTTCCAGTCCGAGACCCGTCCCACGACCCCAAAGCAGCAGCAATCAAGGCCTCACAAGAAGCCAAGCCCCTCATATCAGGGCCATGCCAAAGGCGCCCAGGCAGCCGCCACGCCTGGACCAGATCCGTCGCCCGGACTCCATCTTGGCTCAAACGGCAGACCCAGCCCGGTTCTACAGAGCCTCCGCCAGAACGAGAACCAAGAGCGCAACCAGCCCCACGCAGCACCCCTCTATGCCGCCGGCCTGGGAGAGTCCAAGATACCGATCCCAGGAACCCCCCGACGCTCCGCGCGACTACAGGCCCTCGGCAACAAGACCTAACGGTGTCTCCTGTTCGATGCATCCCGCCGATGTCGATTGAGCTTTTTTGGCCTTGCGGTTCCTTGGTCGTCACGGGTCGTGCTTTAGTCTTGCCTGGCTCGGGTCTCACAATCTTGCGTGGGATGGATTCTGCTCCGGCAGGACTGTGAGGGTTGACTCCTCCAGCTTTCTTCTCCTCTCCTGCTCTGCACATACACCCTCCTCTATCCCACACCTTAAACTGCACTAGATCGGCTTTTTCTTCTTTCCTTTTGATCCCAGGCCCGCCACCTCTCGGTCGATCACGTTCGACTGCAAAGCTCTCGCCATGTTATTTATTGATCCAAGTGCGATCGACTCTGGGCAACCTCTGGCCGTGCCTTTGCTCTCCTCTTCGCCCCGCCATCCTCGAGGCGCCACCCCTCCATACGCCACCGACGCATATGCACCGCCCTTGCCTTCCTCTTAATCTAGCCTGCACCATCGCCGTGTCTTCTTTTGTTGATGTACCGGCAGGCAGTCTGTTTTGATGCCTTGCAGCGACTATGGCTCCAGTTCAGTGAAAGGAAAAACAAACAAAATCTGATGACCCGACATCCCCGCAATCGGAAGAAAGAGCGCGGGAGAGAGAGAGAGAGAGAGAGAAACAGAAAAAATAAAACTAAAAATAAAATACACAAGAAGGAATGCAATGCTTGGACCTCTCATTTCGTGCGCGGTACTCCGGACCGACCAGAACGTCATCACCATTTACCAAGAGATTTGAGGGTGGTGATGGCACCCCTATTGCCTTGCTCGGCTGACCTGCGATACCAGAACAGCGCAGAGTCGATGTCCAGATCGACACCCTCCCCATTCTGATAGCAGGTGCCGAGCCATCTTTGAGCGTTCCGATTGCCCCGTTCAGCCGACAAACGAAACCATCCGGCAGCTTTGACATGATCCTTTTCGACCCCGCGTCCATCATAGTAGCGGCGACCGACTAAATACTGTCCGTATGAGTTGCCTTGGTTTGCAGATTGAACGAACCACCGAAATGCCTTTGGCGTGTTCTTTGGTGAAGATAGCTCACAGTAGTAGCAATCTCCCAGCCAGTATTGGCTATCATCGTGCCCCTCGTTGGCGAGTTGCTCCAGCATGACCACTGCTTGCTTGCGATCGATCAAAGTTCCAAATCCATGGATGAGACATATGGCCATGAGATGCTTGCAAAGCCAATCTCGCTTCGATCCAAGCTTGCATAAATTGAAGAACTTGCAGGATGCTGGAGAGTCAGAGCGTGCCAATCGCCGCTCAGTCAAACAATCATCTGCAAGGAAAAAATCGTCGGACTGGTTGTCGCAGATGATCTTGATCCCTTTTCGTTCATTTCGCTGCGTACCGCGGCCGAGGTAGTGCATCCATCCAACCATGTATGTGGCAATCGGCTTGATGGTTGGATCGGAGGACTTTGTGCGGACCTCCTGCCAGCGAGTGAGGGCATCGACATCGCTCTGTTCGACACCCCGGCCGATGAACGAGAACCAGGCTCGCAGAAACACGATTCGGAGTCGACCGTCTTCACTACCCTGATCAGCGGCTTTCGTGTACCACTCGATGGCTGCGTCATAGCCCTGCCTGACACCGGTGCCATTCTCATAGCACCGGCCAAGGACAAATTGAGCCGATGCAACTCCGTGGTTAGCAAGCTTGATATACATATTAATGGCCTTGGTGTGGTCTCGGCACACTCCAAAGCCGTTGCGATAGTAGCCTGCCAGGTGAAATTGCGCCATTATATGGCCAGCATTGGCTGCGTTGTGAAAATAGTTGAATACCCGCTGGCGCCTGGCCAATAGCACTTCCCAATCTGACTCGTTCTTAGGCTCGCCGAGGTCGTCATGGAGGATCCGAGCCAGGAAGTACGAAGCTGCAGTGTTTCCCTGGTCTGCCTGAGCAACAAGCCAAGATTGATCGGCAGCATCCTGGTCCTTGCAGTGCAGCGAGATGCCGATCTGATCGCTGGGTGTGAGGCCGATCCGCAGCTGGCCGTCTGGATGGCACAATTCTGCCTTCTGGCACCAGCTGCGGAAGCGGGGCACCTTGGAGCTCAGGAGGAACTGTGCTCGCCGACACACCTGGAGCAGGGTCTTGAGGGTATCATGGTCGAGGGCAAGCTGGAAACTCTCGTTGCAGCAGACGATGGCGAAGATGTCTGGGCTGTGGTCGTCGATGGCCAGTCGAGCCATGTCGGGAGAACAGGGGCGATGGTTGGAGCAATGACTGGAGCAGCCGGCCATGGTGATTGATGGGAGATGAGGATGTGAGATCAAGGCGATGCGGAGGTGGCGGATGGAGACAAAGCGGCGAGAGAGAGAGAGGGGCACAGCAAGGCAGCCAGCAAGGGCGGAGAATCAAGGCCGAGGGCACGTGGTCTCCCCGTGCATGTCACGCGTGATTCCCTGCGCCACCTCTCAACTCGGCTCGAATCGCTCTGTCGCCGGATCCAGCCGGCGACTTGCCCAGCCAATCCGCTCTCGGCCACGCTGCTACCACACAGACACAGTGCCAGTCCCGTGCCACTGCCTCGTCCTGCGCTTTCGGTCACGCCTTTTTTTTCGCTGCACCGTTCGCTTTGCCTGCCTGCTTGCATCCAGCAGATCACCGTGATCGCCTCCGTCTCCAAGTGCCGCTGGCTGCAAGTCGTCTGCGAGCCCCACGCCTGCCCGATCTCGGTGTTTCCAAAACCCACCGTTCCTGCACCACTCCGTCCCCAGGATCAAGGAGTCAGTCCAATACAAAAGCCGTCGCAAGGATAGCAACAGTCGCCATGGCCTCCGTCCGCAACAGCACACGATTCTCCTCTCGTCTGTTCTCCAAGTCGTCAATACCCAAGTCGGCGTCATTTGCTCCAAAAGCCACGCCGGCCGCGGCATTCACATTTTCGACATCGTCCACCAGCAGCAGCGCCAGCGGTAGCACCAGCGGTAGCACGAATGCTCTGCCCCAGCAGACATCGTCGCCGTCGGGGGCGGGTCTTGCCGGCCTGACATCGATTGTGAGTAACAGCGTCGATAGCCGCGTGGACACCCATTCGATCGGATGGCAGGATTCGGTCGCACTACCATTGCGATATCATTTTGGTCGCTCCAGTGGCGATGCCTCTGCTTGAGCGTCCGTCGATCGTGTTCGTTGAACAGCATTGGATTGGGCTGACACCGACTGTCGTCAGTCGCTCACTTGTGGCTGTGTGGCTGTGTGGCTCTGATAGCGTCAGATGCTTGGTGCTGCTCTGTAGGATGCGGCCCTGGTCGGTTTCAGATCACTCCTGTTGACTGAAACGTTGATCATGAAGCTAATCCAAGTATTACTTGTGTTGTCCCGCAGCCCCGCGTCCCGTCGGCGATCGCGAACGCCCGTGCCCAGCAATCACAGCTGGCCCTCCTCGTTTCCCAGGGATCAAGCCAAAATGATGGGGTATAGTACGTTAATTCACTTTTCTTGCGAGGGAAATGGAGTCTGCCGAGTGCGCTGCGGTGTTAAGCTGCTTGGATGTGGATCGAGCTCTTCACGCTCCTGCCCAGCATCCCGGCCGCTCGCTCTCGGATCGCCTGGACAGACCTTGATTGCTGACGGTGGCAAACAAGGCTCGAGCTGAGAATGGGTGCTCGACAAGGGACGAGAAACACGCCAGCGGGACTCATCGACTTTTGTTCTATTTCGTCGCTTGATGCATTCTGCTTTCCCCGTATTCCCCTTGCGCCTACTTGCGGGTGTCGTGACTGCCAATTGGCCCTGGCAACCGACTCGGACAATCGATCCCGATACTCGATCCTGATACTCGATCGCTGCCTCGTTTTCGACGCACTTCGAACCGCAACTCACCTCTGCAACTGCATACCCCCCTGTTCGTGGCTGGTTTCATGCAAGGGTTAAGATATAATGCCGTTGACGAATGGCATATTTTGGATCGCTGGAGTGTTGCCGGAAGAAGGAACCCTTTCCGAAATAGAGCACGCCCTCGAAGCTGCAGCGTTGGCGACGGGCTTTCTTTCTCCTCAGAGTCCACCGTGACTGGTGCTCGCTGCTGTCCGTGTCCATCATGACCGACCCTTTCATGGAGCTGCGTATCCGCCTCATGACCCCGGTCCTTCACGGGACTGCCGCAGCGGGCTGGGGTGTCCTGCCGAAGGCGCAGACCATGTCTTCGCCGCTCCGCTGTGGCGTGGTGGTGGTGGTGGTGGTGCGGCAGCTTGGACGCACGGGGTGCAAACAGCGCCCGCGCGGCTGTGGCCCAGCCGGGCCGAGAACGCCAGCGCAAACCCAGCCACGAAAGACATGGGACTGACGAAAGCCTCATGGGCAATAATGTCGGTACCGTGGGAGAAGTGTGTACTTCATGATGTGCCTCACGGAATGTGCTTCATGATGTGCTCATGCGTCTCACAGTTTGCTTCCGTTTCGCTGGGCCTTCCCGCCGATCGAGTTTCCACGCCGAGCTCCTTGCGCATCTGGCGGGTGCCCATCATGGCCGCCAGTCGTCCCCCTCAATCTCGCCCGGGTCACTCGCGGGCCTGCTGATGCGAGCGAGGATCAGCGAGGACTGGCTGCAAACAATGGCATGGGTCATGCGCTGCCGCCCTCGCCGGCTGACCCTGCTCCCCCGCCATTCAAATGGCCAGCGCGGCCTCTATTGCAAATGCCGGCCTTGCTTGTGCACAGCACTTCCCTCTTCTCCTCTCGCCCTTGAGCCCAACGCCCTCGCTGAACAACACAATCCCTGGCATCGAGGCCAGCGCTTGCTTCTCCTCCTCCCCCGTCTCCACAAGGCACATCCCACCACCATCGCACCATCTCGCCTCCCTTGCAAATACACATCCTCTGCACACCCCTCAAGCACACCCCTCAAGCACGCCACACACACACGCCCGCGCCACGTGGTCTCCGCAAGTCCGCCTCCAGCGACTCCGACCTGCGCTCCCTGTCCTTCGGACATATCTGCGAGGGCGTCCTGGCCAGCCTGCCTCTCCTTCCATCTGCCTGCCTCTCCTTCCATCTGCCTCTGCCTCGCCTTCCATCTGCTCCCGTGGCCTGCTTTTGCTCACCAAACTGAGCCAAAGCTGAACTCCCGCCCATCCGTGAACAGCGCTTGCCAACTCTGTCGGTCCCGTCTCTGCCACTCGTCCAGCCCCGGTCGCCGCAGATATCCGGTTGTTTCTCTTCACTTTTCTTCAGATAGCTCCCAACTGCCTCTTCGCTGTCTCTTCCCTTGCTCTCCCGGTGCATTTTTGAGCAGAGTAATCCCCAAGAGAGACCTTTCTTGATCCATGCCGCCAAACCGCACGACTCCACGTCCAAAGCCTGCTCGCCGTTCGAGCAGGAACGATGACGACAGCCAGGACCATGGCCGACCTGCCGCATCAGTCCTCTCCAATCTGAATGAGCATGTTGCATCTCTCCAACGTGCCGAGCCCGGCGACCAGAGCTGGAGCCCCTTCAACTCGGTCGGCGGAAGCCCCGTGATTGTCCATTGCGGCCTCAAGGACATTGTTGCCCTGGATGACCAATGTAAGTCGTTGCCGCCACTCCGTTGGCGGGTGTTGTGATGAGCATGGGCCTGTCCTGTCGACCTTTCTGCCACTCAGCGCGTGTGCCGGGGTGGCCGAACGAGCATGGTGCAAGCCCGCCATCTTTCGTGACAGCCACTAGAGTGGATTTGTTCGCCAGTTTGACCAACGCCGTGTTCACCCTGCCACTTTTCACTGACATTCTCTCGTTTTCACTGACACCTCCCGTTTCCATTGGCACCCTCCCCCCACTCCTCGGACTGCGCTGGGGTGAATCGCGCAGCATTCCATGGCTCAAGCTCGGACCTCGAGCTGTGGGAAACTCAAGACGACTCCGATGTGGAGCACGAAGTCCTGAACCAGTTTCTGGAGTCCATCCAAGCCGTCCCCACCGGCACGGATAGTCTCAAGTCAACCTCCTCGAGCGACAGCAAAGGCTTGAGTTGCGAGTCGTCGCGTATCTCTTCTCTTTCGTCCTTTGCCGATAGCAAGTCCGAGCCCGGGACAATCGCGAGCCAGCCCTCCCTCATCGACCCTGTCCCTTCGCCAAATGCAAGACTTGCTCCCAACCAACCCGGCATCATCGCCAGCGAAGCTACTGATGCTGGTGACCGCCCAGCCACCAAAGACTGTCCGCGCATAAGCCTTGGCACGTCAGAGTCCGTCGAGTCTGTCGATCCTTGTGAAGTGCCGGAGGAGTTCCTCGTGCCCGACTGCGACGTCGATCCAGACTTTTCGCTTGTGGGTCAGTCTAGCTTTGCCAAAGGCTCCTCTGCGGTCGATATGTCCTCCTCTATGGGTAGCGATACGCTGTTCATGCCTCTCCCGTACATCGAAACCACCGCTGACGAGCCCAACGACGCTGTCAAGCAACCCGAGCCGATCGATTCCCACGGATCATCCAAGGAGCCGGGATCCCAAGGGTCGGTGTCTAGGCTGTTCTCGCTTGACTTTTTGTGCCACAGCAAGGCCCGAGCTGGTTCGACATCTCTCCCAGACCGCAGCTGGCTCGAGTTCCACCTGTCTGACCGCAAGGCCGCTCGAGCCGGCACAGCAGGCACCGAACGCACCTCGAACTGGCCCGCCCTCATGGTCAGTGTCGTGCTGTTCCTGTTCGCTGGCGCCCTCTACTCCGGCACTACCGGCTGGACGCCAGCCACAACAGCGTCTGACGGCCATGCTCAGAGCGACTGGCTTGACTTGGTCCAAGTGCCGTCGTGGAGCCAGCTCTTGGTTTGGACGGAGAAGGAAGCGCCGCCATGTCACTGGTGCTATGACGTGGTCCATGCCTCCTGTTGCCCAGTAGACGGACTCGAGTTCTGCGAACGAGAAGGCCAGACAGAGTGCCCCAATCTGGGCTATATCCGGCCGCCCCCGTCCACCCAAATCCTGGACCAGTCGTTCTGGGAGACGCTGATGGAACTGTTGCACACCTTCCGGCGCAACTCCCTTTCCGAGGCGGGCAAGCTCCTCGGCTCGATCCCTGAGCTGTTCAATACGATCTGGGTAAGCCGCGCCATGCCCATGCCCATGCACATGTCTCTGGGATCTGACGAACGGGACTGAGTGCTATTGCATCGAAGCAACATGTGCGTGCAGCCTTGATGGGGCTGAACTTGATGGGGCTGATCTTGATGGGGCTGATCTTGATGGGCTGATCTTGATGGGGCTGATCTTGATGGATCGTCGAAAAGTCGAGATCTAACCGCTATCCGAACTGCTGCTGCCATCTTCGACGCCCTTTGCGATGTCTATTCAGAAGGTCGACTATCTGCCGTCGGCTCGAGGAATCGTCGACTTGGACTGGCTCAAGCAGTTCATGGCCTTTGTGAGCGAATACATCAAGACGGAATGGAGAAACGAGTACGACCGAGAAAAGATGCGATTCAGGCGCGCATGGAGCTTCATGTCCAGACAAGGCGAGAGCGCCAGACAGATTTATGTGAGTGCTGCGTGAGATCTGGTCCAATGGCATGTGGTGACTACTCTGGAATGGGGCGCACAAATGCTCACTCTGCTCACTCTCGTCTTGCTTTGTTGTGTTGCTGTGGTGCGGTGTGGTGTGGTGCGGTGTGGTGCGGTGTGTTGTTTCTAGGATGGAATTTATGACCGCATTTACGACGGCATTTCCAACACCCACATCGACATGAACGTGCTGAACCTCCAGGAGGTATTCGAGAAACTCAAGAGCGCCACCGGCTTCAAACAGGACGTGTAAGGTCCCGATATGGCTGAAGCCAACATCGGCCAGCCAGCGACCACTGCTGTCGGTACGTATTGTAGCTTAGTTGGACTCGGAGGGGAGCGCTCCGGCTGAATGGGTCCCAGTGCACTCGGCGCTCATCCGAGGACGAGCAGGACTGCGGTCGACAAAGAGGCACTTGGTGACTCGTCGACCCGGCTCTCTCCTCCCTCCCCTCCCCCAAATGTGCCCCTCGGTTTCGATTTCTTCCTTTCGTTCGACCTCGGTGTCCGTCTTCTCGATACCGGCCGCTCCTCGACCTCGATCATCACGACCTCGACCCTCTGCTTGTCTTTCGGTGAACTCGTCCGCGCTGTCAAACGAACGGACATCACAGATCGCTCGTGGGGGGCGGGGAGGTGCATCGTTGCATTGAGATACAAACCGACTGCGAGTGATATCGACCTTCTGTTTGGTGCATTGTACAGTTTATATTTTTTGGGGGGTTTCTGTTTTTGTTTTTTTGGTTTTGGATTTTGGATTTTGCTGTTTTTGCTTTTGCTTCAGAGTGTTAGGGGGGAGCGTGGACATGATGATTTACTTCAGAGAGAAAGGCTATTGCGTGCGTCAAGGGAGAAGCACAAAGGAACTCAGAGTCACGCACTCGATGAGAGGGGAAGGGATGAGGGCGAGAGATCCACTTGCCCGCTGTCAAATCACTTTTCCCCCCTGGTCGATGACCGAACACGCATACACTGTATTCAGGGGGAAATGAGACTGGCACTCCGAGACCAGTGTGCAGGTCGATTGTGGAGACCGGAGAGCTACCGGTGGTCTTCACTCGGAGGCCCATTCACCCACTCGAAATACTGTCACAGATTCGTTCCATTTGATATGGCCCTCCTGCATCTTGCCATCATCAGCATCCACTCCCTGGGACATTGAGTGATGGACGAATGCGTTCTTGCGGCAAATAGTCTGTGGTTCCAAGGCATGGACCCAAGAGCCAAAATGTACATGAGAGGAAGGGAGTAAACTGGAGGACCATGCTGTCGAGCGGTCGGGAGTGTGATGGATCGGAAACGAGGAGGAGAATCGACGAGCTGTAGATAAAAAATCAGGAGGTAGAGGCGGGGAGGACATTAATGCCCCTCAAGCTTCTTCTGTTCTTCGGCCTTGAGCACGCGCAACTCCAGAGTCGTCAGCATCTCCTGGTACCAAACAAAGACTTCGGAGAGAGTATGGACCTGGGACGGGTGAAGGAACGGATCGATGTGAGGGGCGGGTGTGAGAGGCGGCGATGTGCAGGATCAAGTTGGATCATGTTTTGCCTTGCCCGACGATCCAGTCGACCCCTTGGACTTGAACAGGCCCCGTCACTCGATGCAACACACTCTACTCCACTCTACTCCACTCTACTTCACTCTCGTCCACTCTACTCCGCTCCAACTTGGCCCGACCGGCGCTTACAAATTTGTTGTAGGTGTCCATGATGATCAGGTACTGGGTATGGATCCTTGTGGCGGTTTCGGTCTGCAGCGCATAGCGGGCCTCCAGAGGCGCAAGCTGCGGCAGCAACTTGTCCAGGTCTGCGGTGCCGACACAGCGCAAAAGTAATGTTAGCGAGCGGGGTCTCTTCGTAGCAGAGCCCTAGTAGCAGAGAGAAAGGGAGAAAGAGAAAGAAAAGCAAGCCAGACCTTTCAGGAGCGGGTTGTCCAGCTCGGTATGCAGGAATTCAATCTCTTTGAGCTGGTGCTCGAGCTCGGCCCACTCTTCCTCGGCGTTCAGAACCAGCTCCCGCTTGACTTCGACCTCGCGGGTCTCGCTGGCGTTGGACTCGGCGGCAGGCAGCTTGGACTCGAGCAGGCTCCTCAGCTCGGTGTCTGTGGCCCGATTGAAACCAGTGACGATCGTGGCGATGATGATGATGATGATGGTGATGATGTGAGATGTGATGATAATTCAACGAGCTGGTCGCCGGGCGACGGCGACAGCATCTTGACATGGATGCCATACGATCCGATAGGATAGATTGCATTGCACAGGCCAATCGCACACCCCTCCTCCTCTGCAGGCCTCCTTACACTGATGCAGGAACTCGCCGATGGCTCGCTTCTCCTCGGATATGGACCGCAGCTTGTTCTGGATGAGCTGGACGGTCCCGAGCAGAGATCCCTGCGACGCAGCAGCCTCGAGGGCCCGCTCGCTCAGGCCGGCGAGGTGCGGCGAGGTCAGGATCTCGAGGTGTCGCAGGCGCTCGTCGAGGAGGCGGAGCTGGTCATCCACAAACTGCTTCTCCATGGCTGGTGTGTGTGCGTGTGCGTGTGCTTGTCTCGAGGGGGAGGTTGGTACGTGCTCCGAGGGTTGGAGAGAACTGGGGTTGTATCGACTGTGCTGGCTGGCCGGCTTATGCTGATGGCTATTGCCGATGCCAATGCCGATGCTGGATGGTGGATGATGGCGACGAGGGGGGAAAGCGATGGCGACGGACTTGGGAAAGCGAGCCCGCGATCCAGGGCGGATCCAGTGCGGATCGAGGGCGGATCGAGGGCGGATCGAGGGCGGATCCAGTGCGGATCGAGGGCGGATCGATTGGTCGGTGGAACATGGCTTTCATCCCGGTTTTCATCGACCAACGATGCCAACCAACGATGCCAACCACACGAGCCATGCGCTGGACTCACGGAGCGAGTGCAAGTTCGCCGCATGGCGAGTGCAAGTTCGACGTACGGCGAGCGATTGTGGGGCAGCAACCCGAAAGCGACGAGAAACAGCCCCTCGAGGCCCTTCCCTCGAGTGAAAGCGCACCACTCTCGCACAAAAAAGAAAAGGCGGCATTTTGCAACCTGCGTTGCTGGTCAGACGACCTCCTCGGCGGGCAGGCTAAAGGGACGGGAGAGTGAATGAGAGAGGCAGAGAACGCTAGCCAGACCAGACAATGCCGGGGTGTGAGACCATGGGAGGAGCCACAGCGGCACAAGGACAAACGACTGCTGCTCCCTCATCCTCTCCCCCTGGACAGGGCTGGTGGGTGGGGTGGAGCGAGGCGGCATTGACGGCCCGGACCAATCCAGGCAGCGGAAGACGCAAGCAGAGGGCTGGGCATGCGCTCGGCCCCATGTGGCCAGGGACGGGTGGAAGGACGAGGCGACGAACGAAAGCAACGACCGCTGGTGCTTGCTGGCATGGTGGGGGGGGGGACAGGACAGCACAGGACAGCACAGGACGGGGCAGGACAGCCGACGAAAGACAGAGTTGGCCGACGAAAGACAGTTGCCCGACGGATCGGCGGTTGGGGCAGCAGCGGGCGGGAGTGGTGGCGGGCGACGACCAAAGCCAGGATGTTGCCTGGCGGATAGACTTGCTCAGTGGCCTGGCGATGCAGCAGGCGGCGGCGGCCTGTCATGAATCCGCTCTCGGCGCTGCCTGGAGAGGCCAGCCGCCCGCAAGCCGTCGCTGTTGAGCAAATGGATCACCCCCAGCATGCGTCTGTGCCTTTCCCATCTTTGCGACGGACGGCTTTTCCCGAACCGAGTGGATCGGCGAGGGTCCAGCGCCAAATTGGATGCTGTGGTCCGGGCGAGCATGCGACCGACGGACGAGCCCGATGGGCGATCTCCGTGGGCGATCTCCGTGGGCGATCTCCGTGGACAGCGGTGGTGGTGGCCGGGTGGTCAGAGAGGGGCGAGACAGTGTCGCCCTGTCGATATCGATGCGCGATGCCGAAGATGCCATCTTTCCATCGCCCTTCGGATGCTGGTCCAACGACACCCGGCTCTCGTCGATCCGACAGCAAGACACCCGCATCGACGCTCCCGACAGACATCCCGTCGCCAGCCACAAGCAATCCGCCCGGTGGACAAGCGATCGTCAGCCGATCGGCTTGAGCGGGAGGACCAGTCGCCACAGCCCAAGCCGCCAACGCAGCACAGCGGACGGAGCGAGCACATGGCGTCCGGGCCAGAGCAGACCAGCCCATCGTCGGCCAGCGCGCCAGCTTTGGCCTGGTCCGCATCCCGTATCGCGAGGCCCGATATCGCCAGGAGGACCGCAAGGGCAGGTCATGGGAGCCTGTGTCGATGTGGCGACGGGGGCAGCCAGGTTCATTTGCTCCCCGCTGTCTCCGTGGCCTTGCGGTGGGGTCGGCTTGGCCGAGCACAAGCTGGCGCCCGTGCGGGCAGGCCGCTGCCCAGAAGCCGAGAGGGGGGGGTGCCATGTGAGCAGCCGAGGGCCTTGTCCTGCTGCCATGGAGCGGCCGACAAGGGCGGCTTTAGGCAAAACGAGGAAGGGGCATGGTGCGGCTCTGGCGGTGCACCCACGCCACCAGTCCCGGCACATTGCGCGCTGCCTGGGGCGAGGGACATGTCGCCAGAGCGCCGACGGGTGCTGGGTGCGATGGCGGTGCGATGGCGGTGCGATGCGGAGGAGCGATGCGATATCGTGGAATGTAATGCGATGTCGTGGAATGTAATGCAATGTCGTGGAATGTAATGCAATGTCGTGGAATGTAATATGATGTCATAGAATGTAATGCAATGTCGTGGAATGTAATATGATGCAGGGCCAGTGTCGTCGACGCTCTTCCCACCAGGGAACCATACGGCGCACTACGGCGCAATACAGACGAGCACGGCTCGCACAAGCACACGCCGGCACAGTCGCCACAGTCGCCACGGCCGCCATAGTGTCACGTCGACCCCGAATGCATTGTTTCGGTCCCATCCGCAACGCCGTTGGTGCTGCTGATCATCTGCAGCGCAGCGCCGCAGCGCCGCAAAGACGGCCGCCTGTTCATGCAAGATCCTGCGGGACGCTTGTTGGTCCCAGAGACGCTCATGGGACCTGGCTTGCTGGCCGATGTGCCACCTGCCGTGCGGGTCGCCGGTGATCCCAGACAGCCGACGGGCCGACAGCGTCCGGCCGGTTGCATTAGCCGCCTCGGCCGCCTCCCACCGTCCGCCCAGTGCCCCGCAAATAACCGTGGACGGCGCCGCAACAAACAAACCCACCACCTGCCTGAGCGACGGGGGGGGCAGTAAGCACATTGAGTGGTGAGGCGGCATAAGCGCATCGGTGGCATGAGCACCTCGGACGAGGACCAATGCGTGGCCCACGCCGGCCGGGCAGGCAGGCAGGCAGGCAGGCAGGCAGGCAGGCCGAACGCCGTCGCAGTTGTTCCTCCCTCTCCTCGACCGAGCTGACCCGACAGGATGAACGGCTGAATGATGCTGGCGGGGCAGTGGGGATGGCAAGCAGGGGGGGGGATTGTGTGGGAAACCGCGCGGGAGGGGCAACGGCGTCCCACGGCGACTGGGCCAAGGATTTTGCAGCCCGAGCGACTGCAACCCATGTCCCCACCTGCCTGTTGGCCGACCGGCGCTGCCGCCGTGGCGCCACGAGGGTCTCTGCAGCCATGGCTCTAATGCAATTTGGGGGGCCGGTCGCCATGGTGTCTTGGCGGATGTATCCGATCGATGGGTTAATATTACCAGGTGCCGCCGCGGGGGCGGTTGGAGACCCGATACTTGTTGACACCGGTGTTGATGCCGATGTTGATACCGATGTTGATACCGATGTCGGTGTCGGTGTCGATGCTATTGCGACTTGTGCGGGCACTCGCCCTGCACTCGCCCTGCACTCGCCCTGCACTCGCCCTGCACTCGCCCTGCAGACCGCCGCCCGCCCCGACAAGGCAGTGGGCCCTCAGTCGCCAGCTCTTGTTGGCCGATTGAGCCGCTGGCGGCAGGGGTCACTCTGTCGCACATGCATCGCCGAACGAGCAGCGCACCGCGCCCGCCCCAGTCGCATGCGTGGTTGCTCGGGCGGCTTGTTTGCTTACTTGTGCAAGGCGTTACTTGTGATGTTATTTACTGTCTGTTCTTGCCGACCTTGACTCTATCCGACCTTGACTCCATTCAGCAACCTTTAACCACATCCAATAGCCTTTAACCACATCCAATAACCTTTAACCACATCCAATTACCTCTAACTACATCCAATTACCTCTAACTACATCCAATTACCTCTAACTACATCCAGCTTTTAACCACACTTCCGTGCTTTAACGACAGCTTGCGTTCTCCCCCGCCCACCCGCTCCCATCTCGCCTCCCCCCCCCCACCTCGATCTCGCCTCGATCCACCCTACTTCCTCCGTCGCACTCGGCGGTCATACATTGATACATGTCCTTGATCGCCCGCCTTGTCCGCGGCGAGCATGTCACCGGGTTACACCTGGCCCTCGGTCGTGTGCTTGTGCTGCCCGCACAAGGGAAAGAAGGAAAGGGCCGTCGGCCCTGTGCTGCGCGGCAGGCTGCCGCCCGTGGCCGCCTCTTTCCTGCCCCCCCGCGGCCTCCCTCGTCTGCTGCTCTGTACTCCCGTGCTGTTCATTTCCCTCTCCCCATGTCGCTGCCGTCGGGCCAGCAGGTCGCTCCCCCCCTCTTCTCGGGGCAGCTGCCCTTGGTAACAAAGAGGTGCTCATAAATACTCACCCTGCGCTCCCGCCTCGCTTGCCGCCGGCCTTCCGTGCTCACCATCGCTGCTGTTCGCTCCCTGTCCTCCCTCTCCTCCCCTCGGCTCTGTGTCGGATCCACCCGCTGTCTCGCACTCTCTCCCTTCTCGGCATCGCACCAGATTCCACTTGACTACTCCATCCCACTTGGCAACTCCATCCCACTTGGCTGCTGCATCCCGCCTGGCACAACCCGCTACTGCTTCCTTGATCTTGCCCGACTCGCCACAACTATCGGCACCACCCATCGCCAACTCTCACCAAAGCTTCCATCGCCCCCCAGTCAGCACTCTTCAGCCATGCTCTCGGTCTCCCAACTGATTGTCTCTGAGCCAGATCGCAGTCCGTCGTATCCTGCCCTGCCCGGCCTGCATCCCAAGCGCACTCACCACTCGCCCCAGCGGCCGTGCCATTCACCCTACTTTCCGAGGCGGGCCTCGGCCCCGGCCATCGAGTCGGCTGGCAGCCAGCGCACCTTGTTCCCGTACAACAGCCCTCCCCGGTCAAAGTACTCGCCTCCGCCGTGTTCCTCGCCTGTGATGGGCCCCTCCCAGCTGATACCCGAGCACCCGAGCTGCTATTCAGCCCACGCCAGCGGGTCCGCCTACCTCGCTTATCCCGGCAGCTACTCGGCCGGCCAGCGCCGCAACTCCCAAGTCTCGACGCTGTCGTCGGCATCGTCCCACAGCGGCTACGGCTTCGTCTCGCCCACGGCCTCGTTGTTCTCGTCTCGTCCACTCGCTCCAGCCCTGGGCCCGGCCTCGTCTCCGACTGAGCACTTCCACTTCCACCATTACGGCACCACCCCGCCGGATCAACAGTTCTACGTGCTGGAGCCCTCGCATCCGTCCATCTCCATGGCTGCCGAGCGGCCGTTCCTTTGCCGCGAGTGCGGTCTGCGCTTCCTGCGGCTGCACGATCTGAAACGGCACGAGAAGCTCCACGGCGGCGTCAAGGCCTTCATCTGCCCAAGCTGCAAGAAAGGTAGGCGCTTACAATCCCCACGCCTTGGTCCGCTGTCGTTGTCACATTCTGGGCTCGTTGTGGCCGCCATTATGTCTCCAAGATGGCTCGCTGTATCGACGCAGACAGACAGACAGACAGGCTCGCATGCGCTGGACCACCACGCGTTTCCTGGCCCCCTTGCGACATTGTCGTTTGCCCTGCCCTGTCCTGTCCTCTGACACGCCTTTGGTGTATCCAGGGTTTTCACGGCGAGATGCGCTCAAGAGGCATACCGAAATGTCGGATAACGTCAAGCGAGTAAGTGGCATCCTTGATTTTGGATCTTGAAGCCGGCTCTCCGGGGACCCAGTTTCGCTCGCTCCCGGTGTCTGGCTACCTGCCCACAGCCTCGAGCGTCATGGCACAGCGTTCTCCAGCACCCACGACATGTGCTAACATTTATCCACATCGCCCTCGGTTCACTCGGTGCTGACTCCAATCGGCGCTGCTGCTGCTGCCCAACTCCCACCCACTAGTTCCGCTGTGTGCCCAAATCCGATTCGTCGCCGCCACCCACATCGCCAACCCCAAGCGAAAGCCCGATCGAGAGCCCAACAGCGCTGACCCAGAGCGAAATCGAAGCCACCCAATGATGATGATGCACCTCCACCGCTCCACCGTCCAGACCGCCACCCGTCACGCGGGCTTCCAGAAGGGTAGGGTGCCCACAACACAAACGCAACACTCTTATCTGAAAGTCGTGGGGACGAGCCTTATCTCCGACCTGCCAAAACCACACAACATATCCCCCCTCTTCCCATCAGTTGCCGGGTCGGAGTGGACCAGTCCTCCCCTTCCTCCTTTTCCCTCTCTCGCTTTCTCGCCTCCTCCCCTGCATATCCCCCCCCCCACCATTCCGGCTGACGGACACTCAACAACGCATCCACCCAACTCCGGTCCACCCCGAGGCAATTCAGCCACACCCACCACCCATAATCCCCAACTCCAATTCAACCCAATCTAGCCCAATTCAACTCCAATTCAGCCCCAATTCAGCTCAGCTCCAACCCGTCGAGCCTCTCGCATTGCTTCACCGCCCCAAAAGACCCGCGACCCGGGTGGCGATGAGCAATCAAGTCGGCAGGCGTTTGTCCAACCGCTGTGGCCTGTGGCAATATCTGCCCGCAGTGGCAACATAGGGCCTCCGTCGGCGCAAGGGCATTTGGTGCGTCTGCTGGCTCAGCTCCTGCTCCTGTCTCTTGCGCCTGGTCCCCATGTCTGTTGCCGCGTCTGCGCTGCAGGTCCCTCGTTCTGGTTGGTGCGTTTCAGTTACCTTTTTTGTGCCGCTACCATGACCCGTGAGACACACGGATGATGCCGGGGAGAGGGGCATTCCTTTCCCTCTCTGCCTTTCCCTCCTCGTCTTCCCCCCCCCATTGCGCAGGATTCTGCCAGCCCTCCCGTCCCTTCCCTTCCTGCACCGCGACCCTCGATTGTATGGACAGCAGTCCCATGTGCCCCTCTGCCCATCTTGCATTGCCCCGCACTGTCTCTGCGGTTCGCCACGGAGTATGGACGGGCGGATACATCCCATAAGCTTCTCCCTTGAATGTTTTTCTTTGTCATCATCATTGATCTCTATTGGATTCGACCCCGATCCCCTCCAGTTCCCCCCCCCCTCTTTCCTTCTTTCTCTCTCTCTCTCTCCCTCGGTCATGTCAACGAAGTGCCAGTTTTGAACCTGCTATAATAATGAGCAATTTGGTGCCGCTTGCTTTGCGCACTCTCGTTCTACCACCAATACTCTGCGTCGTCATGCACGCCCCCGCCAATTCATCCGCAACCCCGACCGGGTGGACCCAGACCCTCTATTCCCACCTGATATATCCTCAATGAAACACGTTGCAAACGGTCTGCGGTGCTGCGGTGCTGCGGTGCCTGAGAAAGCAGTAAATCCCATGGTGGCAACAGGAGCAGAGCAGAGTCAGAGTTGCACCGGAGGTGTCGGATCGCTGGGGTGCTTCAGTCGCGACATGGACCAGTCGAATGCGGACGCCCCTCCCCCCCCCGAAATGCATTTGCCTGGCGGGACCACTCAAGGCAGCAGGGGCCCCGCATTGCAATTTTCTCGGCCAGGCCGGGCGCTGCTGTACCGCAGACGGCGCTTGTCTCATTTCCCTCTCCCCCCCCCCACGCGAGGCAACGGCTGCGAGCGTGGGCGGTCCAGAGCACGGTGACGACACCACATGCACATGTCCACCGCGCGCTTGTGTGTGGCAGCAGTCAAACCAGAAAACAACGGGACAGTCACTTCTGGCATCAGCGCCCTGCAGCCAACTGATCTATTGTAGGCCCCGGTGGGCAAGCCATGCGATTGTTTCCCGTCCTGGTTGGGAATGTTTTGTTGGTTTGGGAAGGACAGTCTCGAATACACTTGGGCGATCCCCTGTGTCAATGAGTGAGTGTGATGCAAGCACTCGATGTGGAAGCGTGATGAATTCACTCGATGTGGGAGGGTGATGCATTCACTCGACGCTCTGGACAGTTCCATGGTGTATCGATATCAAGATGCTCGAGCACACCTGGGATGTGTTGAACTCGTTCACCGAACACACCCGGTCGTCTCTGGTGATGGATGAATTGATCAAAATACTTGACAAACCTGAGTCTCCGTGGGCTGGATGCATATCCCTTCCCTTGCTTCCACGAGGCATCCCCGAAGCAATCACAACCTCGGTCTCCCTTGGCGCCTGGTCAATGACTCGCTTGCACATCTTGCTTGCACATCTCGTGGAGAGTGCGCTGTCGCTTGCGGGGAGCCATCTGTGCGAGAAAGCGTCCTTGATTCATATCCAGAATTCTATCGCTGAACGGTCATGGCCAGCGCGCGATAGCATTGGGTAACAAAATATTCGATGAATGGTCAAAATCCCGGGTGTCCCGTTTTTTATTGGATCGCCTGTAATGAACCCACGCAGCAAAGCGCGGGGCGGACACACAGGCGGACAGCGCAGCGCCACCCACGCGCCACAGCCGCGTACAGCGCCCCGGGGAGGGCCACGCGCCTTGGGCGACATTGGATCTTGTTTGGCGCGTGCCCCGCGTGACTGGCTGCGCGGGCGGAGCTGAGCAGCGGCGCCGGCGTGGAGGGTTGCCCGTCCCGTGTTCCCGGCTGTACGACAGACACGCGTTGGTGACGCGCGGGTGGGGCTTGGGCCTGTGCTTTGTGCCCATTGTGCCCATTGTGCTCGTTGTGCTCGTTGTGCTCGTTGTGCTGTGCTGCGAGCACTGTCGGGTCGTTCTGCGGCCTTGCGTCGGGTGTCCTGTCGCGCGCCGGGCCTGTGCGAACCTGCACCCGTCGCCCCTGCCAGCCCCTTGGCGGGGTGGACCGGTCTGTGCTCTGTGGCCGGTGGGTGGCCGGCGGGTGGCCAAGGCCACGGGGCCGAGCGCGAAAAATGCCGCTGGCTCCCAGGGTTGGTACACGCCGATACGGGCCGGCGCTCCTGGCCCTGCGGGATTCATCCGGATCGGCCATGGGCAGCCTCGACGCAACGGGATCGGTCGCTTCGGGCGCTGGTGGTCGTTCGCCTCGGATGGCTGGGATCTGGGCCGACAGGAGGAGGACGAGACGGCGGCACGATCGATGCGATTGCCTGCAAGCTGCTGTTTCGGCAGTTCATCCACGACCCTCCATCTCCACGACCTCCCATCTCCACATCGATTCCCTGCGCGTTGCATTCCACCGCCGATCTTGGACGCTTGGTCGGTTCTTTCCTTCTCCCCACCCCACTGAGCAAAGACGGGAAAGTGGGAAAGAATGCAGTCGCGAGGGAGACTCCCGGATGTCGGGCTGTTTCGCTGTCGCCGCTGGAGCTTGGCTTGGCCACATCGGAGGCAGATGCCGATGCCGATGCCGATGCAGATGCAGATCCAGATGCATGAAAGCAGCTTGTCCATGATGTCGTCATGGAGGACTCTACGGCACTTTGACCGAGTGCCCATCTGGCCACTTGGGGTCGATCCAGAGCTGGATGTCCGTCTGGCGAGCCCGACGCACTCCCGGCTGGCCTGGTGCATATCCTGGTGGTCTCGCCCGCGGTACTTCTGCGACACCCCGCCAGCATCTGCGCCGTCTCGATCCTGTTCCTGGCTGTCCGTGATGGGGCCCTCGGTCCAAACTGTCCACCAGGGTGCCCGTTCAAGCGAGGGGGGGGGGGCCGCTGGTCGCTCTGTCTGTGCGGCCAGACATCGCCATGAGGCGACCGTCTTCCAATCCCAGCAAGCGGCGGCTTTTTCCATCCCCGATCGGCTCGTCGTCGCAGCCCGTCGCTCCTTGCCGCCATCTCCGGACTTGCCCTGGTCGACCGACCTGCCATCCATCCATCCATCCACCCACCTTCTTCCCCGCATCTCCTCCGGGCAGCAACACCACCAGCACCAGCACCAGCACCGGCACCAGCAGCAACAGAGCGAGTCCCTTCTGCCTCCTTCGCAACAATATCCCACCTGGCCATCGTCATGCCCAACGCACCTTCTCCCCTGGAGCTGCTTGATCGCAACCGCCCCGGCATCAAACTCGAGGTTAGCGCTTGTCCTGTCTCCATCCGATACATCCACTGCAGCGACGAGATCGACAGCATCCATTCCACCTTGACTCTACCCCGTCTCTGGCCAACAGTCTTGTTGATGGTCTGCCCCATTTGTCCTCTGAGGTCTAGACTTTCCTTCCCCTCCCTTGTGGCCACACAGCAGCGGCAGCTACATCCGATCGCTCGCCATATTCACCTTCCCTCTGTCGACGCCTACGCCTCGTTCTCTCCCGTCGATCCAGGAATGGTGCGACTGGCCTGAAAAAACGCTCGATCAGATGAAGGGCGTCTTCGGACTGCAACAATATATCCAGATGCTGATACGCCGGGACCCGGCCGATATTGAGCGGATCGTCCACCCGCCTCCAGACTTTGATTCTGTCGAGGCTTGGCAGTACGAGCACCTCAGGTATTGTGTCGCTGACTTGCTCGCCGTAACTGATACCCCTGCTGCATTGGCCGCTGTGTGTTCTTGCTACAGCGACGATGGCGATCGCCGTCTTGGGCATAGTTTCGATCGATCATCTTGGGCATTTGGACTGACGACCCTCAACCCGCCTCCACCGACGTCCATATCAACTATCGGTTGCCGTTATTGCACCCTTTCGTGAACGATACGGCCGCCTTTCCACCCTGGCTGTCTGCGCTGTGGACATCATCGACCCCGGCTGCCTGCGCCGTGAACGGCATCAACCTTGGATATACGGCGCAGGCTCTTTTGTCTGGAGCTCGGCAACCTCGTCGTTGCCCTGGAGGCCGAATGCACCGCCGAGTCCTGTCCCGAGATGCGAGCGGACGAATGGGTCTATCTCTGCGCCGCCCACCCGACGCCTGCTCCTGTAAGCCATCGACACTTGTGGAAAGGCATCGATTGCACCCGAAAGGCAGGATCCGGTGGATCTATCCTGCAACAGATACGGGCTGCCCTGGCGATATCGGCTGCGATCGCCGCAAAGGAAGGGCTCCTGACCTCGATCGCGCTTGCTCTCTCCCCGGACAGTGCTGTGCCATGGATTACATTCTTCACACCCTTGACGGAGCCACGGCCCTGCTGAATAGCACCAGACACTTCTCCAGCCGGTAAGGCCGAGCCATCCGCGCACTGGCGAACAACATGAGCAGCAGGAACAGCATGAACAACAGGAGCAACGGCAGCAGCAGGAGCCTCTGATTGTCTGATTGCACCGTTTCCTGCTCGTGCTTCCTCATACTGCCAGGTGCTTCATCAACGCCGACTCGGTCAAACACTTCCAGAATGTCGCCCGACGATTGTACCGCATCTTTGCACATGCCTGGTACCACCACAAAGAGACATTTGTTGCCTTTGAGGTACGGCTTTGACCTCATGTCCATACCGATACCGATATCGGAACATGACACAACAGTCGGACGCCCGTGCGTGGTCTGATGTTGCTTGGGCATTCACTGCCGTTGTCACCACTGCTATCGCCGTCGCTGTCGCTGTCGCTGGTCGTTGAAATAGCGTCGGCCATATCCAGAGCGATTCAGCAGGCTTCTGACCTGCTGTGACCCGGTCCCTGACCGCGATTCTATCATGCTCAACAGGCCGAAAGCCACCTGTATGCCCGCTTCCTGCGGTTTTCCACGATTGAATTCATGGTGAGAGCAAACCACCGCACGGCGACCGAGACAGACTGCCAACAGCGACAACAGCAACAGCAACAGCAACTTACACTCTGCCATTCTTGCTGCAGCTCATCCCCGAGAAGCTGGTGATCATTCCGCCAGAGGCGTGTCTGCCTTACGACGAGTAGCCAAACAGCATCAAGATCCGGCATGTCATATATCAACCGTCTGAGGACGATACGGCGCTGGCTGTAGGCTTGCCCTGCATCGGCACCGTGGTCCTCCTTTCTTCCACTTGCTCACAACCACCTTTTGCATTGCCTTTGCCATCATCCGGCCGTTTGATTTTGCTCCGCACCGTGGGCCCACCCGGCCTTCTTGTTGCCCTTTATCCATCTTGCTGCATCAGCATCACCCATCTGTAGCCCCCCGCATGCTCTGGGTCGATGTCCAGATCCATGTCCCTGTATTCAAATGTATGGCGGAACGCCTGTACATAGCCAGGGGTACGGAGCATGTCACAGCGGTTGCCATTGACTGGGATTCTATCAGGGATATGTATTGCACGGGAGTCGTATGGATCACGGAGGATCACGGAGGATCACGGAGGATCACAGAGGATCACAGAGGGATCGTGTGGAGATTGCAGGGATCATTGAGAGAGTTCAGCGTTGACTGGTGATCACCGCTTTCGGTTACGGACGAAAACCAGGTTGCTGCTCCTTCAGCCGTATCATCGGACCGAACAAGGGCTCTCGTTGATAGAGCTCGTCGAATGTCATAAACTCCCATCCCTCGCAGTACTCGGGTTCGACCAACTGGCAGCCAGGATAGAGATATGCACGGCACAGCCGAAGAAGAAGGAGTGTCTGGTGAGTGAGTGGTGGGGATGGGATGCACCGGAGGGAACTATTCGACAGCAGGATTCTTTGGCTCGCCTTGACAAACGAGGATCAGAATGATGATCCTCCCCCCTCGAGCAAAGGCCGACTTACCACCGGAACTGGGTTGGCATCGACACACTCTCCCCGCATGAAGATGGAAACGTAGTGACGGCGCTCCTTGGGGTTGGGATCATTGACGGCGGTCGCAAAGGTTACGTTCTCGATGGCCAAGCCAGCCTCCTCGAGCACTTCGCGGTGGGCACATTCCTCGAACGATTCACCAAACTCGAGATGACCTAGCGATGGGACACAGCGGCATTGTGAGAGACAGCTTATGGAGAATACATGGATGAGAGCAGGGCAGATGGGGCAGCGCAAATGCAAGCAAGTGTCGTCTCGACTTGGCTGCAACTGCCTCTTCTCGGCTGTGGGCCGACTGACCTCCCGGAAGTTGATATGTGCCTGGTTCGGCGGGGCGGACGGGCGAGGGTCAGTATCTCTGCGGGCAAGTCCGAGCGACAGATGCGACAGATGCGACGGATGCGACGGATGCGGTATCGATCCAGGCGATCAGAGATGCACACCGGACTCACCTGCTCCGTGGCTGCCCTTCCGCTTGCCGATCAGAATGGCACCGTCTGATTTGCGAATCACAAAGACCCCAACGCCGACCCGGACGGGAGGAAGATCCTCGGGCTTGGGTGCATGAGCTGGGGGTGCGGCTCCGCTGCTCGGTCCCTCGGTTGGACGGGCGGCGCTGTGGGTCATGGCGATCCAGGCTCGGGAGAAGCGATGCGGGTCTGGGAGGGCTCGGGGATGTGCGGGAGCCAAGCAGCGACCCTGAGCAGCCAGGGCGGCGATCGATGGGCGGATCGGCAGGCGCAAGAAGGCTGGCATGGCGGGGAGAGTTGGGGTCCAGCAGCGATGTGCCGAGGGCAAGAGCGGCTTGCCGGCTGGTTGGACGCTGGTCTTGGATTCGTCCTCCATCACAAGGCGGCCCTGGTGTCTGCATTGCATTGCATCTTTGAGCTGCCCCGGCCCTGCGGACTGCCAGAGACGACCCCAGACTCCTCCTGCACCATGGCTTCGGCACCTCCATGGATCAACTACAGGCCCTGAGCCTCTTTCGGGAGCTGGCCGCCGAAGGACACAGCGACAGTCAAGTCTGGCTGGGCAGGTACTCGATTTGTGGCAACGAAGTATCGGAGCACAACTCAGCGGCGTTCGAGTAGATCAGGAAAGGACAGCTGCCAACCAGAGGCACCAGCCCTCCATCGACATCCTAGCATATTTTTACAAGCCGTCCTGATGTCTCGGCTGGGTGATCAGCGCTGACATCGTTCGCCCATCTGAGGAGTGACATGGCGGCGTCTTTGTCTGTTCCTTACCAAGTTTCCAATTCATCTTCGCTCGCCTTGTGGCCGTTGCCATCCGATTTTGCGGCGTCCGGCTGAATAACGAGACATATACGGGTTTCCCCTCAACGAGGGCTGATGAACTCCATGTTGTCCTTGCATATGAACATTGCGATGGATGCATGTATTGAGGCAACAAGGTGGTAGTAGTGGCCATGGGATATCCAGCGAATCCTGCTTCCGTGTGAGTGCACAGCCGCTGCAGCTCAAGGAATGTGGTTGAGGGAGGAGGAGGAAGTACTTTGAACCAGTTCAGGCGAGTGCTGGTCCGCCAACGTTCAATGCCCACCCCGTCTCCGCTCCAAAATCACAGGCTTTGGTCGGGTTGGCGAATTCAGAGTCCGTTCAGGAGGGCATCCACCGCCTGCTCCTCGTTTCCATTGACCTTTCGGAGGGCGCCGATGACGTCCTTGCGACCAAAGCCCATTTCGACGAGCCGCGTGATGGCGCCGGGGTCCAGGCCGGCCATGTCCAGGGATGTGTTAGGATCGGCGTAGATTCGGGTCCACTCCCGAGCCTTGGCATTGAAAGACTCTCTGTTGCTCCGGTAGTGGTTGGCGACCTCGGCGTCCTGGGGATCGTCAGGGACCGGATCAAACAGCAGCGACTGGATCGAGATGACCTTGTGGTCGGTATTCCGGGGTTGGTTGGAAGCGAGCGAGAACGATGGTTTCAGTAACATCGCACAGGCCTCGAACAGCCTCGTCGATCGGCGATTGGGGATGCCTCATAGACCACAACGAAATTGTGGCGTCGGCAAGGATGTAGATGGATCCCATACCACTGTCTTCAGGGTGAGTACCGGGCTCCATGCATCCTTGAGAATGTCCAGGCAGATCGCTGAAGGGAGTAAGCGATGGGCCGATGTGAGTTGAGAATGCGGCTGAATCGGGCTTCGGATCTGCCGCGATTCAACTTCAACATTACCTCCTGTTTGAGACGAAACATTGGGATGGTAAACCCGGGTGTCGAACTTGACCTGAGCGATTCGAGAAGGGAACCGTCTGTCAGTCGTGCATGTCTGGCGATCCCAACGACAGTGGCAGTCGGAGCAATCTGCAAGCCAGATTGAATGTGCTCTTGCGGCGAAGCGGCCAGCCCGTTTGATATGAACCGAGACCAAGGCCATCAGAATAGCCCCCCCTCCCATCGGACGCTGTAACTGGCTCTATCAGATAAATGGGGGGGGGCCACACCGCCATCAAGCACACCTTTGGAGCCTTGAACGGATAATCGTTTGGGAGCTCAATGTTCAGGACAAACTTGCCACCTGCCCGAACATCCGAATATGAGCGCGTTTGGACTGATATTCACCGCAGAGCGTCCGACCGATATGCCGGCGACAGCTGCGACCCACCCGATAATGCTTCAGCGCGGGAGATTCCGAAGTGCTATGAGGACTCCCGGACCCCAAGCGACGGAGGCGGCCGACTCACCTTCATATGGGGTGGCAGCAGGCCCGGGGAACGAGGCCTTGAGATGGACTGGTTGCGTTGCGTTGCGTTGCGTTGCGTTGCGTTGCGTTGCGTTGGGCAAGAATGCGACGGGAGTGTCAGCAATCGATCGCCATGATCGACGTGAATGTAGTGCGTTCGGGCAGCAGGCGGATGGAGGCAGGTGAAGCAGACGGATGCGATCGAAGAGACCCAATCGAGGATGAGGACGGACACCTTCCACCCCCAGAACACATAACGTACGCATATTGCTCTCCTCGGGAATGAAGATTTCGACGCCCGACGACTTGTCGAGCCGACATTGCCTGATCTCTCGCTCGATGCGGCGTGGGTCCATGGTGTGTGATGCTGCGGTGGTCTGGTGGTGAGAGATGGGTCGTCCGCAAGGCCGATAGTCGCTGCGGTGGTGCTGTGGATGAGATCGCTGCCAAGGCGGGGACAGCGGCGGCCTTGGACTGGTCCTGCTGTTGGGTATCCGCGGCAGTTCGCTTCCCTGATCGCTGCCGGCTCTGGGCACCCGCTCCTGGCATATTCGGCATATCGGCGCTGGAGCCGTATCAGCACGCTGGCGATATTGGATTCTCCCTCGCACCGACACCTCACCTGCATCACACTCCCATCGCCGCTGGACAATCGCTGCACCAACTCCAAGTCCACCCCCCTGCATCGCGCATCTCGCCGTCAACACCGATGGAACAGGCCGCCTTTGATCTCATCCAGCCTCGGCTCGGCCGACCAAGCGTCCTCTCGGCCCGGCCGCACATCACCTTGACCTATGCTCAGACCCTCGACGGCTTCATCGGCGGGCCGAACCGCACCCAGGTGCTCATCTCGTCCAAGGAATCGCTTGTCATGACCCACACTTGCCGGGCCCTGCACTCGGCCATCCTGGTCGGCTGCCAAACAGTTCGTTCCGACAACCCGTCGCTGACCGTGCGGATGATTCCGTCGCTGCCGCCAGCTCATCCGGGTGGACCTCGCCGTCCGGTGCAGCATCCAACCGCCATCGTTGTCGACTCAAGCCTATCCATCGATCCGGGATGCAATCTTGTCCAGCGGGCCAAGGAGCGGCCGCTCATCGTGCTCGCCAACGAGACGGCTCTGATCGATCGCAGCAAGCGAGAAGCGCTGGAGTTGGCTGGTGCATCTGTCGTTCTGGTTCCTCCGATGCCAAGCAACCCACACCGGATCGATCTCGCCCAGGCGTTCTACCGGCTGCACCAGGAGCCCTTCCGGATCGATTCCATCATGGTCGAGGGAGGCGCCTCGATTATTTCCTCGGTGCTGGAGCAACAGCTGGCCGATCTGCTTATCGTCACGATTGCGCCCAAGTTCATGGGTCGAGACGGCGTCCATGTCCTGGGAAGCAGGCCTGCGGCATCCGGCGAACCCGTAGCCGATGACGACGCATCGGCGTCCAAACGCACATCCGGCGTCGATGGACAACAGCTCGCTCGAGTTCAGTGGCAGCCATTTGGAATCGACATGGTGATGGTTGGCGAGTTTGTGCGCTGACCCCGATCCGACACAGATTCCGGCTATTGTTGAGCCCTGGCGACACACGGACGGAAGGCCAAAGGGTAACGAAGTGATCGCCACTTCTATTTCTGACCGCCAGCGGGCCTCGGTTTCGCCTGGATTTGAGCATATGTGCCGAGAATCACGGAGGTGTCTGTTTCGATCGTCTTTGCCCAGTTCTGGATATCGCCCAGCTCCTGCGGGGCGAGAGAAGGAGAGTGCGATCCAGAGCGTGAGGACATGATCAAACGACAGCTTGGATGATGAAATGGGCAGTATGCGCAATGGAGCCGGGGGCGGAGGCTCGAAGAAAAAATACAGCCTGACGAACCCTGGCCCACCTTGAGCGAGTTGTTGAAGGGAGCCACAAGATCGATCCATTGCTGGGTCTGCTTCTGATACTTTGCGATGGAGGCCTGCAGCTTTTTTGTCTCGCTCTCGATCTCGCGCTGGTTATGGAAGACAGAGGACGGGCTGGGCTCGAGAACACACAACCGGGAGGGGGAAAGGACATCCAAAGTGAGTGGGCATCGCCGCGATGATCGAGGATGCTGCGAGCCAGCTCGACAGGCGAACAGGAAGGGGCAGGCGAATGAATGGATGGATGGATGTGTCCAAGCCCATGAGAAATGGCTTGAGCCGCATCTGTGTCTGAGACTGCCAGGGCAAGCGGATTCGTACTTGGCATAGAGCACATCCGTCAGCGCATCGGAGAGATTGCCGGCCGCCTTCGTGGCTTCATTCCTCAGGAGCTCTGCAGGCCATTCGAGCAGCAAGGGGGAAGGCTCCAGAATCAGAGACGGCCGGTGATATTGTTCATGCATCGACAGAGTTTGCACAGCGACAACGACACAGGCGGAGGTGTGGGCCGAGGAGGGTTCTGACCATTGTGAGTCCGCAGTTCCTGTTGCTGTGTCTGGTGCTCCTTGGCGATTTTGGCGAGCATCCCGAGCCAGAACGAAGGGAGTGGAGTGGAGTGTTGGAGGAGGAGGTGGGGGTGTGGATTTGACGAGGACAACGAGCAAGCGGCGGAGATGTGGGTTTGAGGGGGGCGATTTGGTGGCTTCTCCGGCCTCGACCCAAACTGCACTCGCTCGAGACGACGGAATGCAAGCGAAGATCTCCACAAAGCCAAGCCAAGCCAACCCAAATGCCGCCCCGCTTCCGTACTCGATTCCTTGGCATCGGGTACTGAGCTGCAAGTACTCTCTCGCTCTCGTCCACCGCCGAGATGATGCAGGGCATTGCTCATGGGGTTCAGAGCACCGAGTGAAACGCAAGCATTGTTTGATCAAGAATGAAAAAAACGAGTGCAAAGGTCGACGCAATGCCGCGCCGGTCCGGGCCTATGCTGCCGGACTCGCCATCATTTCGCCTGCTGTGCATGTGATGGCTTGATGGAGAGGGCAAGTTCGCCGATTGCCGCCTGGAAAATCTACTTCATTTTTCGGCGATCGAATGCCTTGAGGGCAAGGAATGCGAGGAAGTGCCATCCCAGGCCAATGTAAATCATCATGAACCAATTCGGGATGTCTGCAAGCGGGGGATGAGGAGGAGAGATGGGTGAGGCAGTGTTGTGTCATAAAGTCCGATGCATGCACAAATGCGCAATCGTGCAAGGGCCCTTCACCGCCCATCGAGCACCGACACTCCGGCAAGTCCGGTACTCGTCCCACGCATCGGCTGGGCAGAGACTCACATGCGTTCCAGACGTATCCGTAGGGCGGGGGCAGGGCCAGGTCCACATCAAAGGGCCGGTTCTGCACCTCTCTGACCCAAAATGCCTCGACGGCATAGCGAGGGGCCGAGATCTTCCAGAGCCAACCGATGTACTGGTAGATGCCAGAGTTTGATTCGCTGATCACGTCGGAGTAGCTGGGCATGACTCCCGAGAGGACTGCAGAGCAGAGCAGAAACAACACCAGAGGAAGCCGAGCGGTGGTTAGTCCATTGGGCAGCAACACAATGGATTCAAAATCAGGGCGGTCGTTGGTAGAGTGAGTTTGTCCGCGGGGGTGTGAGTTTGTCCGTGGGAGCTCATCGTCCAGATCGCCGCCTGGCTCTATCGGTATCTCATGCGCCCGTGCTGCCCACACTTACCGAGAGCCCAGAGTAGAGAAAAGCCGGTACCAGCCAGGGCCACCTGGGCAGGCTTGATGGCGGCCGAGAGGGTGTAGCCCATGGCATACGAGCTAAAGTACAGCGCCGACACGATCATAATGACGTTCCAGTAGTTCATGTAGATCGTGGTCAGCAAGCTGAACGACAGCGAGAACATGAGCGATGCCACGATCATCTTGGGAACGTCGACGAGGAATTTGCCCAGGAAGTACGGAACCGCGCCCATGCCGGCAGAGACATCGCGCCAGTAGACGGGCTTTTCACGACCAAAGGTGCTGGAGCCCACGGCAATGCCTGCAAAGAGAACACCGATACACAGGAACATGCCCATTTCGCTGTCGGCGGTTTTCAAGGAGGGGCGAAAATGAAGGTGCGTGATGGCAGAGCAAAAGATGTGTCAGGATACGTGTCGGGCACTATCGGCGATGCTTTGGTAAAGCGGGACAAGACGCACCGCCTCGAGGGGGTGGATATGGCATCACAAAAGCACCCATACCGCCCGCCAGCGCCGACTTACCGAATCTTATCCGTTGGGTTGGCGCAAACCCAGTAGATTGGCGGAGGCGTGATGAAGCAGATCGGGTTGGGGAGCTGGCTGAAATAGGTGAACTTTTGGGTGGCAATACTGATGAAGCATCCGACGCCAAAGTGCATCATCATTTCGCCGGCGATCGACTGGAAGTTGCGGTAGGCTTGCAGCGAAGCACGCTTGGTCAGATACCACAGCTGGAGGTGCAGGCCGCAAGTCTGCCGGATCGGGTCGGAGCGGCAGATGATGAACGATCCAATCGAGAGCAGAGTCATGCCAAGCTCGAGAGCAACGTCGCCGATCCACCAGAACAGCTCCGAGAAGAACTCGACGATCGCTCGTCCGATTTTGCCAAGGGTACTGCTCTGCTTCTTGACGGGCTCGGTGCCCATCAGCGGCGAGTCGGCGATTTCTGAGGAGGAGCGTTCCTTGGGCTCCACCTTGCGGCCTTCCTTGTGGCGGATCCAGTACTCGAAGAGATCAGAGGTCTTGAAGTTGGGATCCAGAGCACACGGGACCTTTCCGGAGGCGACTGCAGCCGGGAGACAGACAAGTGGGTGAGCGGAAAGCAGAGGGGCGAGGGCGCCTGGACGATGGTGGGGCGCAAGCAAAGGATTGCAGAGCAGTGATACGCACCATCCATGAAGAAATCGCTGGGGCTTTCGTCAGGAGGGCAGGTGAATCCTGGAGCGAGACGAGAGCGGCAGGCGCAGGGTAAGCAGAAGCGATTCATGCGAATTGCAAGAACCGGGGAAATGAGAGCTCCGCACGCATGCAGTTTCGTATCTGCAACACCGATGGGCGACGATGGCGCTTGAGCCGAAACAACAGGAGTGTGCGATGATATCGGCAGATATGAACGCGCGCCGATTCGTTGTCCATGCTCGTGCCGTCGGACATGGGGTCTTACCGATGCTGTCAAAGTATGCAGAGCATTCCTCGCGCGGACCAAAGTAGATGAGACGACCGCCCTTGCCAAGCAGCATAAAGTCGTCAAACTCTCTGAAGGTTGAGGGTGAAGGTGAGTGGATGACGGCAGCGACCAAGAGACCCTGTTGCTGGGCAATCCGGCGGAGCATGTGGCAGAGCTCGAACGACGTGGAGGAGTCGAGGCCAGAGGTGGGTTCGTCGAGGAACAGGAGTGACGGCTCGGCAACAAGCTCCATTCCAATGTTGACTCTGATGCAAGGGGACAGCGGCAGGGTTCCCGAGTGAAGTACCGATAGTGTTCATCGTGCCGGTTGGGTTGCGTGAGGTCAGGCAGGTGTTAGCGGCGGCTTTAGACAGGCATCTCGTACCAAGAAGGGGGAGTCTCCTGCTGTCGGTCAGATGAGCTCGCCGTCCCGGCACAAAGCAGACGCAGACTCGCTTGATGCCCACCTTTTGCGCTGACCGCCCGAGATGCCGCGGACCTGCTCGTCGCCAATGGGCGAGTCAATCACATGAGAGAGTCCCAGAAACGAAATGATCTCGAGAACCTTGTCCTTGATTTTGGCGCTATTCCAGCTCGAGGGCAGGCGCATGCGGGCGCTGTGCATCAGGATATCTCGCACGGTGAGCTCGCGCAGCATCACGTCCTCCTGGGGCACATAGCCGATGAGCTTCTTGTACTTGGAGAGCTCCTCGCCTCTGCCGTTGACCTTGACCGAGCCGGAGGTGCGCTTGACTTTGCCGGTCAGCAGCGTCACAAAGGTGGTTTTGCCGGCGCCACTGGGGCCCATGATGGCGCATGTACGGCCGCCACGGAGAGCGCCGCTGACGCCTTTCATGATCTCGACGCCGTTGGGCAGGACCAAGCCCAGGTTCTCAAATTCGACATCGAAGGTCTTGGAGAGCTTTCCCAGAGCGGCCGATTCTTTGCGATCGGTCTGGTTGACGCTGCCGATCTGGATGCGGTGCTTGAGGAAGCGCTTGCGGTCGTTCTGTTCCTTGAAGGAAAAGGCAACATAGAGGATGATACAGAAGATCAAGAAGATAAAAAGCACTCCGAAGCGGAACGCCGACTGGCTTCTTGGCGGACAGTAGGCCATAAAGTCGCAAGAGATGGGCCGCGTAGTTCCTGATGATGGGCGTTGGGGAGGTGGGATGATGGTGATTGAGAAGAGTCGAGAGGTGGGGTCAGTCAGCTCTGAATGACTGCACTTGGCACTCGGCCCTCGGTACCTGCCAATCCAAGATGGGCGGCAGCAGCATGACCGGATATTGGCTCCGATCCAAACAAGCCAGATCCGACATGCACGACGCTTGGCCCAAGGATGAGACTTGACCAGCAACAGCAAACCGACGACTGCAGACGTGGACGTACCTGCGGGACAGAAGCTGCCCTGGGGACACTCAATGATGTTGGATGGATCTGGGCAATAGTATCCGGGCGGGCAGTAGACCGGCTCGGCGGCGTTGGCGGGGCAGTAGAATCCGTGTGTGCACGGAGCGGTGCGGTTGGAGCTCAAGCAGTACGATCTGGTGGAACGAGGGGATGTCCAGAGTCAATGTCCCAAGGTATCGTCCATGGACACGACTGTGGCTGAGATCCAGACAGCAGCCAAGGATCGGCAGACGAGCGATCAGCAGACGAGCGATCATAGCAGACCAGGCCAGGGGCTGTCTGCGGACTTACCCAGCATCGCAGTTCCAGGTGATGTTGCCGTACTGGGCGCTGGGCTTTTGAGGAGTGCCGTAATACTGGCAATCTGCGGGGCCAGACAGGACGGAGTCGATGAGGATGGGCAGGAGGAGGCACAGTTTGCATGGCAAATGTCGGCAGCAGAGCAAGCCGAACAGGATGTGGCCCTACCGTTGTTGTTGGGGTACTGGGGGCAGTTGCGCCACTCCAGCAGCGAATAGTAGAGGATAGGATCGACATAGGCCAGCATTTCCTGGCGCGAGACATCGGATGGACTTGTGGGAGGGGTTTGGGCCTGGACGCCGAGCTGGGGAGCCAGCAGCAGGGCACCGAGGACACAGACAGCAGCGAAGTGCATGCGCTTGGACATGGTGCCGGTGGTCGTGCAGATGTAGATGGCACAGTTGGTGCTGATGACGGAGCCGATGCTGATGCTGATGTTAATGTTAATGTCGGTGCTGAGGAAGAATGGGCAGCCGCGGGGGATCCGAGCAGAGGATGGCGAACAAGTCGTCCAAGATGGGCTGGGTTGATCAAGTCGAAGGAGACCGAACACCCAGAGCGGGTCCTTCGCCGCCAAGACCGGGTGGCGGTGGCGTGGCGGTGGTTGTATCCCAGCCCGAGACCGCCCGAGGCCGCCGAGAGCGCCCGTGGCCGAGAGCGCCTTGATGGCCCCGCAGTCTCTGTGCTCTCGTCTGCTGCTGCCCTCGGCGCGCTCTCGCCTGCCCACACACACACGCGCCTTCATTCATTTTTTTCTCCTGGGCATTTTTTTTGAGCCAGGACGGCCGGACGGACAGGCGATCGCCCTCTGTCCTGCTTGCATCGCTGGTATCCGCATCCCCCAGCCCATCCCAGCCCCGCTCCGGCTCCCCACCCTCCCACGCACCAAGCCCGACAGCCAAGGCGCCCGTCGCATCAGCCCACAGATCTATCCCTGCCACCGCACCTGCATCGATTCGCCATGGACATTGACAAAAAGCCCGCCGACAACATGACCAGCAAGGACTACTACTTTGACTCGTATGCCCACTTTGGTATGTCGGAGAGGCATCGGCTCGGGAGCGTCCTTGGCGGCGCTGTGTGCAAAGAGTGGGAGACATCTGGTCCTGCTGAGGCAGGATGCGATGGGTGCGGCGTTGAGCCGATTTGATTTGGTTGATCGAGCCGGGTGTGAGGGGCATCGCTGATTGCCCTGCCAAGAGGAGTGTTTGATCGGGCGGCGGAAGCTGCAGTGCCGGCTTGGATGCTGGATCGGAGCCGCTGTTTCTGACCATCCTGCTCTCCCATCCACTACGAACTTGACTCTTGACCGACCGCGATCTGCTATTGCTCACTTGTGGCGGCGATCGCTTGGCACCAACCACTTCCTCCGACCCGCCACCAACCGTCTCCAACGGCTTTCGACCACTTTCGACCACTTCCGACAAACACTGGCATACCTCTTCGCAGGCATCCATGAGGAGATGCTCAAGGATGAGGTCCGCACCATCAGCTACCGCAACTCGATCTACCAGAACCCACACCTCTTCAAGGACAAGGTCGTGCTCGACGTCGGCTGCGGCACCAGCATCCTGTGCATGTTCGCTGCCAAGGCCGGCGCCAAGCACGTCATTGGCGTCGACATGTCCAACATCATCGACCAGGCCAGGATCATCGTCAAGGAGAACGGCCTCGAGGACAAGATCACCCTGATCAAGGGCAAGATGGAGGAGGTTGTTCTGCCCTTTGACAAGGTCGACATCATCATTTCGGAGTGGATGGGCTATGCTCTGCTCTACGAGACCATGCTCAACACGGTCCTGTATGCTCGCGACAAGTATCTCGCTCCCGGCGGCCTCATCTTCCCCGACAAGGCCACCATGTACCTCTCAGCCATCGAGGACGGCGACTACAAGGAGGAGAAGATTGAGTTCTGGAACAATGTCTACGGCTTCAACATGTCGCACATCCGCAACCTGGCCCTCAAGGAGCCCCTCGTCGACACCGTCGATGCCAAGGCCGTGTCCACAACTGCCTTCCCCTTCAAGCACATTGACCTCTACACCGTCAAGATCGAGGATCTCACCTTTGATGCGCCCTTCAAGATCACCGCCCAGCGGGACGACTACATTCACGCCTTTATCTGCTACTTTGACATTGAGTTCAGCGCCTGCCACAAGCCCATCAAGTTTTCCACGGGTCCCCACGCCAAGTACACCCACTGGAAGCAGGTGAGCAGAGCGGTGCCTCCAGTCAAGCGGTGGGACCTTTGAAACCACATACCATGTCCCTGGGCGGTCGATGCGTTGCATCGTCACCCTGTCTCGCTTGCGCCGGCCTCGATTCCACCCCCAACCAAAACCAAACTAACAATCTTCATCGTTTCTACTGTCGCATGTTGTCAATGCGCGCCACCTTCTAGACCGTCTTTTATCTCCAAGACGCTCTGACTGTCAAGAAGGGCGAGATCGTCACTGGTTCGTTTTCGCTCAAGCCCAACGTCAAGAATGAGCGGGATCTCGATATCATCCTCCGCTACCAGTTCAAGGGACAGTACGGAAGCATCGACACTGTCCACGAATACAAGATGTGCTGAGCGACTCGGCTCGCTCTTGGACCTGGATGAAGAGGGCTAGGGGCGGACTAGCGAGTGAGCGGGGCGACGGGAATGACTGACGTTGGGAGGGGGGACACGGAGGGTGCTGCTTCTCTCATGGGGGTTTATGCGAGCCGAAAGTGAGACACGATGGGAAGCAGCAAAGTGAATGAATGCAGCCATCCCGAGGCTAGTGTTGTTCCCTTGTTTGTTTGTTTGTTTTTTGTTCTACGGGCAGCCTCGGTAACCGCCTTGGGTTGCGCGGGATTGGATGCCGCATTTGCCCGATCTCCTCGTTTCGTCACAATACACGCATAGATATCATTTGCTGTGGTCACCAGATGTGAGGTTGGGAGATGACACTTGCAAATTACAGGCAATCCAATAAAAAACGGGACACCCGGGTTTTTGACCATTCATCGAATATTTTGTTACCCAATGTTATCGCGCGCTGGCCATGACCATTCGCCACACATCCGACTTTCGCACCGCCGCATTGCGATGCTACGCCCTCATCCATAGCCTGCGTAAGGTCGCCTCCATATTCAGTGTATCCAAGAGCACCACCCATCGATGGCACCGAGGATGCAAGCTGGATGACCCATCCCGGGTCCCAGCTCGCAGATCCACTTTCTTCGAGCAGGCATGTCCAGTCATTCGCACCCTGATTGAACAGGACCCGTTCCAGACTGGTCCTGTGTTGCGATGCAAGCTCGAGTCCATCCTCCAGAGGAAAGTGTCGCTCTCACTCTGCCACACTGCCATCCACCGAGCGGGTCTCTCACACAAGAGGGCAACACACCTCTACAAGTCCAAGCGACTGGATGAGCGAGTGGCACAGTTCAGGGACGAGACCCGTTCCATCGACCCACGACGATTCGTTTTTGTCGATGAGACAGGGATCAGGAAATCCATTTTCCCTCTCTACGGATACTCACCGAAGGGTGCTCCGCTTCGCCAGCGCAATCACATGAAACACAAGTCTGTCTCGGCTGCATTTGCCATCAACCACTCTGGTGTGCTGCATCGCATGTACATCCCCACATCATTCAAGACACACTCGATGGTCGAGTTCTTTGAGCGAGCGGCCTTCCCAGACGACTCTGTGATTGTGATGGACAATGTCAGCATGCACAAGACACGGGCTGTCCTGGACTGCATCGAGCGCCGAGGATGGTCAGTGATCTTCACCCCACCTGCTTCACCCGACTTCAATCCCATCGAGAACTTCTTTGGGATTGTGAAGCATCAGTACAGGAAGGCAGCAGCGCTGAATGCCTCCGAGGGGTTCAGGATCGGGATGGTGACCCTGTTTGAGTCTGCCGTTCGGAGGGTGCTTCCAGATGTCTTCCCACGGCTGATTGAGCGAGCGATGCGCTTCTGGGGTTGAGTTCCCTCCAATCACGCCGCCATTTTCACGCTCAAATCCCTGGCTTGAACCTCTCGGCGATTTTTGAACAGGTCACTTCCCCAACCAGCCCGCAAAGACGGGCTCCTGCTCTCGGGTATAAATGCCACATCTTCGTCCTGCTGCTTTCTTCCCTCATCTCGCCTTGATCGGATCATCGCGCTATTGTACGATAAAAAAAAGTCTCTGCTCTGACCAGTACCACTGGCAGACATCCAGCATCCTCTGCCCCCATGCCTCCGAAGCGTAAGGGTACCGGTGATGGCCAGCCTCGGCCACCCAGGCCCAAGAAAGCCAAGTCACAGTCGGAGCCTGTCTCTGGTTCGTATTCTGACCCCACGCATACTTGTTCGTCTGTTGCTCCGTCGCTCACCACCACTGCTTCTGCAGATCCAATGGATCTCGATCCCACCGAGCCTGGTCCATCTACTTCCTCGAGTACCGGCAAGCGATGTCCCAAGTGCGATGGCACCGATCACGAACGTTGCAACACCAGCAAATGTCCCAAATACCGGCCCCTCAAGAGTTCTGTCGTCCCACTCGTGGATGGAAGGTCATCCGCCCCTCAGTTCAGCTGCTTCAAGCAGACGATGGATGGCTGTTGTCTCAATCCCGCTCTCCGCGACAAGATCCAGGCCACTGTCGCAGCCATGACCCAGATCCAGTTCGAGGCATCCAGGCTGCTCAACCTGCACATCCTGAGGTGCATCGAGCAGGATCTTCCCGTCCCCGTCATTTCCAAGTCCACCCCTGCTTTCATCCGCCAATGCTTCACGATTGTCGAGGCCGGTGCCCTCTCCCCGACAGGGGACAATGAGAAATACAACGAGCATCTGGTCGCTTCCTTTCGCGACTATCAGACCACTCGGCACGCAGACCTGCCTCCGGCCCCTCGTCTGCCTGATGGTGCTCACAGTCAGCTTCTCACACTGGCTGTCAATGCCTATGCCATCAACTGCACCACCCACCTCGACCTGGCCTACTGGCGACTCCTTCGCCGCTTCTGCGCTGCCGTCTTCCCAGCCAACAAGCATAAGCACGAAGCCATCGAGGCCTGTCTCGAGCTCTTCGAGAAACCAGGGCAGACTCCACCCAAGGCCGATATCGAGTTCCTCTATCCCGACTTTGGCCACGTCCTGGACGAGTTTCGGTACAGCAGCGACCAGGACCGCTTCCGGGCCCTCCATCGCCTCTCACACCATGTGAGAATCCTCGCCCGAGACAAGATGGTCGACAATGTCCACAAGTGGATCGACTGTGACATGCCCGCCCTCCGAGTCACCGAGTTGCAGCGCCAGGCCAAGCTGGACGAGCTCACTGCCAGAGGCATTCCCTCCGACGACAAGAGGTTCACCACGGCCAAGTCGGAGCTCGGCACCACCAAGTCCAAGATCAACAAGCTGGCATCCAGACTCAAGTGGGCACTCAAGCAGCTCGCTCTCGACACTCCTCCGGCCGTGTGCACGATGGTCCCTCTATGCACTGCCACGGCCAAGTATGTCAAGATTGACACGGTCACTCTTTGGAATCTCCTTGGTCCAAAGAAACGCCTTGGACTCACCCGGGACATGCTCAAGGAACAAGGTGATGACGGTGTCAACAACCAGGATCGTCTCTGGCGCAGTTGCTTCAAGCTGCGTAGTTCCCTCTTCCAAGAGCGGGACGTGAACAAGAAGCTGTTCAACTACGAGATCAGCACCGATGGCATTGGATGCACCATCGGTCTCGTCAAGTTTCTGCCTCGAACCGATCACACCGAGACCATCGAGCCTCCTCCGACTGCCGAGCAGCGCATCCAGACCCACATCGGCGACCCAGACCCCGACCACACCACTTGGATTGGCATCGATCCTGGAGTCGGCTCCATCTTCACGGCGGTCATCCAAGCACCGGGCCACCAAGACGAGGTGGTCTCGTTCTCCAATGGCCACTACCAGCACATGTGTGGCCACAAGTCCAACACCGACTGGCACAACACCATGAAGTATCGACTCAGCATCGAGACCTGGATGTCGACCACCCCCTCGCCCAAGGTGTCGTCCTCGGAGGCTTTCAAGGTCCATCTCACCCATGTCCTGCGACCGGAGCTGCGAGTGCAGCTCGACTTCCACCTTGGCAAGAAGGCCCGTCACCATCGCTTCACGGGCCACAAGAGGCGCCAAGTGGCCGTTGACAGGATGTGCAAGGCCGTCCTGAAGCACGCCCCGATACGGACCGATGTGGTGATCGCCTTTGGCAATGCGTCATGGCGTCAAGGCAAGGGCTATGCATCCAGCCCTCGGAGGCAGCGATTTGCTCAGTACTTTGAGCAGTTCGAGCACCACCGACGCCGTCCCAATCACCCTCACGGAAGCGTCAAGGTAGTCTCGACGAACGAGTTCAACACCTCGCAGGTGTGCTCCAAGTGCCTGGAGCCAGTTCGGTTGGAAGGACTCGATGCGCCCAGTGTTGCGAATTCCCACTTTGTCAGGAGCTGCAAGAATCCCAGCTGCCGGACAGTGTGGAATCGCGACGTCAATGCGGCGCGCAACATGATCACAGTGTGCAGGTCGATTGTGGAGATCGGAGAGCGACCGGTGGTCTTCACTCGGAGGCTGCCAAAGTGATCTGTTTTATTTCTTGTGGCTTTGCTTGACGCAAGCACAGCACATACTACATGTTCATGGAAACGGCTATATTGTCCCGTTTTTTTCTGAATAAAGTGTAACCATGACAGTATGTTTTCTGTGACCTGAATACACCCACCCACTCATCGCATTCATGGCCAAGCAAGTATGTCAAAGGGAGACCGAAGTGGTGATTGCCTTTGGGAATGCATCCTGGAAACAGGGGAAGGGATATGCCTCCAGTCCCAGGAGACTCAGGTTCGCCAAGTACTTTGAGCAGTTCCACCACCACCGGAGACGACCACCAGACCGATCCGTCTCCAAGATCCATGTGTACTCGGTGAACGAGTTCAACACATCCCAGGTGTGCTCACATTGTCGGGAATTCAAGCGACTTGAGTCACCCGAGTATCTTGATGTCGAGAAGCCACACTTTGTCCGGAGCTGTGCAAGCTGCCATACGCTGTGGGATCGAGACATCAATGCAGCCAGGGACATAATCTCGGTATGCCAGTCGATCATCGCCACAGGAGATCGACCGGGTGTATTCAAGACTGTGCTTCCCAAACCAACCAAAACCACTCGATTGCCAACGAAGACAGGAGTGCAATGCCATGGCCTACCCGCTGGGCCTACAGTCAGTCAGCGGGCTTCAGAAGCCAGAAAGTGACTGTCCCGTTTCTTTCTGGATAGACTGTAAGTATCTCGCACTGTTCCTTGAGTATTTCGACAGTGGATGCCGGGTCGCCCATATTCTGGGCAGTCCACTTCGGGGTTGCCATCCCTCTTGGGATGGTCGATGGGAGGTGTTTGACTCCCTTGTGCAAAGTGTGTGTGTGCAAAGTGTGTGTGTGTGTGTGTGTGTGCAAAGTGTGTGTGTGTGTGACGGCGAGAGGCTTCTCGCCTTCCCTCGGGGGTCTCTCGCCAGAGACTGCTCTTCTCGCCGACCGAGGTGGCTCCGAGAGCGCGTTTTGTCGTTCTCGCTGATTTTTTTAACAAAAATTTTTTTCATAGTGTCAGGGATGCTCGCCTTCGTGAACCCATCAACCCACCAACCACCAACCCATCCGCACGCCAACCCGCCCAACAATCTGCTCCCGCAGCAGGACTGACTGGTCACCATGGCCGCTCCCGCTGCTCGGCTCCTGCTCATGGCCGTGTTATCACTGCTGATCACCCGGTCGCTGGCCGACAACTACAAGCTGTTCCTGATGTCTTCGTCGATCGTGGGGATCCCGATCCCGGAAGCCCCAGAAGCCTCAACAGCCAGTCCCCGCATGTCCTATACCCACACCTTCCTCCACGAGGGCTCGCCGCTCCTTTTCCGAAAAGACCGGAGCCACTCGGTGCCGTGCGACTGCCGTGCACCCTGTGAGGTCCGTGTATCCTGGATCGGCAGTGTGAGTGGCTCAAGACCAATCCACATTGCCATCAAGCTTACCGCCCAAGAGAGCACCCGGCTGACCATCCCGCTCGTCCACGATTGTTTGCAGGTGCCGCTTAACGTCAATCTTTCATTTTCCATCGACAAGAGGGTGAGTTTTGTGCGATCCAGACGGAGCCCAAGTTAGGCCAGCCGACAAGACTCGCCGACCCAGTTCGCACACAGACCCACGCACACCCAGCAACCCGGTTGTCAGAACTGTCCGTGCTCATCGCATCCCCTCAACTCCTCGACTCTTGTTTCACCCAGGGCTTGATGTTCAATATCCATCCCGAATTCCATTCGGTGACGGCCCAAGCCAAGATCGGCCAGGAACAACGGTTCATAGATGACGAGAGCTACTTTGGCATAGGTTGGTATTGATTGTTGCGGCAAAGCTTCCTCCCCGTCCCTCGTCCAGTATATGCCTCAGTCAAGAGACATGCACCGCCATGGTCTTGTTCGATCGGATCGAGACTGAACCCCCATCTTGCCGCCCAGCCTTCGAAAGCCTCCTCTTTGGGTTCATTCCCGCCTCCTCGGTGCGACTAGGTCTGGTGATAGCCATCGTCCTTGCCTTTGGATGGCTCTGGGCGTATCCCCGAATGCTCCTCGAGATCCAGCTGGCCTTTGAGTGCCCGGATGCTGAGCGGAAGATCGAGGACTAGACTCCCAAGCGGAGCACCGGATCAACCCTGCACATCTCAACAGAGCTTTCGTTTGGAGTCCGATTCACCTTTGCCGCATGCCAGCTGTGAGACGTGCCCGTCCTGCGGAGACGATCGCCGAGGATATCACCGATGCATCGCAACCCAGAACAGCCAGATAGAGAGTCATGGCGCGCAAGCCAACTTCCATTCGTGAAGGCCGACTTGTGGACGCCCTAGACGTTCAACTAACGACGAATATATCATCACTGAATGGCAGCAGCAGCAGCGAAAACGACGACACCCCACTGCGCAACCGCCGATGCACATCTCCCGAGTACGTCCAGTCTATTACGAATCGAAGGAGATGTGATATCGCTTCTTGGAGCGCATCCCGTACTGGTCAAGGGTCTTGTCACGCCAAGGATGCATCGACCTTGGTTGCAATATCAAGATGTGGGCACCAGCCCCTGACTCTAACGAGCGCATGAGGACGCATGACAAGAGTCTCTCCAGGAGATCGAAATATCCCTGGCTGAGGTTTTGGCTGTTCGGCTTTGTCCCAGTATGCAGTGGCCTGGCACAGACATGTGGATTCAGTCCTTATCGAGCTGTGATCCAGTCGGCGACTCACAGACTGGTATGACACTGTCATCACAAGTATCAGAAGTGACAGGTCAGCGTGCGCCGGATTGCAACCATCCAGAGCAAAGGTTCTTCGGGGACATGCATCCATCAAGCCGTACACACCAGCGGGCAGCAGAGTAGGCCAGAGATCTCGCTCTCAATGGCCCGATGCTTGCATACGTGACACATAAAGTGGATCGCCTCGATGATCGGGCGTCCAGAAGCAATGCAGGTCGGGAAGGCAATGTGGCAGTGGTTGCAGAACGTTTGGCTGTCGGTTCCAGAGGAAGAGCATATTTCTTGGATGTCAGCAAGCGACCCGATGCTGAGGGTGTTTGCGGACGGATCTACCATGTTCCTGGCCGAACCAAGGGATGCAGATAGGCCCGCGCCACTCACTTGTCTCTGATAGAACCAGCGCAGTTTGTGCAGCTGACCAGTGTGCCCTTGGGATCGACAGGTGGATATCTGGCCGGCAAATCGTCCAAAGAGTTGTCAGCGACCGTAATGCTGCCCATGTGGAGCTTGTCGGATATAACGTGGCAATTGTAGCCTGCGACGCCTTACTGGGTAAAGATTGACAGAGCGAGCCTTTCGTAGCTGGCTTGAGTGTCCTCGGAAAGTGTCGAAAGGGCCTCGAGTTTGACCAGGGCTCGCGAGCAGGTGCCGAATTGCTTGGCTTGGATGCTCACCAGCGCAAGCAGGCAGTAGATGACTTCCGGATCAAGGATATCCTCGTAATCACGGAGAACGCTGGCCTACGATAGAGATCGAGAGCGCCGTTGGTCCGTCCGTCGGGTCGGAGGAGCTGAGTTAGTACCCAGGGATCTATGCACCAACCACAATTCTATGGTATCTGTGCCGAGACGAGCGAAAACCTTTGGTCCCTCTTGAAGCCAGGATGCCTACCGTGTTCACGGCGCCCTCAAAGTTGCCCGAGTAGTATTGCCGTTGGCACAGAAGGTAAAAATGATATGCCTCGGCGCCGCGCCAGGCATTTTCCAGGAACTTGCCGTCCATGGTGTTCTTCTTGTCCTCCTCGAGTAGACCGTCCAGTGCCGCCGTGACCTGGGATGCAGCGCCAGGACGCACGATCAGAACATGTCGCGGTTGCTGCTCTCAAGCAGTACCCGAGACCAGGCTCTATGCGAGCTCGCCAACTGGACGATCTCTTACACTCTCGCGGCCCAGTCCCTTCCCGGACTTGTGTAGTTTGTGGTAGGCTTCGACTTCGAGTGCTGCAAGGACATAGAGCTTCTTGATGCACAGCGGGCTTTTGTTCGCCTTTGTGGCAGTCTTAGCAAGCTGGATGGAGCAGGTTCGGCAGCAGATAAGCTCCTCAAGTGCGCCGCTTCGTGGCCATTGGGCCATGGCCCATAGGACGGTTTAGGGGCACAGCGGCAACACTGCTTGCCAACGAGTTATCATTGGATCCGTGGCTGTGCCCCAGGTCTAGACTGCCGTGGCAGCCTAGGCCGAGACCAGCTGCTTCACATCATACAAACTCACGTCAAACAGAAGCTTGGCAGACTTTTCACAAGCGTTGGCCTTGCGGTAGAGCTCGATGGCTTCGATGACTCGGTTGCTCTGAAGCAAATGACTGGCGTACTTTGCAAGCAGAGGCTCAATCTCCTTGAATTTGTGCGCCTCAGCAAGCTCGACCGCAGTGTTCCACTGATTGATCCGTTCGGTCACGGTCGATGGAGGGAAATCCGACCTGTTAGTATGTTCAAGCCATGGATGTGCATGTTCCAGAGCCGCGCTGACTGGACGTGCCCGAGGTGCGGGGTGCTACTCACTTGACTGAGGTATATGCACGTATCGATGGCAGCTTGTATGTCGTTGATCTTGACAAATGCAGCCACGGCCTGCTCGCACATGCCCACAGTCACAAACTTGTCGGCCAGGTTCTATGGGGTTTGGAGGCGGTCCTATTAGAAGCATCCCTCAGGCCCGCACACTCGATTTGGCACGCCCAAGAACACACCGCCAAGTCCGGCAGTGCTCGCTCCTATGGTCTCAGCAGAATCCGAGACTCACCCTGAGAAGAGGATCGCCATCAGGGAGCTGATATATCATTTTCTCGAGATTCTCGTAGTCGTCCAGAAAGTAGAAGCACTCGATAAGCCGCTCGTTGCTGCGGCCTTGGGTGTAGTACGTGATGGATTGAGACCTTGACTCCGAGGACGCAACCAGGTGGTGGGCCAGCCCATGCCCAATGTGTCGATCCAGCGCCAATACGACAGAAGAATCGAAAGCCAAGTGCATGCCGTCAGAAACAATGTTTTCGCATCCACCCATCCATAAGAATCCGATCAGAATCTGCTTTGCCTCCTCAACTCGATTCGCTGGCTTGGAGGACCCACCATCGTTGCCGGTCAAAGTAGTAATCGCCAATGGCGTTCCACGCTTTCTCGAGGACAATGTCATCTCCGCCACTGCCGCCGCTCTTGATGAGCTGGATCACACGGAACCAATCGCCCAAACGGATACGCAAGTCGATGGCAAGATCCTTGCGATCCATCTCGAGATAGATCTTCTCTGCGGCGTCGTGGTGGCCAAAATATGCCTCGATCTCAGCGCGTTGCTTCATTTTATCCTTTACATATCAAATTAGATGAGTTGGCCAATACTCAGAGAAGATATCAAGCATAGCTGCATGTCTAGCTGAGCGCAACTGGGCACTCGATCGGTGGCGCGTTCGAATGAACAGCTGTCAAAGCGGCACCACTGCGAGTACTGTCCAAGGAAGTAGAACTTTCATGGCATTGCCAAGCGAGAATGTCCAATATACGGAAGTCACTTACATCATATTTCTGGAGCCGCTTGATGAATTGAATGCCCTGGTAGTCCGTGCAGCGGATCAGTGCCTTCTGGGCAACCGTAAAGTCGAGCTCCTCCAGAGAAGCGTCCGCGATCAACTTCCACAGCCGAGGATGTGGGTTGTCTTCCACAAACTGGAGAGCGTCCGCGATGCCGACCTGACTAAGAATGTCTTTGAAGCCATACATGACGGAGAGAAATGCGGTTGTAGATGCAGGTGTCAGCAGCGGTGGTCTCGGTGAGCAGATATCGCCACTGCACACGATGACAGCGAGAAAACGCACTTCGGGTATCGCGCAGCGATTTGGTCTCCATGTTAATAATGTGCTCCTTGGATGGACCCTCGGGATCCTTCAGCAGCTCGTCCAGCAGCACGGCCTTGATCTGGAGCTTGTCGAATCCACATATGTCTGGTGTCGTGTGAGAACGAAATCAGCGAGTCTCGCCAAGGCTGCTCGAGCACCGCGTTCACATGGTATGAACAACGGCATCAAGTTGCTGCAGACATCATATTCCCATCAATGCTCGAGCATTCCTCAGGCAACCGGGCCACACTTACATCCCGAGCATGTGATGGGCTCCTCAGGATCCAGGTTGCGGAAGACGTACATTCTGGTCTTCTCCATAATGGCAAAGAGCTCCGGGTTGTCTTCGGCCCTGCAGCACCGGGTGGATTCATGTCAGTATCGCCGAGCGCATCAACTACATTCAAACGAATCTATGCCATGTCCAGCCTGCTGTTTGCTTTGGGCCAAAGTGTGCGCACCATCGGACATCCCAAACGTCCTTCCTCTCAAAATCGAGCAGCTTGCCGCTGTCTGACAGCTGTTGCTGTAATGGGATCAAAAGCGTGACGAAATGAGAATCGTGCAAGGGGCTTGGGCCGCCACGATCTGCCCGATATTCCAAGGCCCCAGTAAGAGGATACCAACCGCACTGTCAAGCAAGGGGATGAGCTGCGGCTTACCTTGGATCCCACCAATCCGCCGACCATCGTGGATCCCGATCCGCTTGACCCGTCTGCCGGACTCGTTCCGGCCGGCACCCCCACAGAGCCCCCAGAAGCACCGCCCGCACCGCCACTGATGTTGGTGGCAGCCCCGGATCCTCCGGGAGCGAGCGCGCCACCTTTGCGGTCAAACTCAAAGATCTTGAGCAAGCCAGCGGTGTCGAGCATCGCAAGTCGTGAGGAGTTGCAGTTGAGGGATATGAATTGGGTCCGTATACCGGTGCTGTACTTGTTCTCGAGTGTCATCGACGGAAGCACAAACTGCAGGAGCTGACCGCTCTGTCGCGCAAGCACAAAGGTCGAATCGCTGGCTGTGGCCGAGACAATCGAGTCTGACGAGGGCCTGGGGCAAATACACAAGGGCACATGAGCACAACCCGGTCTGCCGATACCCGAGGCAGCCTCCGAGATATACACCAAGCTAAACAGCCGATGATAACTGATTTGATATGCGCATATCTGGACGCTCCGGCTCACCTCTTCTTCTTTAGCTCAACCACAAACGACCCACTGTCTCGGGTACCAATCACCGACATGTCGTCAACGTGGAAGGCGCGCTCCTTGGTTTCTTTTCGTCGCATTGCTGATTGGTTGTGAGTATCATGGCCGAGCAGCAGATCCAGGACACACGGCCGGGCATTAGCATCCCATGTTGAGGTTACGCGTTGGCGTCCCACACTGAACGGCATATTGGTGCGCTTTTGTTCCACAGTTTGTATTCACAGCAGTGCGCTCCAGTCAGCGTGCGCCGCCCTTACCGTCAATCGCAGAGAGCTTGGATCCGAGGACCGAGCTTCGAAACTGCCAGTACATCACGATATCCGATGAGGCCACAAAGACGTGTGTCTTGTTGATCGCCGCAAATCTGGGCTCAAAGTCAATCTGCTTGGATTCGATGGAAGTGCCGATGGAGTTGACCACGCTGATTTGATATCTGATGCGCGCAAGAGCGAGTCAACAAATCAAAGCAGCGGGCGAGGCTGCGCATCGCAGTACCGGATGCTGCCGCCGGCTTGCAACCACCATGCTAGGCGCCGGTCTGCTTTTGGCCAGGGTTCGGCCGGATTACTTACTGCTCGCTCAGCTCTTCGATCTTGGTCACTAGCACGCAATAATCTCCGCTTGATGCAAGTGCCACCAACTTGGATGTGTTCCTTTGTCACAGCGATCGGACATTAGCGATCGGGCATTAGCGATGACAAACGCTTCGCACAAGCGTCCGTGCGGGATGGAACAACGCCAATGGCTCTCGATCTAGGGTATTCTCGTCGACGATGCGTGGCCTTACTTTGTGTTCTTCTCGTTGGTCTTGGAGTTCCAGAAGACAATGTTGGTGTCGGTCCTCTCGGACTTTGTGTAGGTATACACAAGCACATCGCTTGCAAAGAACGACCAACGATAGTCCGGTCGAATGTTTGCAAAGTAGATGAACGAATCGACAGCCAAGGCGATACGCAGGCCGCTGTACTCCCAGCTCAGGGATGTGATGCGTTTCCCTGGCACCTTAAGAGATCTCACGTACTGGTGCCGAGACGGAGGCGTCAGATACCATCGCTGTAGAAGTGAGTGCGTCTGCGCTTAACCAGAGTCCTTTGGCCGTCGGATGAACTCACCTGTCCATGCGAGTCGTAAAAATGGACGACGCTGACTTCCTTCTCGTCGCCCTGCGCGCTGCGTGCGTGCTGGACGCCGGCGACGGCCAGGATCGATCCGTTGTTGTTCCACTTCATCTTGAGATGTCTGAGGTTGGTGTCCAATACCATCGGGGCTGGGGATATTGTTTGTGCTGTTGATTATCAAGCTGATCTATACCGAGCTATGTTGCTATGGGCCCCTTGCCTCGAATCACCGCCCCATCGAAGAAAGCGATTCCTTACACGAGTCTTTCTCGTCCCTCATGATCTGGATCTTGCCATTTTCGAAGCATATAGCCAGACAAGGTGCCCGGGGCTCGATGTAGCCGTTGCTGCCGTTGTACCAATCCAGCGCGGCGATCTTGAGCAGGCCAGCGCTTTCGCTGCCGTAGCACGGGACTTTGCTCTGGAAAGTACACAGCAAAGCGTCAGTCCGGCCCTGCGAGGGTCAGGCAAAGAGAAGGAGCGCCTTTGCTTCGACAGCATCCGCACTAAAGTACTTATGATATTGATGGTAGTGCAGAGATCTTACCACAAAGTTACCGGACGAGTCATATAGATGAAGCTCGCCAGTACTCGTGCCAAAGAGGATGTTCTTGCCGTCGGGCGACCACTGGACGTGGGCAAGCTGGCACTTGAGCTCCTTGCCCCACAGCCGGTTTCCATCCACAGAGCCGACGATGACGGCGCCTGGGCGATGGCAGAGCGCATTGCAGCGTGAGTTCGAATACGCTTCGGTTGGCGACACAAATGGCGAGACTGCTCAAAGATGCGAACCACCAGCGCATGAAGAAAGTCACGGACGGCAAAGTCCCAAGCAACACCGTTGGGACCCACGCCCAAGCAAGTCTCTGTTGGAAAACAACGCAAAGTCGCTGCCGGAGATGCAAATGGGAAAAATATGCAGAAACGCATCACAAACGCACCATCCTCATATGCGATGCAGATCTTCTGCCCGTCCCGATTCCATTGCATGTCGGAGACCGTGCTTTTGTTTCGGTTGTTGATCATCTCCTCGTACCAGATTCCCTTGTAGAGAATCCACACAATGATCAAGCCCTGCTGGTCTGAGGTTGTCAGTTTCCTGTGTTGTTGGTTCCAAGTCGAGACCACGACAGCGCCTACAAAGAAACAAGAGAGTCCATCAATATGGCTACGTCGTGGTACGGCTCTGGCAGTCACCATCGTTGCAGACACGACAACGATTGACGACGACCATGAGGACGTCACGCGACATATGCCTCGGCTGTTCCAGCAGGCAGGCACCGACGCAAGCAGCATCTTGCAGAACCCCCGAGCCCTTTGATTTCGTGATGGCCATCCCTGCGGTCGTCACAGCGACAGCGACAGCCAGGTCAGGCTGCTCGAAATCGCCGATGTGGGCTTTATCAGCGTCGCGTTGGGACCTACCCGTGTGCCCTTCCAACGTTTGGTTCATGGACAGATTGCTCAGGTGCTGCCCAGTACCAGTCGAGCCTGCGCCCTGTCCTGCGGCGCTGGTGCTGGTCGGGTCGCGGCGAGAATTGTAGTTGTTGGGCTCGGTGGTTGCGACGGGGGTCTCGAGCTTCAGGACCTTGAGCAGCCCCTCATCACCACCACAGGCAATCCATCCCTGGTCATTGTACCAGGAGACGGTGTGGAGCTTGACGCCGTTTGGGATGGCGATCTGGACGATATCCGCGGCAAAGGATGATAGCAGATCGGCGTGTGAGAATCCGGGGCCTATTATTTGCATCCGCATATCGAATCTGGAATCTGCCCTTTGCCCGCCTGCCCATGCATTTGCCGCTTTTCCATTCCACCCACAGCCGCGATAACCAACCTTTTTGCTCAGATAGATAAACATGGCGCCGTCTTAATTGGGCCGATCGACAGTGGCGTTGCAGCTCAGTGTACCCGAGGGTGGTGGCTCGCAGCAAGCCAGAGCCGAGCAGATGAAGGCGAGCGTTCCCACACGAAACCCGAGCCGATGACCCGAGCCCATCCGGAATGGCGCCGGCTGCGTCCTCTCTTCCCGCCACGAACCGACCTGCTTGCCAGCACCAGCGTCCGTCCTCTGCAACACTGCGATTGAAAGCATCGGCGCCGACCAGACCGGCAGCACCATCGCATCACAACGACGATCGACATCTCTACTGCTCTGTCCCCAAAGTCGTGCAGTGTCTGCCGTTGATGCCGCTCAGCACGCCGCCATGATCGATCAACTCCCTGTCGAGATCACCGCAGAGATCCTGCGCTATCTCGGCTTTGCAACCCACCAGCGGCTGCGGGCAACCTGCCGCATGCTCGCTCGGATCGTCGAGGGCCTGCCTCGGCAGCAAGGATACATCTCTCGGTACCGCACACTGCCTGAGTTGTCGGATCGGCTGCCGCACCTGATTCATGAGCTGCTTTCAAAGCAGTGTCTACCGTCGGTCCAGGACGGCCCTTGGCTCCATCTCGCCCTGCTCAGTCCTCACATCAGCTGGCATCAGCCCGGAAACGGCTGGCCCTCAGCGGCCTGGTCAGCGCCCGATGGCTGCGGTGCAGCGTCCCTGGTCCCGCTGTTGAGCAACCATAGTCTCCACGAACATCGACTCTATGTGCTCTTCAAGATCCAGCGATTCAAGGTGCCGCCAGCAAACGATCCCGAATCCGAGTCCGAGCCCGAGCCCGAGCCCGAGCCGGCAGCCGAGTCTGAAACGAAACCCGGAGCAGATACCAAATCCGAACCCGATGCTGCTGCCAACCGGACCAGCATCGACCATGCCCAGAAACAAACCCCACTTCCCCGGCTATCGCCTCCAAAAGCACCGCCGCTGACCCGCCTGCGAATCTCGGTCCGACTGCTGTTTGGAACGGGCCTCAGGCTCGATCGTGGCCTCTACATCATCTCGGAAGGCATTCGGGCCCCGATGGGCGACTGCACCTCGGTCTGGCTGAGGCCCGAGAACCGCCCGATCCGCAACGTCTACAACACTCCCGACTGGGGCGGCGACCCCGTTATGCGCAAGCAGCTGGGCCAGGACCGCCATTCGACGCACCTGCGTGCGTTCATGGAAGAGAGGAGCCAGGTCGAGCTGCGATATCGCGGCGGCGGATCCGATGCCTTCCTGAACGAGACGTTTTCGCTCCTGCGGTCGCCGGAGGGTGATCTGCACCAGAGCGACTCCAAGAGTTGGATCCAGATGGTATGTCGCAATACCGAGCGCATCGACACTGCCGAGATTCTGCCGGCTGCATCCCTCAGTCAAGACCACCACGGCGCGGTTAGATCCAGCCGCTCAGGCCATCTCCATCATGAGTTTGGTGCCCATGCCGAAGAGAAGGCCTTGGCGCTGGTCAAATGGTTCACCGATCTGGCGACTCGGCTGCTGGATGAGACGAATGCGGCCCCGCACGAGAACCTGGCTCGACACAAATTCGCACTTCGGCGGAAGCGATGAGCCCGCCACTAGATCGTACAAGACCAAGTCCAAGTCCAAGTGCAAGCCCAAGTGCAAGATCCAGTGCTCGACAGCACACCCGGAACAGGGCCGCAGCCACGGATGTGGGGCCAAGTCCGGTGTCAACAGAGCAACCATCCTGAGCAACTCCACATACGGCATCCAAGTTGACGAGGGGACGAACAAACAGGGCTAGACATGCCTTTGGGCTTGCTTTCGTGCAGCCTCATCTCTTCACCCGAAACGACGGACTATGCAGAGACTGGGGTTGATTCGTGTCCACCGCCGCGGTTGGACGACAGGCTTGCCTTTGGACAGCATGATCGCAAATATCACGTCGTAGACTCGTGCCCCTCGATCCATGGATAACATACTTGAGGTGGGCGAAGCACGGAGGTGAGCCAACGAAATCCATGTAGCCCATGACAACTCCTCCCCCCCCTCGTAACTCACTACAGCCAGCGACGCGTTGATCTTGCCGATGGCCGCCGGAGAGATCGGCGGATGTATTGATGATCCAGGAAGAAAACAATCGCCGCTGGACATGGAAACGTCTCCCGGCTGCGCTTCCCGAGGACGCTCAGATCTTGGGGGTGTACGGAACGACAAAGTCGAAGGCAAGAACACCGGCATCTGTATCCATTCAGCAAGCCGCCCCTCCCTGTCAGTCGTGGTGGATTGTCTGCGACTGCGTGGTTTCGACGCGGCGACAGCCGGCGATGCTTTGTAGATCACAGGCACCATGGCCACAGACGGTGCTACTTACCAGCCTCGACATGGGGTCGGATGTGGTTCGTGACGACGCCGACTAATGAAAGATCGCGGATGAGTGACTCGGAAGACGACAGTGAGCGACGGCTACGGAACATCCGGCACCTTACCGTGGTCAGGATGGATGGCGTAGCCCTGCAGAGCCTGGGTCCGCGACGCAGGTGGCTGGAGGTTAGATAGAGAGCGATTTGCATTCGCTGCGCTGGAGCCGTCCATGATCAAACCTCGCACCAAGCTGGAGTGACACTGACCTCCTTCGACTCGAACTCGGCGCTCAGACCTAGACAATATCACAGATACGGACGGTCAGCGCTGCAGAGGCAACATCCGAACGAGTCTGGCGGCTGTTGCTGGCGAGAAACCCCATACTACGACTTGATATCAAGCCGTGCTTGTTGAACCTACCGTGGGTGTATCCGTGGGCACGCTCGGGCATGAAGTTCTCTCCGGCTGCAATCTGGTTGTGTGTCGAAAGTGTTAGCGGCGTGAGGACGACGAGTCGTCTTGTCAGAACATGGAGCAACCCAGGAGCAACCAAAGCCCAGCTATCGGATGCGCCGTTGTCTAGCATATAAGATCAGCAGCAGCCGCACCTTGATTAGACCAGGGATGTGGTGGAGGTTGTTGATTTCGCGGATCATGGTGTCGATGGCCTCCTGAGGGACATCCTTGCGGATCTTGAGCAGAACTGCATTGTGGAGGGGCACGGCGATAGCGAGGACAGCACCGTCAGCACTCCAGAATCTCAGAGAGGCCGCGCAGTATTAGGTTTGGAAACCCAGCAGCCTGACCGAGGGCCTCAGACCGCGCCAGGAATGTTGGTTGGGTTTGCATATGAACAGGCGCGTAATCGAGATGGTGGGCTGTGTGGGCTGTCGCAGGGAGATTTGTCGGAGCCGCTGAGCGGGCTGCCGATCAGTGCCATCGCTCTCACCGGTGTGAATGACGACCATAGCGAAGGAAACGGAGAGCAGAAAGCGGAAATGCGCGAGCGGACGATGGGTGAGTATCCGAAAGCGCGGATGGCAATCAAGAAAAACTGATGGAGGGAAACGAAGCAAGATTCGATTTCAAAGCGAGAGAATCTGGCGAGAACGCAGGTGAGAGAGAACATCCGCCGGGCGATCTGGTCAACCAGTCAAAGGGAGTGCTGCAGACTGCATTAGCATTGCGATTTCGTATCGCAGTGCATCCGTCGCAAGCATCGGATAGTCCCAAGATAGTGCATATTCGCAGGGGCCATGTTCATGAAGAGGACGACTGCCGTGCAGATTCCCACAAAGCATCTCGCGAGAACAGGGCCGAGAACGCGGGCTTCTCTCTCGGCCGTTGGCTGTGCTCGATCGGGCGCAGGACTGCCAGCGAGCTTGTTCTCATCCCCATCCATTCATTCACCCATCCATCTATCCGCTCATCCGCCCATTTACCCTGCCCAAAAATGAGCCGGCTCCTGCTGCCCCTGACGGCCGGGGCTCTCGCCGGCGCCACGGCATACCATGTTTTGACCACCCAGTCGGACTCGGACTTTCAGTCGTTCACAAGAGCGCTGAACGGGATGCGCCAGGATCTGGACTCGTCACTGCCTCAAGACAGCCGCGAATCGGTATGGCTGGCGATTGTGGCCAGAGTGGTGTGTCAGAGGAAGCCGGCCCAGGGCTGCGATGCTGTCGAGAGCTGGACGCAAGGGAGCCGACATCAAGAGCCCGGACTTGACGACGGATGTGACAATCGAGCATGGGCCAGGAGCTGCCGAGCCAAAGTGCGATATCGCTAACGGGTTTGTCTATCCAATCAACCAACGGTCGCTATCGTGGACAAACGACTGCACGATATGTCTATGCGTGACTTGCGGTGAACGATTCTGGACTGAAAATGGGATGATCCATCGATGCATGGTCGGCAAACCTGCTTGTTACCGATAGAACCCCGCCGGCAGAGCCCAGGGCGACCGATCGGGATCGTACGTTTCCTACTATCTGCGATCCATCAAGTTGCCTGACTTTGAGCGCAGAAGCCGCGAGCTCAAGTCCAACTGGAACAGAGTGGTGTCGGAGGCGATCGACAAGATCACAGGCACGTTCTGAACAAGCACGATGACTTTGATGGCTGGCAGAGAGCCGTGTTCAGCCGAGCCAACAGCAACACGAATACAGCTTGGTGTCTCGATGGTGGACATGATTGACATGATGGACATGGTTTGTGGTCGGTGCATCGGCTGTCCAGGATACAACGGGACCCGCCATTTCCCTCGGACAAAAACACGCCGTAGTTGGATCGTATCATATCACGTACTGGCCCAAGTGTCAAATCAACCCCTGGCTGTCGGTCCCAGGGAGTTGGTGCCAGGCTCCAATATCCCATCGGCCGAGCTCGTCATACAGCGCAAGCCCTGATCGACACCAGACCGGCTAACATCATGCAATCCACACAAGCGATCTGCATGCTGAGGTGTCCCGTTTCAGAATGCCGCACTGTTACCCGTCGCTGCAACGGCGGGATCGGATGCGGGATCGGCTGCATCCATGCCGACCGCGTGGTCGACAGACATCCGGCAATGGCCGGCCGTTGCTCATGATGGCTCACCGTCTTGGCATGTGCGCTATCGACCGGGCCGGAGTACACCGCTCGGCCGTCACCGCAGGGCGCCGTCACAGGGGGCGGCACCACTGGGCCGCTATCACAGGGCCATCACACGGCTGGAGCGGTGACGCACCGACGACGGATTGTCGTCATGGTTCCCGGTCGCCGGAAAGCGGACCCATTTCTGCGCCGCCCGGCAAACGCCGCAAGGACACCTGGTAGACACCCGGTGGACACCAAGGACATTTGGAGACATCTGCTGGCGCTCTGCGGATGCTCCGGAGCTGCTCTGCTGATGCTCCGCTGATGCTCTGCTGATGCTCTGCTGATGCTTGGTCGATACTTGCAGACGCCCGATGAGTCTCGGATCGCTGCAGGCGACCCTCTCCCGCGGGTGGCATCTCGCTGGTGCGTTGCTGTTTCTCACGAGAACGCCTGTGTCGCTGTTCTGTGGTGCTCTCCCCCCGCCGCGTGCTGCACAGAAGGTATGGCTCTCGCCGGGACATCCCCGCCGCCGATTGGCCGCAGCCAGCCCCGGCCAGGTGAAAAGCGGGCTCGCGGCCTCGGTTTTTGCGGGCTTTGCGTTTTGCTTTTCGTTCTCTTCACCTGGATTGCCCCAGATCCGTCTGCTCTGACAAGCCTCTTCTCCCTCCCACCATGTCTACTCCCGCTCTCCGAACCGCTGCTGCTCGCGCTACCCGTGCGGCCTTCCCCTCCACCATCCTTGCCTCCGTCGCCAGAATGTCGTCCAACATCCGCGAGTCCGGCGGCTCCTTTGGCAAGCGCGAGGTTGCCCAGGAGGAAAAATACATCCACGATCACGAGAAGGATGTCCTGAAGAAGTTCAAGGATACCCTCGACAAGAAGGCCTCTGCTCCCGCTGCCGAGTCCGCCAAGCCCGAGGGTGCCCAGAAGCCTGCCGAGGCCGATTCCGAGCACATCAACCCCACCCCTGTGGACTCGAACTACGGCGGCAATGTCCGATCTGGCGGTGGTGCCTTTGGGTGAGTGATCCGGACCTCTCTCGGGTGCGACCGATCCATGGCTGAGGCTGCGAATGCAATCGCTGCAATGCATACGCGTGAGGGGCCAAGCACAGAAGGCGACCGGGGAGGGGAGGGCAAATGGCCGGAAGCGGCTTGGGGTGATCTCGCCGCCTGCGGACGAGCCGCCGCAAGCAAGATCGCGAGCGCACTGGAGTGCAGCACACCGGCATTGCTCCTGCATGGTATCTTTGCATGAGCAGGGTTGTCGCTGTGCCATGTCGAAATGTGGAGGCGATCGATCGATCAGGCCGATGCACTTGGTTGTTCCTGGGGGTGTGCCAGTGTATCGGTACCGCGAACCTGGTTCCTCTGGCGCAGGCCAGTCCCGAATCCACGATGCATTGTTACTGATCCTGACTCCCCTCGCTCTCGCTCCTGTGTGTCGCCCTATCGCCATCCACCGCTCTGGTTGCGCTCACCCCTCTGCAGCAAGCGCGAGGCCGTCCTCGAGGAAAAGTACTTCCGTGACCACGACCGCGAGCTCGCCCAGAACCTGCGCAACAAGCAAAAGTAAAAAAGAAAAAAAGCAGTTCTCCAAGTTTTGGCATTTCGTCCATCCAACGGGAGTCGATCCGATATTGAAGTGGTACATCCTCCACCCTCCCGACGGCTTGCGGCCAAAAATGCTGCGTGTGATCGACGTCGTCTCCTGGCGCAAGATCAAAGGCTCTGTCGGGGCAGTTGATGGAGCTCCAGGAAACGGTGGCAGGAAGCGCACCAGCCTCATCTCATTTTCTTCCGGCTTTCTGAGAGCATTCGTCAATACACCGGAGCTCATCTGTCTTCTGCGTTGGTGCTGGTGTTAGTGTTGGTGTTTGTGTTGGTGCTGGTGCTGGTGCTGGTGCTGGTATCGATCGCTGGTGCTGGTGTTGGTATCGATCGCTGGGCATCACCCTTGTCGCCCCGCAGATCCCGTGATCCTGGGCTGGCAATCCGCCAAGAGCGACAGCGCCGCACACACACACACGCGGCAGCACAGCGTGCCCACAGAAACAGCGTGCGCGCAGCACACGCCACGCACGTGCGCACCACGGCTTTCCTTTCCGGGAACCGCGTTTCTCCCACGCCGCCTCGGCCGATCTCGTCGCGCGTGTTGCCCACAAAAGGCACCGCCGTTTCTTTTCCCTCGCCAACCAGCCTCGCCCTCCATCTGCCCAATGTCCCCGGTCTCCAAGAAGCTCAAGACATCGCCATCCATGCAGCTCGATCCCAGTCCCAGCGCCAAGGCCCTGCCGGCCCTCACCCCCACCTCGGCCCCCGGCCAGCGAGTCACCCACGTCGGCAGCCCTGAAACCAAGAACCACTTTGCCCTCGACCGCCTGCGTCCGCTCTACCTCAACCCGCCCACCGCCATCGGCCGCACCATCACCGACGAAGCCCACGAGTATATCCAGTTCGACACCCAGCGCACCTTCCCTCCTGTACTCAAGCTCAAGAACTCGGAGCAGCTGCGCATCCTCGTCACCGGCGGCGCCGGCTTTGTCGGCTCGCACCTTGTCGATCGCCTCATGCTCATGGGCCATCAGGTCAAGTGCCTCGACAACTTCTTCACCGGCAACACCAAGAACATCCTGCACTGGGTTGGACACCCCAACTTTGAGCTCATCCGCCACGATGTCGTCGGTATGTTTGATCGCGGCCTCGGCCGTGTAGCTGGTGTGCTTTCCGTGGCGACGATCGTGCTGCAACAGGCTTTACAGCAGCAATGCGGCGAGGCGGCGCGATTGCTGGATATGCTGTCCGGAATGCGATTCGTCCTGCTGGCTGTAATTTTCGCTTGGGGACCGCCGGTTAGAGGCTGGGATTGCTCAAGCTCGACCTGTGGCCCTCCCCTATCCGGTTCATTACCCCCCCCGTTTTATTCCATTCTCTCTGTTGTTCCTGCTTCTTCCCTCTGTCTCGGGCTGCTTTAGAGCAAAAGAGAATTGGCGTTATCGCCGCGGATGCGACGGTCGCTTATTTTCTTCGCCCGCTGCCCGTTGCCGTCTCTATTGCTTCGAAATTGCGCCGCGTCATTGCGACCAGCTACCCCCCCCATCTGTGCCTCTGGAGTGCTCGTGAATTGAAGCTGCTGGTGGATCCAACGTCGTGAACCCGACGTCGTGGACGCTAGCCCGAGCCTGAAATGCAGCCCGAATGTTCGGCCGATATCTTAATTAACCTCCATCCCTGGTCTCGTTCGCCGCCGCCATAATCGCTGTCTTCAGAGCCCATCCTCGTCGAGGTCGATCGCGTCTATCATCTGGCCTGTCCTGCCTCGCCTCCCCACTATCAGTACAACCCCATCAAGACCGTCAAGACGAGCGTCATGGGCACCATCAACATGCTCGGCTTGGCCAAACGTGTCAAGGCCCGCTTCCTGCTGACCTCCACGTCCGAGGTCTACGGCGATCCCGACCAGCATCCTCAGTCCGAGAGCTACTGGGGCAACGTCAACCCTGTGAGTGCCATCATTCTCGAGTGGGCATGGCCTTGCTTTGGTGCACGGAGGGGATTTGATGGGTACTGTGTGTTGCTGTGTGTTGCTGTGTGTTGCTGTGTTGCTGTGCACGCTCACATTGCGACTGAGCGGCGCTATCACGGGTGGATGGGTGCGGGGAAGCTATAGTGCTCCGGCGTCCTCGGCTGTAGATCGCTTGGTGTTGCTTGGACGCACGGCCTTGTGCGCACGGCCCGAGCGACTCTGTCCATTGTTCCTAACCATCGGCCGCCCTCTCCCTCTGCTCGCTGACCAGATTGGCCCCCGTGCCTGCTACGACGAGGGCAAGCGTGTCGCCGAGACGCTGACCTACGCCTATGCCAAGCAGGACAAGGTTGATGTCCGTGTCGCCCGAATCTTCAACACCTTTGGTCCGCGCATGAACGAGAACGACGGCCGCGTCGTCTCCAACTTCATCATCCAGGCCCTCAAGGGCGAGGACCTGACCATCTACGGCGAAGGCGACCAGACCCGCTCGTTCCAGTATGTGCATGATTTGGTCGACGGCCTGATCGCGCTCATGGAGTCCAACTACTCCGAGGGCCCCGTCAACATTGGAAACCCCGACGAGTGCACCATCCGTCACTTTGCCGAGGTCATCAAGGAGATGGTCCAGTCCAAATCCAAGATCATCAAGCTCCCCCCCACCGAGGACGACCCCAGACGACGCAGACCCGACATCTCTCGGGCCAAGAAAGTGCTGGGCTGGGAGCCCAAGTTCTCGGTCCGCCAGGGTATCGAGGAGACGGTCGACTACTTCCGATCCATCATCAACGACATTTAAGCCACTCGCGTGGCTCTCTGTTGCTACACTTGCTCGTTCTGAACCCTTACTTTCTTGCTTTGAGCGCCGCTGTGTGGCCTTTCGTTCTCTGGATCGGCCAATCTGGTCTCGATGGCTTGCTTTGGCCAAACCATTGATCCATTAGCGGGATACAGCGTTTCCAAAATGAAATGGGACACCCCCGTTTTGAGCCATGAGAGTGCTTTTTCTGGAACCTGAATACACCCACCCACTCATCGCATTCATGGCCAAGCAAGTCTATCCAAGGAGACCGAAGTGGTGATTGCCTTTGGGAATGCCTCGTGGAAGCAGGGGAGGGATCTTCATCCAGTCCCAGGAGACTCAGGTTCGCCAGTCGATCATCGCCACAGGAGATCGACCGGGTGTATTCAAGACTGTGCTTCCCAAACCAACCAAAACAAAGAGATTGCCAACGAAGACAGGAGTGCAATGCCATGGCCTGCTCACTGGGCCTACAGTCAGTCGGCAGGGTTCAGACATCTGAAGCCAGGAAGGAACTGGCCCGTTTCTTTCTAGATAGACTCTACGGACAGCCCAGACCATCCCAAGATCCAAGGTCGCCATGAGCGTTACACTTTATACATGAGTAAACGGGATATCATCTCTATCCCGCATGTCGGTGTAGTATTCGATGGCTTGTGTCCGACTCGGTCACATACAATTCAACAGATCACCTCGACAGCCTCCGAGTGAAGACCACCGGTCCGCTCTCTGGTCACCACAATCGACCTGCACACAGTAGTGATGGGTGTGTATTCAGGTCCTTGAAAAACAACAGTCCTGGCTCAAAACAGGGTGTCCCGTTTCGTTTTGGGAACGCTATATTCGCAAAGCAAGGTATGGCACAAGCGGTTGAAGGGATTTCGCCTATCCGACAGGCCGAACTGGGTGCCCAGAGCGGCGTGCGGACTGCTTTTCCACCTCTCCCTCTGTCCAGTTCAGTTGGTAGGTCGTCGGGTGAAGCGGAGGTGGCCTTCATAATAGACAAGAAGCTAGACATCGAATAGCAAGGTTGGGGTGGTGATTAGGATAGCGTAATTTGGCAGCCATGTTGCCGGGGGGGGGCGCTGGTCGGTTCCTTTGCTCTCGGACGGTCGAGCACCCCCCCCGTCAGTTGTGAGCCACCAGAGCCTGCCGAGCCTGCGACCGATCCATGCGGACAAGGTCGAAGAGCTGGTCAGCGCACACCACGGATCTCCCATGCACCAACGCTTGCGCTTACTTTCTTTGGGCACTTCTCGTGGATGGTCTCGGATCGATGGATGGTCTGCTTGCCGTCTTTCCACTTCAGGACGACAACCAGCTGTCTGGACTCGTCCTTGGCTTGCTGGACATGCTCGATGGACTCGACATCATCCTCCCAGGAGACCTGGGCCCGAATATCCTCAGTCAGCTCGTTCTCGGCATCTGAGACAACCGAGTCTTCCGAGGAGTCGACCAGGGTGGCGACATCGGCAGCCGAGCTCTGGCCCTTGTGTGGCGAGCTTGTAGCCGAAGCAGCGTCCGAGTCTCTGGCTCTCTTTTTCTATCGACGCGGGAGTGTGCGGCCACGATACAAGTCAGAGGTCGGATGCGGGTCAGGGTCAGATTTGCGCCAAGGACTGGGTGGACGAGAGCATCCACACCCGCAAACTCGAGCGACTAGGGGGCCAGTTACAGAGCGACCACTCGGTTATACCTTGGAGCCAGAGTTGGATCCAGTGGCAGCCGCCCGCTTGGAGCTCGGAGTGGTAGGGCTCTTGACCTTTTGACTGTCCAAAAACTCCTTCAAGATCGGGCCATCCTTTGGGCGACAAATCGATCGATCAACATGAGTGAATAGCGGTGTCGAGAGTCAAAGCATGACTTGCCCAGTAGAGGGGCGGCGATGCTACGTCACAGCCAAGCCGGCCAGATCGCCCAGTTTCTGGCAGCTCGGCGCTTGTTTCTGCTGACCCAGCAGGAGGACATGGTGTCGGAGGCGTTTTGACTTACGCTGATGTTGTCCTGGTCCTCCCAGGTGGTTTCGGTGTAGCCAACCCATTTGATAAGGTACTGGGTTCTGCCCTGGAAAAGATCATGTATCGTAAATGCCTGCAGCGATTCCACATAGATCGGCGTCGACTCGACCGTCGGGCTGGGAAGGTGGTGCGCGAACCGCTGATCAGCGCCGAGGGTTGCGGGGGGCTGGTCGGCGTGTCCATTGCTGGGGGAGGGGAGCAAACATACCCCTTTCTTGCGCTGGTCGAGGATGGCCTCGACCTCGTACTCCTCCTCTTCGTCGTCCAGAACGACGGCCTTGGCGTTTTGAACCTTCTTGGGCATGGTGTATCGTCACGGAATCGAGCTGCGGCGGCGGCGGCGGCGGCGGATCGATGGGTCAACAGCGAGAGGACTGTCAGGACCCAGACATGCCCTTCTTCAGCACCAGCGGGCCGAAATGAAACAGGGCGCTGGTCAATTTGACTATTTTGGGCTCGGCGCGCGGCCGAGGGACGAGAGCATCTTCGAATCGAAGACAGGATCCGCTGGTTGCTCCTGCCCTGCGTTTCATGCTCCAGCATGCAGCATGCCGGCCATGCCTCCCTGCCGCTCGCTAGTGCTGCAGGATGACCGGCCGCACGGACGAGATCGTCACGGTTCATTGCTCCTTCAACCCACTCACAACACAGCTGTTCAGGTCCGTTCTTCACCACGGAGGCGATATATTGGGCAACCCTTGGTGCTGCAGTAGCCCTCGGCTCTACAGCAACTCTCGACTCAGCCCAGCTTGGGGGTGCCCGGTGTGTTGCCAGGAACATGCCGGGTCACGTAGATGCCCTGATCGACATCGGCAAACTTGGTGTGCTTAGGCTGGTAGTTGCCGGGTCGGTAGCCATCGGGCTCTGCCAAGGCGGCCGTTCCTGTCCCTGTCGATCGGAATGATGCAGATGTCATGCGAGATCCTTTGGACCCGAAGCCATAACTGCCAACAGCGTACCCATCCTGCTCAGCACTTTCAGCGGATCGAGTCGGGCCGGGCTGGGTTCTGCGGATATCAGACCGGTCGGCGGCAAACTCGGAAACTCGAGAGAGGCCAAGGTTGCTGCTCATGTCTGCCTCAGCCGAATCACCCTTGGCGCCGCCCATGAGGCCTGCGATTAAGCTGCTGCCATCGTCGGTGGTCTTCAGCACGCTCATGGCCTCCATGTTGAGGGCACAGAGGCCGCGCATAAATGCCTTCTTCACATCCTCCTGTTGCTTGGCTCTGTTACTATCGGACTCTTGCAGGCGCAGCGTCAGCGTTTCGATGCGGGCGTTGAGCTGTTTTGGGCAGGATCGGGGAGTTGGACTCAGTTCAGGCATGGAACCAGCCCTCAGTCGCAAGGTATTCAGGTGCAGCCCATCTCCATCGCCCGATTTCCTTTAGAGCTACATCGCACGACAGCGAGCAAACACACGATGTGGCTTCTTCCGCATACCTCTGCGATCCGCTTTTCGTATTCGGTTGCCAGTTTCTCCATGCTGCTCTCGGCCTCGCGACGGGCCTTCTTCTCGACGCTCCGTTTCCAGTGTATGCCGGCGACCCTTTGCCATCCGCGCAGGGCCTTGCGCTGCTGGTGTCGGATATGCTGTTGGCGTGCAAGTTGCTGCCCGTAGTTGACTTGCTGCCGGTGGGCATAGGCAACTTTCCACGAGGCAAAGAATCGCACAGAGAGGGCCTTTTCTCGCTGCGAAACCGAGAGGTATCAAGCTTGGTAAGCATATGCTGGAGTCCCACAGGAATCAGCAGATTCTTGATGCAAGGCACATGTCGTCCCCAGAATGCGTGGTCGTTCGGGCTATCATGGCTATCGCGGCTATCATAGCTGTGATGGCTGTGATGTTTGCCATGGTGGTCATGACTGTCATAGTGTACCTTGTAAACAATGTAGAGCAGCATCCGCTCGACGAGCTTGCTCTTGTTCTCGAGCATCGTTAGATAGCTGGCCGCGACGTTTTCCGAGTTTCTCAGCTGCGCCGTCAGATCGTCGATCAGATAGCTTGACTGGGTACGCAGTGTCTCTGCCTGCTGCGAATGCTGCCGAACAAGGGCTTCCCGGGAGGTTCGGAAATCGGTCTAATTGCGACGGGTAGTCGGGTTGGTGGGAATCGCAAGGGCGTCTCGTCGTCTCCAGCTCTGCCGTGAAGGCCTGTTGCGTGGGAATCGCCACAGGACCCATCGCACTTACGAGAATCGATTGCTTCAGAACGTTGGTCCAGCCCTCGAGGCACTCAGCAAACCGAAGCATGGGGTCATCTCCCTCCCTTGCGTCTGGTGCCTGTATCCTGCTGTTTGATGTGGACGGCCTTTGGGGCGGGGCGGTGTCCGTATGTACCGACAACGCTTCGACCTTTGGCGATCCGAGTGTGTGCATTCGATCTGCCGCCAATGCAGCCAGCGGCTGATAACCGGCGGGCGAGTCTTGGGCCCTGGCTCGAGAATCTTGGACGGCGAACGGATCGGCGTCGACCCCTCCGGGTGGAGGTCGCAGCCGCACGTCTCGTTGACCGGCTCCGTTCGCCTGGAGTATGTGTGGTTCAAGACGCCCGGCAGATGCAAATTGGGGACTAGAGTAGCCTGGATTCACCAGCGGGGCTGGACCACGAGACGAGACTGGCTTTCGGAACGAGTTGTATGACTGAATCGATACCTCGTCTGTGGAGACGGCGGGAGGGGTGGATCAGCGAGGCACATGCAACAGATCATCAGAATCGAGCCCACCCGGAGGACGGAGGGCAGCTCGCCAGAAGGACATGCCCCGTGCTCGATGTTGCTCCTCAGTGCCTACCATCATACTCGGATGCCGACTCATGGGCTCGCATTCCTGTGTGTCGCCCAGACCCGTCGGTGAACAGACGATCGTCACCAGGCTGCTCGTTTCTTGAATGGCTTCCCAGACCCGAAGGTTCCGGCGAGACGGGGTCGAGCATGGCGGCATGTTTCAGATCATGAGGCTCCAGAAGAGAGTCGCCGAGGCCATCGATTGGACTTTGCGCAAAGATGCCGTCTGCAGAGGGCTCGAGCGACATGGGCTGGGCGTTGCCGACAAAATCTCGGGGCTGTTCTTCGTAATTCATGGCCCGCCGATTGAAGACGGGGGAGATAGCAATGCTGGAGGTGCCGGACTGGGGCAGGATCTGGGGCAGGATCTGGCGAGAGGCGGATGTGATCTTCCCGCCCATCCGCGGCTGCTGTTGTCGCTCGGCAGCTCTGGCCGACCAGGGTCCACCCGGGTTGGGCTCGGCGACGGCAGGGCGGGATCGACGGGGCTGATCGATCTCGGAGAGCATCGATGCAATGCTGCTGAATCGGCCTTTGGATCGCTTGTCTCGAGGTGTCGTCGCCCGTCTGCCGATCGCCTCATCGCCATTCTGCATTTGCTGCGATTCTGCACTCGCAGCGGCCCCACCAGCTGCATATCAGTAGCCTGCTGCCAGCCTACTGCCGGCCTGCTGCTAGCCTGCACTCGCTCTGCCCTCGGATTCTTTGAATCTCCCGCCAACGCACCACCACCATCGTCATGAAGCTCCGGGCACTGCTGGCTTCGTCCCGGCTTGCCGCACGAGGGGCTTCCCGCAACCGAGGTCACTTTTGCGTTGGCTGCTCTTCTGTGTGCCTCACGACGGTCTCGGTTGGGCTTTTGATGACCATCCTGGCTGTGTCGCCGTCGGTCTTTCTCTACTTTGCCGAAACCATCAACGGCGAGTCGGATCTCGAACTCTGGCCCCGCGGCGAGTCTGGATGGCAGCGGCTCAACTACACTCGTATTTCCCAGGCCCTGCAAGACAGCAGCATCGCTCCATACCACTCGCCCCGTTTCTCAAGCATCGGCCTCAAGACCTACAATCCAAAACTCTGTCTCGGCTTCAGCGCCAGCACACCCTCCCTGAGCAACTTTACCTATGAGGGCCCTGACTCCTCTCCGGGCGACTCTGGCGATATGACGACCCTCAAAGCCAGCGCGCGCTCGGCATGCCAAAGCTCGCCCAGCCGCTGCATGGACATCCTGTGTGCCAAGTCAGTCGATGCCTACGTGTGGATCATTGACTCGCAGAAAGACGCCGACATTGGCATCAGCACTTCTTGGGGTCTGCCGCCTCTCCCTGCCGGTGGCATCTACATCAACACTCGCGCAGCCAACAGCCTTCAGGTCCAGGCCGGCGACTACATCTTTGTGCAGCTTCCCGATAGCCTCCTGCCGGCGACCCTTGACAGCGCCCGACGCTCGGCATATGCTGCAAACTCCTCGATTCTCGTCAACGCTACGTTTTCGAATGGCAACCCGGTGCCCTGGGTTACGAACGTCCCCTTTCGCATCATCAGCGTCTTTGACTCTGGAGGCACATACAAGTTCCCCAAAGGCTACCAGAAGAACAGCGTCATGGTCTTTGAGCTGCCCATGATGCTGGAGAGCCTTGCTCCGCATATCCACCCACAGTACTCGAGCGCCTATGCGTCGGCGCTCCTGGCTGAATCTGCAAGGCAGACCCACTATGGCGAAGTCAGCGATACGATCTTTGCCTGCCCAAGCCAGCCTCGGAGTGCCTGCTACATGGACTCGGACTTTTCTGTTGTTGCCCGTCGCCTAGTCGACTGGGCCGGCCAGGTCTCTGAAGCCGTCGGCATCGATAGGTCAATGTTTCGCCTGTCCCAGATCAATACGTTACGTCAAGCAGCCGGCCTGTCCAAGTTCCTCGGGCTGGTTGTATCGCTGGTGGTGATCCTGTTTTGTGGACTTTCGTGCTTCTTGATCTACAGTCTGTTGCTAACCTTTGTGCAGACGCAGTCCCATGACCTCGGCATCCTTCGCATGGTTGGTTCAGGGAGATCGGTGATTGCTAATCTGATCACGGTATGTTTCCAGACCAACAGCGCAATCGTCATTTGGAAGGTTCTTGATAGTTCGGTGACGGCGTTTCTTGGGTCCTCTCGCCGTTTGATGTTGCGAGTCCGTCCCGTGCCAACTGAGTGTATCAATTCTGACCCGCCTATCATTCCGCCATGCCGACCCGCCTGCTGCTGGCGTTGCATAATCTCCATTCCGCTCTGCACTTTGCCCTCAAACCGCGGTTGCAGCTGAGTGCTCTGAGCTACTCTCTTCCGGCGTGGGTCGCTGGCACAGTTGCAGCCCAAGCTCTCGTCGTCGTCGCCCGGATACTCTTGTTACGATTTCTGGATTTTACGATTCCATGGACGCTGTCGCTACAGGCAGTCGTCGTCTCGATTTTCCTGGCTGCGCTGGTTCCGCTACTGTCGTCACTGCAACCCATCGCCATGGCCGTCTCGAAGGATCTGCATAGCTCCTTGGTTCTGTCTGCCGCCCGTGCCGCAACATTCACCCAGACTCTGGACCGAGGCTCGATGCTCGCCGGACTCTACGGCTCGTTGAAGTATCTTGTTGGATCGCTCGTCCTGTCGATGGCCTGTTTCTTGGTGTACATTCTGCTCCCAGAGTCTCTGGCGATCGAGAACCTCGGAATGCTGTTTTCGGTATTTCTGGGGCTCATCATCGTCGTGATCATCGGGCTTGTGGCTGTCTCGTTCAATCTACAGCCGGTTCTGGAGCACTGTGTGCTGTACTTGATATTTTCGGCTTTGTTCTGGGAAGATGGAGCCTTGTCGGCACTCATCAAGAAGAATCTGGCGGTCCACCGACGCAACAACCAAAAGACAGCGGCAATGCTGTCGTTGGCCCTGGGATTCATTTTTTTCCTCAACATCAATCTCGACATTGAGATTCGTTCTCTGCAGTACAGGTATATGGTCGATTTGGCATGGTCTCTGATTGCATTGTTTCGCAGCCATAAACGCAAACGAAAGCTGGACTTGGGCTGGACTTGGCCAAGGAGAGTGGCGGCTTGTTTGAGGTGTCAGTGACGCAGGGTCGACATCATTTGAATTTATCCCGAGTGAGACGATCAGCTGCGCTGACTTGAGTCTCTGTTGCCGCAGCTATACGCAGTCGGTCGGGAGCGACGTGCGAGTCAGCATCAACGCTGTCGACGGCTCGACCGGCTTGGCTTTCTCCTTGGCAAGCTTGAACCAAATCGAAGCCTTTTGCCAGTCCCGCCCAGACTTGGTCCTCGACTGGTCATATGTCTCATACCCGCTCACCGCTTTGTTGGCGACAGTCTTGTCCGACACCCTGGTCAGCAACGTCGGGCAGCTGGTGTCGTATCCCGTTTCGATTGTGGCGGTATCTCCAAACTACTTTGACATCGGCAGCAATGGCCCCGGAACAATATGGCCATTCCAAGTTGATCCGGACCTGTCGGCACAGTATCCTTCGATGAAGCAACAGCTTTACTCTGCCAAGGGCCTGCAGTCCGCCGTTCTCAGCGCAAACTTGCTGTCGGCCCTTGGGTTTGTGCGAGCTTCCTCGCCGACAAACTACTCGTGCCCGTTTGTGACTACGACGGCTCTCCAAGTGGATGGCTCGACTGTTCAGTCAAACATGTCGACACTCTATCCCCTGGGATTCTTAGAAGACTGCTATCTCTGCACAATGACGCAGTACCCCACCTCTAGCGCCACGAGCATGCTTGTTTCCTTTCCGACATATCTGCAGCTTGCCCAAGGCATTCTCGAATCCGTCGGCGACATACCTATTCAGTATCTGCTTATCACGGCCACCGATCCGTCCAATAGCAACCAGATCTACAACGGGCTCCTACAAATCATCGAAGGCACTTTGGACGACATCACCACGGTCGCGATCGAGACCCAGGCTGTCGACACGATCCAGCTGTATCTTGGACCGATCTTCGGGCTCGCGACTGTGCTGGTGATGCTCGTTTCCTTGTTCAGTCTCAACACAGCCATGTACTCCAACATCCATCAGCAACTCAAGGAAATATCGATCCTGATGGCCATTGGACTGAGCCAGCGACAGCTCCTGCGCATCTTTATCTACGAGGCGTTCATAGTTTTGATGGTATCGCTTGTGCTGGGAGCCGGTATCGGACTCTCGGTTGGGTACAGCATGGCGGCGCAGAACTCTGTCCTCGTTGAGGTTCCGGTGACTCCCCGGTTTCCGACCGAGGTGGCAGGCGTTGCAGTTGTGCTGAGCACTATCTCGGCTCTGGCAGCGACTTGGGGTCCCTTGCATGCTTTGGTCGTTCGCCGCTCGATCATCGCCGGCCTGAAATCCACTTGAGGCATGCGCCAACGAGATACTATGCCGATCCCACATGTCGGCGTCGTATGTGATGGCCTGCGTCTGGCAATATCATATGCAATGAAATCGATCACCTCGGCAGTTGTGTCTTGGAAGTAATGGAGCTGATGTAGCAGCTTTCTATTGTTCCCAGATAGCTTATAAAGCGGAAGGTGGGCTTTTACATCTCATTTGTATCATACGAAAATAGTGCAAACTGTGTAATCAAAATAAAGAACAAGGAATCAAACCAAGCACATAAAGAAACAACCGCTAAAGCTCATGGGGCGACGCTCATTCGTTAACCCAGGGTCGACAATCTAAAAGTTGGCGGTGGGGGCAACGAGCGGAGTCGAAGCGGTGATGGTGGCGGCTATGCTCGATACAGAGAAGATCAAGCCCGAGGGGGTGACAGTGGCAGTCACGGTCTCTTTGATGACGTCGGTGAGAGTAGCGGTAAAGGTAGCGGTGAGGATGGAGGTAATTGTATCGGTGATGGTGGCGGTGGGCAGGGCTGTCGAAGTTGGGATGAAGACTGTGGATGTGGCAGAAGTAGGCGAGGCAGTGGCGGACGTGCGGGTGGACGGGAGAGTCGAAGATGGGAATGTCGAAAAAGCCGTGGTAGTGGTGGTGGTGGATTTTGAAACGGAGGCCGAGGCAGAGGCAGAAGCGGACGCAGACGAGGAAAGAGAGTGAGAAGTAGAGGAGACAGTCGACGAGGGAGAAGACGAAGAGGAAGAAGCGTGGGTAGAGGAAGCCGAGGATGTGGTGGAGGACGAGGAAGCAGGGTGGGAAGAGGGGGCAGAGGAAGTAGTAGAGGAAGAAGCGTGGGTAGAGGAAGCCGAGGAAGTAGTAGACGAGGAAGAAGCGGGGTGGGAAGAGGAGACAGAGGATGTGGTGGAGGACGAGGAAGCGGGGTGGGAAGAGGACACAGAGGAAGTAGTAGACGAGGAAGCGGGGTGGGAAGAGGAGGTAGAGGATATGGTGGAGGAGGAAGAAGCGGGGTGGGAAGAGGAGACAGAGGATGTGGTGGAGGACGAGGAAGCGGGGTGGGAAGAGGGGGCAGAGGAAGTAGTAGAGGAAGCGGGGTGGGTAGAGGAAGCAGAGGATATGGTGGAGGAGGAAGAAGCGGGGTGGGAAGAGGAGACAGAGGATGTGGTGGAGGACGAGGAAGCAGGGTTGGTAGAGGAAGCAGAGCTTGTGGCGGAGGATGAAGAAGAGTGAACGCTTGTAGCAGTGCTCGTGGGGGTGTTCGTCGGAGTGGTGGTGGGAGTGGTGGTAGTAGTGGAGGATCTGATGGTTGTCGGAGTGGTGGTGGGAGTGGTGGTAGTAGTGGAGGATCTGATGGTTGTCGGAGTGGTGGTGGGAGTGGTGGTGGTTGTGGTAGTTGTGGTAGTTGTGGTGGTTGTGGTGGTTGTAGTGGTTGCCTGCACCGACGACGAGGGGCTCGAAAGCGGAGGAGCATAGCAGCCTTGATGGGCATTCGACCACTGCTTCTGAACAATGTAGTTGTTTCCGTCGGTGCCGGTAATGGTAGCATGAATGTGATTGCAGAGATCGCCGATCTCGTTGCCGTTACCATCGGTCCAGCCGTTGAAGATAGGGTCGGTGATGGTCTCGAACAGCTCATGGGACGAGACAGATTGCAGGTTGTTGAGGGTGGAGGGATCGCTGCCGCATCCGCCCGCGCATCCGCTGGTACTCAGGTCGGGCATGACGCCGTAGGTGAGGTAGTAAATTTGGGTTCCGGGAATATCCCCGATATAAACGGCACTGTGGAAAGCGCAGAACACGACGCAGGACTGTTCGCCGCCAGCGGTAATGGTGTACCCGGGGGGAAAGTGGATAGGGTAGTACGTGTTCTGGGTGGGGACCAGAGTTCCGCTTGCAACAAGTCCATGGAGCCAGGTCTGGTTCACAGCAATGAAGGGCCATTATTAGTAAAGTTGGAATGCGATACGCATCAAACCAGGGTCCGTGAGTGATTCATGCTGGCTGCCGATCAATTGCTCAATACCCCCGAAAGGGCAACTGTACCTGGATGGCGGAGTTGTCGATGGTAGTGTTGGGACCGATACTCTTGACGATCGAGGACGAGAAGGTGCCGGTGCCAATGTTTTGGCTCGGGGTATCGTACTCAGACACTGAGGCAGATAGAAGTGTAAGAGCGAGGTACATTCGATAGATGTCAGCTTAGACATCTCCCACTCGATGAGATGGCCTTGGACTCGCAACCATGCAGAGACTCGGCACACAGACGGAGCAAGCACGTACGCCAAGCCAGGTAGGACGAGCCGACGATTGCACTATAGAAAGTGTTGAGCTGGCTCTGGTAGTTCACGTTGCTGCCGTAGTAGATGGGGTGGACGTTGACGTTGGGGACAATCGGTCCGCTGCCGTAGATGAGCCGGGTGGTGGTAGTGGTGGCAAGGTTGCTTGCACCAGGGGCACCGTCGAGGTACTGGATGCCGTTGGGGCGAGGCGAGTCTTGTCTGATTCGGAGCTTGGCGGCCGGGAGAGCCGCAGCGGTGGCCGAAAGCGCCAGCGCCAGAAGGGAAGCCTGCATGGGGAGCATTGGCGGAAGTTGGTGCAGGATGCCGGGCGAGTTTGCGGGAGAGCGCAGGAGTCGATGTCGAGAGCGCCGTGGTTGGCAAGCGGCCCTGCGGTTTTAACTGCCCCGGCGTCGTTGCGGCAGCCCAAGGAGCAGCAGCGCGAGGTGGTGGGAAATCTGCCGGCCGAACAAACGTGCCTGGTCAGGGCCAGAGACGCGCGGGCATCGTGGCACACGTTGCAGTGGGGGTGCCTTTGTGCGAGAGCGGCCGCTGCATTGTGGTTATGATGGAGCGCCGCTTCCATCCGAGGCCGGCGAATGCCACTGGCAGAGCCAGCAGCTGCCTTGGAGCGTGGCTGCCTGGTGGCTGCGACGGAAAGGGGGACATGTGGATCTGGCTCGGTGCCTGCAGACACGTTCCGGCGATCGGTTTGGCCGGACCAGCGCCGATTGGCAGACCAGCGAAGCCGTATCGGCAGCGATGCCCGGCACGCCGGGATACGTGGAATATCCAGGACAGGCGGCGGATCCGATTTCTGCAGGCACGCCTCGGCCGCAGCCGTGCTGCTCGTCCGGAGGAGTCGTTGTTGGTGGTGCAGACCGCAACAGGCAACCCATCCCTGGCACGTTCGAGCGGTGCGGGTGGTGGAGAGGCCCAGCGAGATCAGCGGCCTTGAGCGGTTGATTGCGAAAGCCTGCAGCGCAAGCACCACGGGGACAAGTACCTCATACAGCCGCATCGTCGTCGTGGCCGTCGCTTTTGCCAGGCCGATGGCGAGGACGCAAAATGGCAACGCGGAGATCGAGGACAGCAAAGACCATGCAATCATCTGCTCATGGACCGCATGTTGGCGACGGCTGATCGCGCATGGGACTCTCCCTGGCTTGTCGTGGGATCGCCTGAAATCGCCTGAAATCGCCTGGGATTGCCTGGGGGTGGGGCTGCGACGCAGAGCTGTCCCGCCGATGATTGCGGTTCAAGCAACCGAGGCATACCTGACAAGACTAAAGCACACCAGGGCAAGAGGCCCTGCTGTCCCACCAACGTCCTGGTCAGGCGATCGCTCAAGTATCCAGCATCGGCCCGCCTGCAATCCAACTTTGCCTGCTGCCGCCTTCGTCGCTCGGCCCACCAACCAGTCCATCAACCGGTCCATCAACCAGTCCACCAACCGGTTCATCATCGACGCAGCCCATCGACGCAGCCCATCGACGCAGCAGTCGGGCGCTCCACCAACCCAGCACCGATTCAGTTGCATTTGCCCCGCTCGCCATGTCGCAGCCCCAGTCCAAGGGCACCAAGGCCGCCATGGGATACCATCCCACCACCATCGGCACCCGCTCGCCCAACCCTCTCGGCTTCCTGTTCCTGTCGTGGCTGCTGCCGCTGCTGCGGCTCGGAGCCTCGCGCCCGCTCGTCTTCGAGGACCTCTATTCCATGAAGCCCAAGAGCCGGGCCTCGTCGCTGAGCCAAGCCCTCGAGGCCTCTCTGCGGGCTGCCCCTGGTGCCGCGGATGCATCGCAGCCTCCCTCCAAGACGGCCTACTCCCGTGCCTTCATGAAGTCGTTCCTGCCCCGATGGTGAATGCCACTGCCTCGCATGCTCTTGTTCCGGGGGGGATTGCTGAATGCCGGCTGCCACTCACTCATCCACTCGGCCATTCATGCATCCACTCACTCATCCACTTACCCTTGTCTGTTCCCTATCCTTCCCCTTCCCCTCGTTCCGGTTCCGGTCGCTTGACATCCAAGGTTCCTGGGCTTTGCCTTCTCGGCTACCGGCATGCTCGCCACAGTCGCCACCCCGCTCCTCATGCGCCAGATCGTCCTCAATCTCTCGGGACAGCCCACCTTTGTCCAGAACCCGTACGGACTGGCCTTCCTCATGTTCGGATGCACGCTCGCTGCCGCAGTCTGCGCCGCTACCAGCACCCAGATCATGACGGGCATCGCCATCGATGTCCGCACCAGCCTCATTGGCTTGATCTACCAGAAGGCGCTGCGGCTCTCGGTCAAGGCATCCAAGAAGTTTGATGAGGTGCCATACTCGTCGTTCTCTGGTGTTGTGCATCGGATGATTCGGCCTCGCCACATCCAACTACACCGCATGTACCCCCAACGCATCCATCTGCGTCCTGTCAAGGCTGCTGCCCGGTCCTGGTCGCCCACATCGACTGGATTTTATCGGCCTGCCTGCACACAGACTCGTCCACACAGACTCGTCCGCGGCAACTGACTCGCTCGCGCTCATCGGTTTCTCCAGGGTGCCCAACTTGTCTTTGTCAATGTCGACAGCCAGGCCGTATACGACACCATCATTTACTTTGACTCGTGCATCAACACTACGGTCCAGGTAGAGTTGCATCTCACCATGGATGAGGTCCACGGCTGGATGAGGTCCACGGCTGGCTCGCTGGCCGTGCAATCGGGAGCGATGACCATCATGATTGACTCGCCGGCTGATGTGGCGCAATCATGCCCTTTCTCTCACCCGACGCAGATTGCCCTGGTGATCTACTTCATATACACTCTGATCGGACACTACATCCTGATTTCCGTCTATGTGATGCTCGGCGCCCTGGTCCTGCTTGCGGCTTGCACCGTCTTTCTGACGCAAAGCCAGAAGAAGATGCTCGCCAACAACGACGACCGCCTCAATCTCATCCGCGAGGTGTTCATGAACATCAAGATGATCAAGCTGCGCGGATGGGAGCTCATCTTCGAGTCCAAGATCGACGTTATCCGGTATGCCCCAGCTCTGACCATTCGTTTCTCTCCACCGTGCCCAGATATGCGCATCGCTGATCCACCTGCGCGTGCTCCCTCGATTCCCCTCCCATCGATCAGCGAGAAGATGATGCGAGGCATCAGCGCATACTTGATCAGTATTTTGCTTTTGATTACCGTCAACCTTGTAAGCCAAGCCGTGCTGGGTTGGGTCAAACAAGAGCTTTCGACTGTGTCCGGCTGGCAGTCACAGAGCCATTCACCCCAGATATCGCTGGCTGCGGTGTGGTAATGTCCCAGTCCCATTCAAGGTACTGCACGCCTCTAACCAGCTCACTCCCTTGTCGCTCACAGGCAGCTCCGCTTCTTTTGCCCGTCATTACTTTCATCGTCTACTCGGTAAGTGTGTTTATTGTGCTTGCTGCGAGCCTTTCTGCGACGGTTCTTTGTGCCAATACACTCCGTCAGCCATCAGCCACTCACAATCACCTGTTCCACTGCAGATGAATGGCAATCCTATGCTTCCAGAAGTTATATTCCCAACCTTGACATACTTTTCTTTCCTTATTGCTCCTCTCAACATGCTGCCAGTCGGCTATGGGTATGTCGCTGCAATCGTGCGTCGCAACTCTGTTCTTGCATGATTTGTTCTCCGCGGTATCGATGCGGACTTCATTTTGGATTGTGCTGGCCATGCCGACTTGGATCCGCAATCGATCCACCTGCGTCGCTCTGATGCTGCTTCTCCGACGATCAGTAAATTTGCCCAGGGCCTTGTCTCCTGGAATCGACTCGTGGCTTTCTTCAATGCCGAGGAGTCGTCTGGTGACTCGGCTCCGCTGCTGGCTGCCGATGTTTCCACGAACATATCCGCGGCCATCGCACTCAAGGACTGCACCTTCCGTTGGGAGACCAGCGAAGAACCCAGCACGAAGGACGACGCAAAGAAGAGTTTTGGGTTCAAGAAGAGCAAGCGCGACCCCAAAGAAGAGCTTGTGCATGACAGCAGCCTTGATTCTCCGTCGACCCAGGGGGCTGATGATGCACCCGCGACTAAGACTGCGTTCTCGTTCGAGGGCCTTGACGTTGAAATCGCCCGTGGATCTCTGACCGCTATCGTTGGCCGCGTTGGCTCGGGCAAGTCGTCCCTCCTGACGGCTGTCTCTGGACAGATGACCAAGGTCCAGGGCACCGTCCATGTCAACGGCAAGCTCGCCTACTGCAGCCAGCAGCCCTGGATCCAGGCCGCTAGCATCCGCGCCAACATCCAGTTTGTGTCTCCCGAGTACGACGAGAAGCGCATGGCCGAGGTCATCACCGCATGTGGCCTCGAAGCCGACATGGCCCAGCTTGCCGGCGGCATCGACACCCAGATCGGCGAAAAGGGCATCAATCTCTCTGGTGGCCAGAATGCCCGAGTTGCCCTGGCCCGTGCCGTGTACAGCGACGCCGACATCTACCTGCTCGACGATCCCCTCGGTAAGTCGCCACACGATGCCAGTGGATTGGCCAAGCTCATGCTGCTGTCCGTGCTGCTCATGTGGTTGTTCGCATCGCTGCCCATGTGGCTCGATGGCGTCCACCCACTCTTGCATCGACACCATCCTGCACACTATCGCCATGGTTCCTGCCCACCCCCCACACACGCACTCATCATCACTGTTCATCGACCCGATGTCTCTCTCCGCATCGATACCGATCCGTCCAGCCGCACTCGACTCCCATGTCGGCAAGCATGTGTTTGACAAGTGCATCGGCCCCAAGGGCATGCTCTCCAGCAAGACACGAGTGCTCGTCACCCACCAGCTCCACGTTCTGCCCTCGGTCGATCGCATCATCGTCTTTGACAATGGCCGCATCGTCGAGTCTGGAAGCTACTCGGAGCTCCTTGCCAAGCCCGAGGGACACCTCAAAGAGATGGTCCAAGACCACAAGGTGTGCATCTGCATCCGGGCTTTGTGATCTTGCTGTGGGTGATGGCGAGGCAACGGGTCCCGATGATGATGATGTTTGGCATGTACGACAGACTACCGCCCGTTGCTGACGATTATCTCTGCTGCTTGACGATTGTCTCTGCTGCTCAGTTTGACTCTGACGACGAGCAGGAGCAAGAAGATACCAAGGCCGCTCAGTCAAAGGAGACGAAGGAGAAGACAGAGGCTGGAGAGGCCAAGGATCTGATCGAGGAGGAGGAGATCGAGACGGGCGACGTCCGTGGAAAGACCTATGTAAGTTGACTGGACCAGCAAATACTTTGAACGCATCGATCTGCTCACAGCCCAATAACGCTCTCTGGCGCGCTCAGGTGGACTTTTTCAGATACTCTGGCCGATACTGGACAGCATTATCTCTAGTTCCTTTGTTGGTACTCTTCACCGGAGTCAGCATGGGGAGTATCATATCCCTCAAGTAAGCGACTGTTCTTGTCCTCTCAGCGGTACCACTGGGTAGAAAACTGCAATCGGGTTTCTTGGAGGATACGCTGACACAGCCATCTGCTCCGCCCTGTCGCATCTCACAGCCAGTGGATCCTCGATTCAGCGAATGGCATCGATAGCATCTACCGAACCCTTTACATCGTTCTGTCGCTGCTTGAGACTTTCAGCTGCAGTAAGATGCGATTTGCATGTATGATGCCCGTCATACATCGTGGTTGACTTGTTGCTGACAGTTTGTCCTCCCCTGGATTGCTCCAGTCTCCAATTACTATATCGCTGGCTTCAAGTAGGTTTGACTTGTACAGGAGGTGCTCCGGGGAATGATTCGGCGGCGCCGACGGCAACGTGACACTGACATCTCGCCCACAGCTCCATCGTTGGATCGCGCAAGATTCACAAGCTGGTCATCAAGAAGCTGCTCAACTTTCCGATGCACTTTTTCGAGACCCAGGTGCGTTTGACACTGCCCACTGGATCCTGTGAGACCTGGCAAGTGCTTGCGATCCCCGAGCCGACCCATGGTCTCACCCTCCACTTTATCCCATCGCTCAGCCGCTCGGCAGAATCCTCAACAGACTCAGCAAGGACATTGAGATGCTCGATCAATGTATGTGACCCTGGACTTGCACGCTCTGCAACGAATGATTGGATTCGCCAACGATCAGCATCAACGATGAAGTTCTTACGCAGCACATGTTGCAACACGCAGATCTTTGGAACGTTGTGATGAATGTTGTCATCACAGCCAGTCTTATTATCACTGGCTCAGTCATAACCATTTATGCGACGCCTTGGATTGCTAGTAAGCATCCCGAAAGGACCTGCACCTGCGCTCGAGTGGTCTGCCCATGCGCTCTAACTCCGCGCTTGTTGATTCCGTGCTCCAGTCGAGTTTGTGATCCTGTCCGTTGCTGTCTACTACATCTTCAAGTTCTACCGGTACGACTCGCGCGTCTCGAATAGCTGTGGCAGAGTGATATCAGTGCGGTGCTAATCCTGGCTTCTCCCCGGCCAACAGTGCATCGGTCCGCCAGCTCAAGCGCCTCGATTCCAACATGGTGAGTGGCACCACATCACCACGCATGTTTGGCGCTGTTCTGTGGTGTCGTTCATAGCCCACTCGACTCGCTGCATTCGTGATTCTGGCTACATACGCTGTGGCAACTCACACACTACTCGCCTGTGCCACTCATCTCTCGCCAATACGTCATGCTGTCCACCAATCCCCCATGTCTCGGCTTGCTTGCAACAGAGGAGCCCGCTCTATGCGTTCATCTCCGAGTCCTTCAGTGGCGTCTCGGTCATCCGTGCCTTCCATGTATGTGTCCATGCCGAAATGCATCGCCCGCTCTGCCTGTCATGGATCGTGCCTGTCATGGATCGCGCTTGTCATGGATCGTGTCTGTCTTGTATCGCGTCCATCCCAAGACCATGCCAAGCACAGCCCAGTGCTGACTCTCTTTGCCTTTGTCGCAGGCCCAAGAGACCTTCATCGAGCGACAGCACCGCTTGATCGACGACTCGAATGCACCATTCTATCTCAACCAGCTGTGCGCCATCTGGCTCCGTGTGTGGATTGCGGTGAGCATGGTGCACTCTGGGTCGCGTGTGTTTGGCGCAGGTCCATCGATAGGTCGATCCATTGCACTCCGGCAACTGACGCCTGTTTCATCCCACGCCAGTCGTTCATGTCTTTGATCACGCTCGGTGTCATGTTAGTTGCAATTGGAACCAAGGTTCCTCCATCGACTGCTCTCCTCGCCTTGTTTTGCACGGTGGATCTTCCCAACCAACTCATTGTGAGTACTCGAGTTTGACGATGTCCTGTGCCTGCTACTGAGGCCGCTTCCCACATTGCTGTACTATGCAAGCGTCCCTCCTTTCTCCATACTGCGACGCCGTCCCGCCTCGCGTCGCTGCGCAAATCGCTGCTTGGGTGCGTCTGCGTTTGACACGAGTGTGACTGGATCCATCTTGGTCGACTTGCCAGAACTTTGGCCAGGCTTTCAGTCTGTTTGAACAAGGCATGAACACCATCGAGCGCCTGGTCCACTACATCGAGAACATTGACGGCGAGGCGCCAAGAAAGTGTGAGGCCGTCGATCCCCCGTCCGAGTGGCCCAGCAAGGGCGAGATCCAGATCAAGGACCTTGCCGTGGCCTACCCGAGCCATCCCGATCGGCTTGTTCTGAAGAACCTGAGCCTCGATATCAAGGCAGGCGAGAAGATTGGCGTCGTTGGACGCACCGGCAGTGGCAAGAGCACCCTGCTGACGGTCCTGTTCCGTCTGCTGGATCCCGTCGGCGGCGAGATCACCATCGATGGATTCAGTACGTCCCTGCACCATACCGATATGCAGTTGCGCATCTCCCGCAACTGTCCAGCTCTCGGTTGCGCGTTAGAGAGCAATCTGCACACTGCAGATCGCCTCTGGTCATCCTCTGCATATGGAGACTCACCTTGCACTCGAGGCTGTGCTTTGGTGCGCAATCGTCGCTCGCGCCACACCAGCCGATCAGGAATGCAAAATACTCACTGCCATCCTTGCCATCCAGAAACGGGCAACATTGGCCTGCACACGCTCCGCCAGCGCCTCCAGATCATTCCGCAAGAGCCCATCCTGTTCTCGGGCACCATCCGCTCCAACATCGACATCGAGGGCAAGTTTGGCGATGCCGAGATCTGGGAGTCGATTGGGGTATGTGACACTTCTGAGCGCGGTGCTGGTGCCGTGCTGCATGGCCATCCCTGCAGGACTGATTGTGTCGGAGCAACTCGTACTCACCCAGCGATGCGACCGCCACCGTGGCTGTTGCCTTTAGTTTGTCGGCTTGACCGACTACATCTCCAGTCTGCCCGAGAAGCTCGACTCTGCCGTCACGACGGGTGGCCAGGTGGGTGTGCTTGATGAGCGCTGGGAACGCAACGCTGGTCCGGGAGTCGATGGGATGTGGACTGCACAAAGCGGGCAGGAGAAGCGGCCGCCTCCTCCCGTTGGACCATGAGCAGTTGCCTTCTCACGCTCACCGCATATATGGCTCGTGCTGGGGAAGTGTGTCTGCTCTCTGACCAATCATACTGACTGATTCTCACCTCGTCACGACAGAACCTCTCCGTGGGCCAGAGACAGCTGCTCTGTCTGGCCCGTGCCATCATCTGCAAGCCCAAGATCCTGGTCATGGACGAAGCCTCGAGTGCCGTCGACGCCATGGCAGACACCCTGATCCAGAAGGCCATCAAGAGCAACTTTGCCGATTCGACCGTGATCAGCATCGCGCACCGACGTAAGTACAGGCACACTTGCTCATCGAGACAAGGCAGGGTCGCAAGCGACAGGGGCTTGCCGTTGCGACCGAGGGATGGTCGGAATCGATGGACAGCTGCTGACGCCTCGCTGGTCCACTCGCATGCATCCCCGCGGACTCGGAGCAGTGAATACCATCGCCGACTTTGATCGCATCATTGTGCTCGATGCGGGCAACATTGCCGAGATGGGCACGCCGCACGAACTGCTCGCCAAGGAAGGCGGTCTGTTTGCTGAGATGGCCAATGCAACGGGTCCGTCGAACGTGCTCAGGCTCCAGGAAGTCGCTGCCCAGCACTCGCACTCGACCCTGAACGAGCTGTGATGGCGGCGCAAATGTCGCTGTCCGGGCGTGCTGGGATAGCTCGGCGACAGAAACCAGTGCTGCATTCTCCGTTGCACATCGCCGTCGCCAGCAGCATCATCCTGTGCATGCTGGTAATATGACGATCGATTCCACAGCTGCATCGATCACCTTTGAACAAGGCTACACTCACTCTGATGCTATTGATGAAGCCTGTCGGCTTTGGGGGCTGGCTCGCTGGCTCTAGTGTTAGGCTCACAGAGTCGGTGGAAGGAGTCTGTCCGAGCGCTTTCCCGGCTGAGCGTTATGCCCCTGCCTCTCGATCCTGGCGATGGTGGCCTTCTGTTTGGGGATTTTCGTGGAGAGTTGTGCTGGAACTTGCGACAACAGCTGATGAGACAAAACCGCCGGATGGGACCGCTAGTTGAGTCACTGATGAAGCCACTGAAAGAGCCTCCACCCTGTCGCCAAAGTATCTCGAGCCTCGACCCTGTTTGGCCATTCGTCGAATTCATTTCCGATGCAGTTTATTAAATTTGCTCAGATGCCATTCAAAGTGAAGATCAGTGCGCAGTGTTGGGGCCATGTGGATTTGATGACTCTGGGTCCAGGATGCAACAATTCATCAATACTGACGGGGACTGAGGGGGAAGTGAACAACAAGCTTTATAATCCAATATAGACAAGCCGTACAAAATGAACACGCGCTATTCGGTTCATGGCTTGAAAGTCTTGAAGAATAGCTTGAGCTTGAACATGAACTTTTTGAAGCCTTTCCGAGGGGGTGGTGGGGGAGGAATGAGACCAAGCGACTTCTTCATCTCCTCGTGGGTCGGAATCGCACCGGTGTGCTTTGCCAGAGCGCCGACCATCACCCGCTTCTCGCTTTCGTATATCTGCTTGAGCTCACTCAGGCTTTGGAGAGGGCTTTTGGAGCCAGCGGAGGTGCCGGTCGCAGCGGTCACCTCGATGCTTGCCCCCTTTTCTTCCTCGATGAGATGGTTGATATACTCAATGATCGCATCGTTGTACAGTATGATTCCGTTTTCTTTGACAAAGGCAGAGTAGCTGGAGGCATTTCCTATGAGGCGTGCTTCTTCACCTGTGAGGCGAGAAATGGCGCTCCTGAGGGAGCTGATGGAGCTCTCGAGTTTCCTTCCCGCCTCATTCTGGCTGTTAACTTGGCTTGTGGCGTGTCTGTTCATGATTTTTTTGGTTTTATAGACGACCTCCCAGTTGATTTGCATGTGGAGCTTGAAGCTGCGACCGCAACTTGAGCACAATTCATTTTTGAACATACTGGAGCCTTGAAACAGTGGGTCGCCGATGACTCCGATGCGAGAGTTTGGCAAATAGAAGGGCTCGGCACACTTGGTGATGTAGTCGGTCATGCTCTTCCCATTCTCATCGCTGGTGTGCTTGACGCAGTCTTGGTGAGCGCAGACCAAAACATTGTGGGACAGAAACTTCTTGGCACCGTAGCTCAGATCGACTGTCAAGGCACTCCGAAGGTCTCCAGCGGCGGCTTGAGCTTCGCTGAGCGCCTCGACATGGTTGTTCAGTGCTCGGGTGTTTTTGGTGATAGATGCGCCGACCTCGATGATGGGCTTGCACAGCTCCAGGATTTTCTCTCTGGCCTTGTACAGCACAACCGTTTTCTCGGAAGCGTGGCTCTCGAGGCTTGCGATGGTCTCCAGGAGCCTGTGACACGCCATGGACGAGTTTATCCACGAGCTATGAAAGTCCCTTTGCTCCGCCTCTGTGAAGTTGACCTGTCCCCTTGCAAGGAGATATCGATAGGCCTCGTTGTCGACCATGAAGAGGTTGCTCTTGTTGATTGGGATGTCGACCCCAGAGTCGCGCTTGACCTCATTCAGCAGCTTCTTCAGCGCCGGCATCGTGTCTCCCGGACGGTAGAGAGTGCTTCTGGCATTGGTGAACATGAACAGGATGTTTCTGACACAGTCCTTGTGCAAGCTCTTGAGGAGTTCCTTGATGCAGAAGCGGAACCAAGTGGTCAGGCGGCTGTTGTTTGGCTTCAGTAGCATCAAGATGCCGTTGATTTCGGGATAGTCAGCGATGTACTTGATGATGAGGTCCATGTTATCCTTGTCTTGCTGGATACCGCGAGTGTCGCCCATGCCGGGTGTGTCGATGATCCGGCATATTACTTTGCGGCCGGTAGATAGATATGTGGTGAACTCATAAGTCCTGGGATGCTGCGTGCAGGAGGTGCCTACTACATGTCTCTCATTCATATGAGCGTCGGTGAGATCAGCCTCGCCGGCTTCGGCTTCGGCTTCGACTTCGACTTCGGCTTCGGCTTCGGCTGGATCTTGTGATGATCCTGGCAGATATTTTAAAAGATGCCGCCGCGGTTATTAGTCAAAGAGTTCGGAGCACATTTGCCGGCACATTCCCATCGGACCTGGCCATGTCACCCAGCTCGCTGACTGAGCACCTACCAGGAACAGAGTTGGTCACTGCGAGACGGTCTGAGGATATCTCGATTTCTTTGTCCGCATCGACATCATAGAGGTAGAAGCTCGTTGGAATGAGCGTCAGGGCGTCATTGAGGTTGATATCGTTGATGTCCTTGAAGGTGAGGTAGTTGGCCAAGGCGTTGATGAGGGTTGACTTTCCGACACCTGTTTCACCAAGGATGAGGATGTTGTATTCCAGAGGTAGGCTCTTCGGGCAGCATCTTCTCTGCCGGGACCTCTTCGATCAGCTCACTGGCCTCATCAGCCACTTCAGTGTTGGCCTCGTCGGCTTTGTCGAGGTACTCAAAGATACCGTCCGGTATTGATGGCAGCTGAACCTCGGACTCGGGCAGATGGCTCAGATCATTTGAACTTGTGGATTCGTCCGAGCTGAGGTAGGAGCTGTTGTTGCGGATGATGGTGTACCTTTGCCGCTTACTTAGAATCATTGGGAGAAATTTATTCAAGCCTGAGTCGTCGATGGCAGCGAGCATCTTTTGAATCAGAGAGACACTTTGGGAAGATGGGCGACGGGAAAAACGAGAATATTGGGGCTGACGTTCAACAAGCGCGTTCTTCCTGGACGAGCCGAGGGGGGTTTTATTGCTTTGAGCTGGAGCGCTGGAGAACGGCGTCGGCGGCAACACGAGCGGGTTGAATCGAGCTTCAGCCAGAGAGGCGATTCCCCGTCGTCACGACCAGGAAACGTGGACGGCAAGATAGCATATTATTGGCCAGGTTCTGGGTATCCCTCGAGCGCTGTGTGGCTCGTTCTGGTGCCCTCATCGAGCGCACATGGCCCGAGCGAACACGCATCGGGACATGGCCCGGCGTTCGTCAATAACCGTCATATTTTCTGATAATCATCATACACATGCTGAGCGGAGTCTCTTGAGGAGACCGCGCGCCCTGTTGGTCAGAATCAGGACAAGGGCGAGTGCTGCGCGAGTTCCCCAGCCGTGACACCAATCTTTGTGTGGCATTGCACCCCGGTGGCGTCTTTCTCTTGGGCTCGCCTGACAAGGCGGAGGTATCGGCCCGACTGCGGTATCGGCCCGAGGAGAGGCAGAGCAGCGCATCGAACGCCACCATGGGGTGCTGAGGGAGTTGTGCGGTCGCGGCCCTTGCTCACGATGGCATCACAACGAAACCCCAAGACGATGGGCATCGCTGCAGCAGAGAGGCATGCGGCATGTTCGGCTGATGGACTGTTGGGCGCATCGATGGTTCAAGCTTGTGGGAAATAACAGAGTCGCTACTCTCCGGATATTTTCGCTCTCTGGGCAGCTTTTTACCATGCTCCAACCAACGAGGGGAGCGTGAAAGAACAGTTTGAAATTGGAGCCATCTGCTTTATTTCACTTGCTCAGGTGCTCCAAGACACATACATGTCCACCAATCGATTATATAGACACACGCACATACGCAGAAAGTGAGGGAGAAAGGAAAGAGTGATGATCAAGGCTATTCAAGCCATCGGCTGCCATCTAGTGAGCACTAGAGGGAGCGCTTTTTTTTTTTTGTTACTATAGTCAACTTTATTTAAGAAGACAAGCCATCAGGTCCAACAGGTTGGTACCCCGGCACGTTGAGTACACAGGCAAGCCTATTTACTCCTGTTGCAGCCTAGTGCTGCCTCAGCTGCCCACAAGGTCTGAGACCAAGCGGGTGAACACATTTTCAAGCAGTTCCCACAAGGGAATAGCAGGATCGACGGGAGGTCGGGGTGGTGGAGTGACAAGTGCTGGCACTATACTACGCTGTGATGAGGGTGCAGGGAGAGACTGCAAGGGTGGGACTACACTGGTTGTGGGAGTGGGTGCTGGTACTGGGTGTGCACCAAGTGCGAATGCTCGGAAGGCAGTGCGGGGAGCGGGTACATGAGCAGCAAGCGATCCAAGTGCGGGAGGGGTGCGAGTGCGAGGGGGAGTGCGATCGAAAGAGAGCAGGTCCAGCAGCTTGTCCACTGGTCCCACTCCGGCTATACCACTTTCCACCCAAGTCGGGTGGGCCGTCTTGAGGGCTGCGACCTTGCGGACCAGGACTTGATGCGGATCCACACATTGCTGTGCTGTAAGGAGTGAACAAGCGCAAGGACGAAGACCAAGTGCTTGGTATGAGCTTTATTAGCTTTTAGCCCCGAACACCAAAGAACAAGTTTTGTTCGAACTGGTGTTCAACATAGGCTCAGACATGCAGGGCTATTTATAGACCGGGAGAAGGTCGAGGGGCAAAAGTGGGCGAGAAGGGTGGAGCATCACAGAGAAGCGAGAAGGGGGTGCGAGAGTGGCTGGTGTGCAAGCGAGAGAGGCTTGGCACAGCCCGGGGACATGTGCCGAGCGGTGGGGGAGGCAGGAAACCAGTAGACGCGGGTGGCAACGGCGCGTGCTCATGCATGGGGGCAAACAAACACGTGGGGACTCATGATTGGTGCGGAGGGCGAGAGCATGCGGGACAATCTCATTGGTCCGTTGTGATGCTGGTCATCACACTATCTCCTCCTTAAACTACGGCGTGTTCCATCTTGAGTTCTCCTGGGGCCAGGCTTGTCTGGGTAGCGTCGGTGGTACTCCGCGGCCACCGTTGGGGCAAAGACAATGTCGGCGGGCTCCCAACTTCGATCGGTGACCGGGTAGCCTTTCCAATCGATGAGATAGTGCAGCTTTCCGCGCACGAACTTGGAGTCTAAGATCTCTTCGACCTCCCACTCCAAGTTCCCATCGATGACCACCGCAGGGGGCGGCGCTTGCACCCGACCCGGAAGCGAGTTCTTCTTGTAGGGCTCAAGAAGAGACACATGGAACACCGGGTGCACCTTTATGTCCTTTGGCAAGTCCAGGCGGAAAGCCAATGTCCCGACGGCCTCGAGGATGGTGAATGGTCCAATCCTCTGGTAATCCAGCTTCTTGCTTGGGCGAGTGGTGCTGATGTTACGAGTCAGCACCCAGACTTGATCGCCCGGACGCAAGTCGGGAGCCTGGGACCTCCGGAGATCTGAGAAGTGCTTGTAGTCAGACTTTGCCTTCTCAAGATTCTCCTTCAACAGTGCCAGGTTCCGCTGGAGATGTTCAACCCTCTCCGTGGCAGAGGGAACATCAGGGCCGCCAGCGACAACGGGGACTTCGAACCTTGGGTGGAACCCATAGGTTGCCAAGAATGGCGAGGCATGTGTTGACGAGTTCTCGAGGTTATTGTAAGAGAACTCGGCCAACGGCAGCAGCTCGGCCCAGTCATCTTGCTGATACGACGTGTAACAGCGCAGGTATTGGTTGATGACCTGGTTGACCCTCTCAGTCTGTCCATCGGTCTGGGGATGGAAGGCCGTGGACAGACTGGTTTGGATCCCGAGCTGCGTGCAGAGTGCCTTCCAGAACCGAGAGGTGAACTGACTTCCTCGGTCTGAAACCACTGTGTCGGGGAGGCCATGGAGACGAAAGACATTGTCGAGGAACAGTGACGCAGTCTCCTCCGCCGACGGCAGTGAACGCCAGGACATAAAGTGTGCCATCTTTGTGAGGCTGCATACCACCACAAAGATGCAGGTGTGACCCTTGGACTTTGGCAGATCAGTGATAAAGTCCATGGTCAGTGTCCCCCAGGGTCGATCGGCTGTCTGGAGTGGCAACAGGAACCCAAACGGCTTGTGTCGCGGAGCTTTCGAGCGTGCACAGGTGTCGCACGTCGAGACGTACTCTTTGACATCTTTCCGATAGGTTTGCCACCAAAACTGTCGCGATACCAGAGCCAGAGTCCGTCGGATGCCTGGATGACCCACAGCGACTGGGTCATGGCACGACTTGAGCGCCGGAACTCGGCACGACTCTGGGACCACAATCCTGTTCTGGAAGGTGAGGTACTGGCCATTCCAGACGAACTTCGGGTCACGACGGTATTTGTCTAGACCGGGATCCCGAGCCTGCTCTTCGGCTATGAGCTGCAGCAAATCCACAGGGTCACTGCGACTTGCAACCGAAGAGCGGGCGTCTCTGCTTCGGAGCACGCGTATCACCGCGGCAGGATCGAGAAGCAGAGGCGGATGTGAGGACCACGACAAGCAACGACACTGGACGACCAGGTGCTTGGCGAACAACGATAAGCTATATTACGACTTATCAGATAACAACAAGTGTTGTTCGAACTGAAGATACAAAATGGGTGCAAGAAAGGAGGGGCTTTATAGCCAAGAGGGAAACCGAAGGGCGAAAGTGGGCGAGAAGGGTGGAGCGACAAACGAGGGACGAGAAGGGGGTGCGAGGGAGGCGGAGCATCCAGCGAGAGGGGCGAAGCACAGCGCAGTCGGAGGCGAAGTAAGAGTCATCGGCGCCAGCCAATCAGGGAATACACGCCAAGACAAACAAACATGACTCACGGTGCATCACGCGCAGCAGTCCACACGTGTTCCCAACGTGCATGATCATCACATCATCCCCTCCCCAAACTACGGCCACTCCTACGAACAATAAGTCCAGGCTTGTCGGGGTACCGGCGGTGGAAGTCGGCTATCTTGTCGGGAGCGTTAACGTAGTTGGCGGGCTCCCAGCTGCGATGATCAGTCGAGTAGCCCTTCCAATCAACGAAATAGCTCAACTTACCGCGGACCAGCTTGGAGTCGAGGATCTCCTGAACTTCATACTCCAAGTGGTCGTCGACGCGGACTGGCGGAGGAGGGTCTTGGATGCGGCCGGGGAGGGTGTTCGACTTGTGGGGCTCGAGGAGGGAGACATGGAACACCGGATGGATCTTGAGATCCTTGGGAAGGTCGAGGCGGAAGGCGAGGGAACCGATGGCTTCGACGATCTTGTAGGGTCCGATGCGCTGGTAGTCCAACTTCTTGCTTGGACGGGTGGTCTTGATGTTGCGTGTTAGGACCCAGACTTGATCGCCAGGAGCGAACTTGGGAGCGTCGGACTTGTGGGCATCCGCAAAGCGCTTGTAGTCCGCCTTGGCCTTCTCGAGGTTCTCCTTCAGCAACGCCAAGTTGTGCTGAAGGTGTTCGACTCGGTCGGTCGCGGAGGGGACATCGAGACTGGAAGGAAGGACCGGAGACTCGAATCGAGGGTTGAAGCCGTAAGTCGCCAGGAACGGGGAGGCCTTGGTCGAGGTGTGCTCGAGGTTGTTGTATGAGAACTCGGCGAGCGGGAGCAGCATCGCCCAGTCATCCTGCTGGTACGAGGTGTAGCAGCGGAGATGCTGGTTGATGACTTGGTTGACCCGCTCAGTCTGTCCATCGGTTTGGGGATGGAACGCCGTGGACAGACTGGTCTTGATGCCGAGTTCCGAGCACAGGGCCTGCCAGAACCGCGAGGTGAACTGGCTTCCTCGGTCCGAGACGATGTTGTCCGGGAGACCGTGGAGGCGGAAGATGTTGTCGAGGAACAGCGACGCTGTTTCCTCGGCACTTGGGAGGGACCGACAGGGAAGGAAGTGGGCCATCTTGGTCAGGCTATCGACGACGACAAAGATGCAAGTCTTGCCGTTGGACTCGGGGAGGTCG